TGAACCTTCCAGAACCGAAAAGGGTTAATGTTGTTTCTCAAGTGTTCTGACTCAAACCAGCCACTTTGGGGGTTTTCCAGTTTGTGCTATGATTGGAGCGCTTTCTCTTTCTGTCAATAGAAAGTCATTCTGGAACGATCTGATTAAGAAGAAAAACAAAACATTCTGGAATTCTAGAATGGAATGGATATTTTGCATATGCAGATCCCCTAAATCAGTGTTTCCCAATCTTGGAAACATGGATACATGGACTTTCTCCCAGAATTCCCCAGCCAACCTTATGTCTTAAAGCAGTGGTGGCGAACTTATGGCACGCGTGCCAGAGGCGGCACTCGGAGCCCTCTCTGTGGGCACGCACGCTGTCGCCCCAGCCTCGCCTCCCCCCACGGCCCCCTCCTCACCAGCAGCCCCCCTTGAGGAGAGTCGCCCCCAGGCTTGGCCCGCAAGGAGCAGCACAGCCAAAGACATAGCCAAGCAGCAGGGACAAGACTCCGCCCTCACGCCCCATAGCATGCAGATGATGCTGCGGGGTGTGGGCGGATGGCATGGCTGCCATGCCGCTGCAGGGCTGCCTGGGCGATCTGTGGCGGGCCATGGAGGCGGTGCATGGCCCTACGGGTGGGTGGGGGCGGAGCAGGCAGGGTGGGAGGCGGAGCAGGGGCGAGGGTGGTGATTTTTGGGCACTCAGTCTCTAAAAGGTTCGTCATCACTGTGTTAAAGACACCAAGATTGGGAAACCCTGACTAAAGCTAGGCAGAAGGCCACAAATCTGAGTGACACATTTTCTGGGTGTAGGTTGCAGGATAGCTGTTGCATGGAAAGAACAGGTTCCTAAATTGAATCTGTGTTGGAGAATTCAGAGTCAGTTCCAGAAGGCTGGGTCAGTGAGGTTATGATTGATTGAATCAGTCTTCATCAGAGAAAGAGATTTGGCCTTGTGACTTTGCACAACTCCAGGGTTTATGAAGTCATTTAATGCCATGCTTAATCGTAAAGAATAAACGGAAGCTGAGGCTGGGGAAGTCTGGCATTTGAAGTCCACACTTCTTAGAGTGGCTAAACTTGAGACACGCTGTTCTAGAATCTACTTTATTGCTTCATTTGCTACGTTACAGTAATTGCAAGTCCTCTTTTTGAAGAAGATGCTTGATTGCCTCAGGATATAACTGACTGTTGTTGGTACTCAGTTCTGACTTAAATGAGACCCTTAATTTTATTTATTTATTATTTATCCCATATTAAAAACTCATAGGATTGAATGCAGTCAACAAAATCAGCAGAAACCTGGAAAAGATAAAAGTCCATCAGCAAGTAAAGCACAACTTTTTTATAATCAATGCTTAAGTGAACAATCAAATCTTATTTGACCCATGTAAAAAAGAGGCAAGATTCAATTGTACACATTGACTTTTTTTGCCTCCTCCAACATCCTGGTATTTATTACTCAAATAGTATGTATGTTGGAAACTTCATTCAAAAGTGTATTGAAAAGCAGGTCGCCATCTTGTTGAATTTGATAAATCTCACCATGTCAGGCTTGTCATGTTTCTAATATGTTGGGACATAATTGTATGTTTAAAAGAAATGAGAATGAGATGCAAATCGGTGAAATCAGAAATTAGAATCTTTCTTGAATTTTTATTAACTGGATTGTTCTGTGGTTTAACTTCCTCTAAGTGTGACAAACTCCAGAAGGCCACCATTTATGTAGCAGTTTGTAAGGAACAATCTAGAAGGGATTGAAAAAAGGTCCATGGAATGTCTATGAAAATGCTTATTATCCCAACTTGATGCACGAAAATTGTGACTATAGACCTCTACACAGGTTATATAGCTATGTTACAGCACATCATGACATCATTGCACAAATGATGCAACTACATAAGTTGCCTGAGTTCAGGTGCAGTTGACACAAATTATGCAACAGTACTATTTATGCACTGACATGTTGTACACAATATTATTGTGATATCATCCTTTTTACACCTACGGAAGCTGCAGTCCAACTCACGAAGTGCAGAACTATGATTCTGTAGGTTGTTGTTGTTTGGCATAGTTTTCTACTCACAAGGAAGATGAAAAAAAAGTAAAACATAAATGTAAAAGAAAAGAGATAAATTCTCTTTCACTCAACTTGCTAGTGTTATTGGAATTATAAATTGTACACACCAAGGCTGCTATTAAATTTCACTGACTTCCTGAATTTGTTTTGTCTTTGTACCCCTAAATTTGTTGTGTGTTTTTATTCTCAATTGGTATTCAGATTTAGGGTGAATTTAAGGCAGGTTTTGTGGCTGTCTAGAATCTGCAGGAATTGTGTTATTTGTTTTTACTTTTATTTGATCCTATCAATCATGGAAGAATAAAGCTTCCCTTTTTAAAAGTTGTAAGTTAAGAACAAGCAGATTGCGCCACAAAATTCAGAATTCAACATTTTCAACTTGCTGAGTAGATAGAATGGAATAGTAAACTATGTGGGTGTTGAGTTTACCCTAAAATTGAGCAAGGGAATTATTTTTATTTTTAAAAGTCCCACAGTTACTGCCTCTTAGGAATCAATGGGAGGTATGCTTTTCAATGGGACTTTAAAAAAAAACCACTGTAAAGCATTACTGAAGCCGACAGAAACATCAAATGCTTTAATCCAAGATCATATCAACAAAGAAACAAACGCATTTGTGGGATTTTAAACTGTAGGCGAGGGGTGGCTGTTGCAGGTTGATTGTAAGAAACCAGTAAGTCTTAACTTGTTCTGAGTGTAATCAACCAAAGATAGGCACATTTGCATCTTAGCAAAGTGATGCAGCATTTTTTTTTTTCTTCTCAAGAAGATTCAAATGTAGGACTTTTTGCTTGCTTTTATGAAGTGAAAGTAGAGAGGGAAAGGAAAAGAGAAAGAGCAAATCATGCTTTCTGTTTTGTTCTTTTTCTGCATTTCTGCCTTGCTAGGTGATGGCTTCACTGCCACTTTTAATTTCCTGCTGTTGTTCCTAGCTGGCAGTCCTTTCTTTGCTGAGCAGCTATCTATCCCTGTTGCAAAACAGCCCATCCAGACACCTCCATTGTAGCAACTGGCCTATTGTAACCTTGGATTATAGTTTGGCATTGCAAATGCATTTACTTAATTAGAGAAATGGTCCCCGTCGCCTACATGTAGCTGAGTCAAAAGAAGTGCACACCGTCAGCTTAATTTGGAGGGGCCCCAAAGTCAGTGCGGTTGGATATTTGGGACTCTTTATTTTTCATTCATTTTGGAACCACTGACGATTTGAAGAGCAGAGGACAGGCAGTCTGCAGATACACAAAGCATTCCTTTCCTTCCAGGATTCCCAGACAAGGGGCACCTGCAGAGAGGAGGGTTAAAAAGGTCGAGATGGTGGTCATGACTACAAGTTCAAAGCCCAACTTCTTTTTGATATAAGATACACATTAAAAAAAGATGGCGGGTTTTGATTGCATTTTTATTTTGTATTATTACTCCTCTACTGCCCTGCGCCTGATGTGCCATATTTGTTTTGAGGTTGTGCATGCTGGTTTTTACAAACATAGTAGCTGCCCTAAGCTTCATTTAATACAGGGGTTCTCAACCTTGGCAACTTTAAGACTTGTGGGCTTTGCTGACTGAGGAATTCTGGGAGTTGAAGTCCACAAGTCTTAAAGTTGCCAAGGTTGAGAACCCCTGATTTAATACCATAAAGCAGGGGTCCCCAACCCCCGGTCCGTGGACCAGTACCGGGCCACGGCATGCCAGCAACTGGTCCGCACAAACAAGCGGAGCCCCATCCACAAGATGCAGGCAGCACACAAAACCACACACCCTCCAGTCCGTGGAAAAACCTCTCTCCACGGAACCAGTCCCTGGTGCCCCAAAGGCTGGGGACCTCTGCCATAAAGCTAAGGAGCCTCAAAAATCTACAGAGAGGTGGGTAAAAAAGTACAGGTAGTCCTTGACTTACAATAGTTCATTTAGTGACTGTTCAAAGTTACAACCACACTTTAAAAAAGGGATCTACGACCAGTTTTCACACTTGTGACCGCGGCAGCATCCCCACGGTCACATGATCAAAATGCACATTATATGTATACAGCATTCTATATATATAATGTATATATATCAGACAATATATAATACAACATACAGCATTCTACATATATAATGTATATATATATCAGACAATATATATCCCCAAACCCTCCCACCCCTCCCCCACTTCCCAGAGCTGATTACAGGGTTACAAATAAACAAACATAATCTAAATAACATTACCCAACTATACTATTAAACAAATCCAACTGGTTCTTGTTTATGACCCGTTGCAGTGTCCCTGGATCACATGATCACCTTTTGCAACCTTCTGACAAACTCAGTCAGAAAATCAGATAACTAACTGATTTTAGATTAGATAACTACAGCATTGTTATCTACAATTAGATAACAACTACAGTGATTCACTTAACAACTGTGGCAAGAAAGGTCATAAAATGTGACAAAATTCACTTAACAAATGTCTCACTTAACCACAGAAATGTTGAGCTCCAACGTGGTCGTACATCAAGGGCTACGTGTTAAGCTTGTGCCTAAAGTGTCTTAAGGAAGACTAGAGTTAACACCAGTGACAAAGTTGTTCGAAACAAGAGGCAATGTTACAAGGTTGTTACTATTTCCTCATGGCCTTTGAAGGTGAGCAGAGTGGAGGACAAATGTGGTTTTCCCATGCTAATATCATTTGAGTCAGATGTCTCAACTTATACATGACTGAAATATAGTAGTTATGTGTCCTTGTAGTTACACCAAAGGAAACTGAGTTTGGTTTTAACTTAGTGGAAAATGAGAAGCTAGTCCGAAAATTCTACTCTAGATTCTTTTATCTTTTCTTTTGACAGTCTAATTTAACAGCTGCAGCAACCAAGGGTACTGGCCTCCTGAAATAAATGGTGCTTATTGGAATATTGTTATTATTGTTAGAGATTCAGATTGTATTTTCTCATCTCTCTTCCAGTATCCAGAATGGAGTCATAGCTGTGTTTCAGAGAAAGGGGCTTGCAGACCACGAGCTTTACAATCTCAACGAAGGAGTCAGGTGAGTAAATCAACATTTTCTATCCTTGCTGCTAGATAAATTTCTCACTGTTTTCTGAGTACTCTCAACAACTAATTGGCCTGCATGGATTAATATTCAGTGGTAATGTTAAATAATTTGTGCGAGACGATGCACGTGTCACAGTCCAATGTACCTGAAAGTCACTGGGATGAAAAAGAAAAGATCTACCCAATAAGCCAAACAACAAAACAAGTGATTGCCTTTGGTGGGTTGTGTTAGTTGCAAGCTTGCCATCCGCAGATCGGGTCAAAAATTCAAGATGGCAGCTTTAGTAACTGGTTGGTGACCACCATCTTGGCTTTTTGGCTCTTGCTTGTAAGGTGTTGTTCCCATGGGTGTCCAATAGGAGCCACATGATCTGATGTCAACTGTATGTCAACTTTGCACAGATTACAGAATTCATGCCCTTTAAAGTGCAATGAGATGGACAGGATGTTTTTTTCGGCAACTCTGGTTGCTCTAATATCAGTGAAATCCATGCACGGACCCAGCAATGGGTAGAGTCAGTTACCACAAATGTAGGTAGGGACGCAGAAATGCAGAATGCTATAAGTGTCATCCAGCCAGGCCTTGCTGCCAGTATGGATTTCATTTCCCATGGAGAGAATCCCCATACCAGATCCTCAAGCATCTGGCCTTTCAATTTGCCAATTAGTCCATCATTTTATTTCAGTCATTGAACAACAAAACATAACATAAGCATCTACGTTGATTAGCGTAAAACAAGCTATAAAATCATCTAACAATACAAGTGAGATTGTAAGTTAAAGTTTAAGAATTTGGGACATAAAATCAACACAATAAAGTATGATGCAATTTATATAAGGCAACTAAAGGATTGTTGAGAATAAGAATAGTAAAATTACCAATCTATAATATATAGAACAATTATAATACTTAAAAGCTATGGAAAAGTTGTAATCAATATTATCTCTAGAGAAAAAGTAGCAATGCAACATATAAGGAAGAATACAGGTAGTCCTCAACTTATAATTATTCGTTTAGTGACCGAAGTTACAACAGCATTGATATTTGTGATATGTGTCAAATATCATTAGAAATACAAGTTTTAAAAAAAGGCATCTTCACTGGAAAGGCTGGGCTGTCTTGTAAGCAGAGATGACAGAAATCAGCTGAGAATGGGGACATCTGTTATTCTTGGCAAGGAAAAAAAGAAAGTTTATATTAACTTACAGACGTGACAGAATTGGTTCATATTTGTTGAAGTGGCAGAAAAACATATGTTCCCTGGAACATTGCACAGGAAAAAAATGTATGCAAGGGGCGTTTACGTCAAAAAAAAAAAAATAGCCTGCCAAATTGCATACCATAATAGAAAAAGTTATGTACTCTGAAAAGATGTAACCAAAATCCATGCAATAGCGAAATCTCTATGGAGATTCTCAGTCATCCAGGTCATGGTTGTCCCAAAGAGTTGTGTTTTTTTTGTTGTTGTTGTTTTGTGAATGAGCAGCTGTCTGCAAGGAATATAAATTTTCCATTCTCCACCATCCAGTCAGAGCTAAAGAAGCTTCTTGGATGAGAAGCAAACATCTTCAAAGAAAAACAAGAAAGTCCAGTTGCTTCTTGGAAAAAAAAAATCTTTGGGACATGCACGCAAAAGCAATTCCAGATTTACATTTTTAAAATTGAATAGTTTTCTTTTTAAACAATTGCGAAATTGGATAGACTTGAATAAGCATGCTGAGTGGGAGAGGGTGGGTTAAAATAGAATCGAGGTGAAATAAGTTGTGAGTCCAGTCTCTGAAGCACAATGTCTAACCTAAGAGTGAACCTTGTGCCTCCAGGAAAATGAACAGGAAACTGAACAGACAGCTGCTATCAACTCTAAGCATATGCGAGTGACTTAAGAAGTCCCATCAACAAGTCTGAACCAGTTTTGGGAGCTTCCCACCCACTTTTTCTCATTTGAAATGCAAGTTCTCTTTTGCTTAAAAGAACTTAGCTGATCAGAATGGAATTTGGTGTGTGGGGGTCTTCCAAGAAGCTTCAAGATGCTTTTCCACATGGCACCGACTCACAGTCCTGTTCTTTGAAAGAGTCACGGAGTAGTAAAAGTTAAGGTCAATAGTGGAAGAAGCAGTCTGGGTAAAATTGCTAGGTAGTGTAGCAGTTCCAAGATACAAGGCACTCAGAGTCTGACACCAGCAGTTAAGAAGTAGAGTCTAAAGTCAATACGAAAGCAGGTTCCCTAATCAGAGAGGATTTGAAGCTAAGCTTCCTCCGTCATTGTTACAAGTGTTTGCAGACTATCAAGGAAAAGTGCCATTCTTGGAAAGTCCTGGCTTGCACTCAGGTATAGCGAGTATTGATCATACCTATTTAGACCACAATACAGGTAGTCCTCGACTTAACGACCACAAAATTTCTGTTGTTAAGTGAGACATCTGTTAAGTGAGTTTTGTCCCATTTTACGACTTTTCGTGCCACAGTTGTTAAGTGAATCTGGCTTCCCCATTCATTTTGCTTTTCAAAAGGGGATCACCTGACCTTGGGATCCAGCTACAGTGATAAGTATGAGCTTTATTCTCTTCTCTTCTCTTCTCTTCTTTTCTCTTCTCTTCTCTTCTCTTCTCTTCTCTTCTCTTCTCTTCTCTTCTATTCTATTCTATTCTATTCTATGGTATCCTATCCTATCCTATTCCTAATTCCTAATTTCTTTTGCTCACAGCTTCTTGCTGTTTACCTATGCTTTCCACAATCCTGGGTACCACCAAAAGGAAAAAGCATGAAACCTGAATATATATGGATAGCCACTTGCAGAGGCAAAAAAAAAAAAAAGTATTGAATGGTGTAATCATTTAATAAATATCAATATAGATAATCCTCGGCTTCTGACCACAATTGAGCCCAAAATTTCTGTTGTTAAGTGATACATTTGTGAAGTGAGTTTTGCCACATTTTACAATCTTTCTTGCCTCAGTTGTTAAGTGAATCATTGCAGTTGATCAGTTAGTAATTCAGTTGTTAAGTGAATCTGGCTTCCCCATTGACTTTGCTTATCAGAAGTGACCACATGACCTTGGAACACAGCAACCGTCATAAATATGAACCAATTGTCAAGCATCTGAATTTTGATCACATGGGCATGGGGATGCTACAAAGATTGTTAAGTGTGAAAGTCACTTTTCATAAGTCATTTTTTTTAGTGCGGTTGTAACTTTGAACCGTCACTAAATGAGCTGTTGTAGGTCGAGGAGTACCTGTAGCTTCTTCTTAGAAGATCACTCTTACCATAAGAGTCTTCCAAGTAATGTAGGGTTCCTATACCCCTCAGGCTTTGCTCTCAGCAGCTACACTAAGCAGTATCTGATTTGGTGGCCACATCTTTATCAGAATCCATGGGGCTGGAATAAAATGGAGTTATTCTGCTTTTTGTTTTGGCCCTGTTCTTCCTCCTCAAATGAAGGTCATCGATCCAGAGAAAAGCTGTGATTAATGTTCTTTGCTTATTTCTAATAAAAATATTTCCTTATTTCTTTTTTTAAAACAAAACATAATTCTCATTAGCAGCTTTGATTTTTGAGCATATTCATTGATCTTTAAGTATACACTTAAAAATACATTCAGCTATGAAGATAAGATCATGATGATCCTTAATTAGAGCCTCATGTTTAACATGTACAAAATTGCAAGAAAGCAGAATCTTCAGCTTTGTGAACTGGATAGAATTTCTGCCACTAGAAAGATACATTTCCTGTTCTAAAACCAAGGAAGTCGGTGACACCACCCATTTCCTAAGGCTGATTTGAGACTACATTTGTTACTATCTCATCCTGGCTCTTAAATTGTAAAAAGGCAAGAAATTATAACACTAAAGTCTTTACCGCTGTGTTTCCTGATCCCTTGATTCTTCCTTCCCATTTGGATGTAAGAAATAAGGAATTGTACAGCTGCCTGTAAGCCAAGTAGCAAACGAGCACAACTGATGGGATTGCATTACATCATGATGGATATAACATGGCCATTTTCTCAGCTTAGTGAACCACCAGCCAATCCATGTGAGTCTTAATTCCGGTTTCAAACTTGGGAGAAGCTGGACCACCAGGGAGAACCAAGTTCCATCTAGGAAGCTTTAATATACTTTGGTCCACCACTATTGTGCAATCATTAATTTTGCGATTTTGTTCTGAGAAATCTGTATGGAGAACCTCTGTCTATTTCTCACACGTTTTTTTTTTCCCTTCCATTTAATCATGTCCGATTCTTGGAGACTGCCTGGACAAGTCCCTGCAGTTTTCATGGCAAGGTTTTTCAGATGCGGGTGGCCATTGACAAGAGCATGACTGACCTAAAGTCACCCAGCTGGCTTTGTGCCTAAGATGGGACTAGAACTCAACAATCTTCCAATTTCTAACCTACTTCTTTGAAATTTAATAAATTTGGCCAAGGCATGTCCAGATCGTTTTCTTATTGTATCTTTATGAAACCATCTCAATTAGAACTTGGCTTAAAAAGAGATTTTATTTAAGAAACAATAGTATTACCTATTACTAGAATTAGGTTTGATTGCTATTTGGGTGGGAAACAAAAGATCATACAGAGAAGGTGGCTTATTTCTGTGTTGCCAGGACTCAAGTTAGAGAATTCCAGTAAAGCATTATCTTCTCTGACAATCTGTGTATTTATAATACAATAACAATGAATAACATAAAGTATACTAAAATACGATGATCCTTTTCATCTATTATAATATATATATTTTTTGGAACAGGCAGCTTCTGAAAACGGAGTTGGGATCTTTTTTCACTGAATATTTACAGGTTCGTATAATCTTCTGTTTTGTTGTGATTTCTCTTTTACTGTTTTAGTGAAAGCTTTATTATTAGCTGAAGCAAGTTGCCAAATACATTACTGATAGCTGATATTGCCCACCTATGAAATTTAAGTACCGACATTTTCTATTTGGTTATTTGCACTGTGCCTCATCTTAAGATGCTTCAGGTTCCATGCTTGCTTTGGGCCTGGATCCCACTAGAATTGCATATCATTGTTCTCAGGCGGCAAAGATTCCTTGTAAGCCAGTTCTAGTCCAATAAAAAGGTGGGTTTTGTGTCACGGTAATTTGCAAAATACTTGCAAAATGGTTCTCTGTGGGGACAAATAATTGGCATGTATGGATCAGCGTCTAAAACATGTATGTTATATTTGAAAAGAGTATATATACTTTCAAGAAGGATGTTTTAAAATGCTAGCTTTCCAAAATACTGTAATATATTTAGTTTACGTAAGATATTGATTTCAGGAGAGTAAAAAATAAAATCAAGATGACAGCTGGCTTTAATCACAGTCTTGACTATGGTCCCCCTAGATATAAATCTGTTCTTCTTAATAAGTACCATGTTTGGTAAGAAATAGGTCTGGACAATTAGAACCTTTGATTTAAACAGCTTCCAAATTATTTGCTTGCTTAATAGATTTCTTCTCTGCCCCCTTGCTCAGATGAGAATTAAAAGGAATTAACAAAATCTACAAATACTTAAATCATAAAGTGAATGCAACTATTGCATCCTTATTGATTTTCTAAACTCTGAGAGAGTGGGGTCAACCCCCCCCCCCATATAGGGCATAAAGTTAATGTAGGAGCTACGATTCCCAAAATATCGAATAATAACAATAATAATGTCAACAACAATACTAATTAATACTTCTGATAATAGGGCATCTTCAGAATGGGTCCTTTAGCATATTTTGATACCAAATACTAAAGAAGGTAGTCCATATTTTCAGCAAGAATTACAAGCTGATACAATGCAAACTAATTGAAAGACAAATACCAAATCTTAAATACCAAGATTTAAAGGAAATACTAAGTGTATCTGCTTTTCCTTGGCCTCATCTCAAAGCTACATATAAACACTAAGAATTCGGCTGTATAATTCTACCCTCTATCCCATTTCAAAGGGATAAAGATCTTTTGAAGGTTTTCTCTTTTTTCTGCCATTATATGGTAAGATGGGAAATCCCACACAATGTAGTATTGTGTGCAAAGGCCAAATAATAAAAGCCTGTGAACAACCCTTTTTCTAATGAGCTGTCATTAAAAATAAACTTAATGTGGTTTAAGTACAGTGTGTAATGAAAATTGACACTGTTTTGTGCTCTCTTTCCAGAACCAGCTCCTTACAAAAGGCATGGTGATCCTGAGGGATAAGATCCGGTTTTATGAAGGTGATTAGGGGCTGTGTATGTTTCAAAATGATTTTAAAGAGGTGCTAACAGGACATAGGAATGCAAGCACTGTATTTCTTTAAAGCAGCAGTATCCTTTTTTTCAGACTCCTGTACACACGGTCTGAGAGTGGATACAACTGCTTTAAGCAGTCACGTGAAACAGCCACAGAGTTGCTTTAAGCCGGGGATGACTCTTTAAAGTAGCTGGGTCTTTTTTTCTGGTTCATGGGCAAACCTGAAAAATGACACTGCTTTAAAGAGGCATCTGGAAGAATGGACTACCCTGAAGCAAAAGTATTATGTGCAAGAGTCAAGATTAGTGTTGTTTTCTCTTGTGGTTTGACAATCAAGGGCATAGCTTAGGCGCAAAAGCATTGAGAGAGAAAAAAAGGAAAAGAAAAAAACGTTTAAACTTCTTAGAATCACCTGCAAGCTGGCCTGTAGGTTTTGAAAGAAAGAAGTATACAGATAGTCCTCAACTTAACAGTACGACCACCATTGAGCCCAAGATGTATGTTGTTAAGCGAGACATTTGTTGAGGGAGTTTTGTCCCATTTTACGACTTTCCTCGCCACATTTGTTAAAGTGAATCGCTGCAGTTCTTAAATTAGTAACACGATTGTTAAGTGAATCCGGTCTCCCCATTGACTTTGATTGTCACAGGGGGATCATGTGACTCCAGGATGCTGCAACAGTCACAAGTGTGAAAAAAATGTCATAAGTCACTTTTTTCAGTGCCACTGTAACTTCGAACGGTCACTAAATGAACTGTCGTAAGTCAAGGACTACCTGCAAAAGATGCCAGAGCTGGTAGACCAGAAGGTGGGGACAGGAAATGCTGCTGGAGTAAAAAATAAAGATGAAAGGTGAAAAGTAAAGCAAGAGAGGCCAGAAGGAAATCAGGCCTTGGACAATGGAGAATGACAAAGCAGACATACCAGGTGCTGTAGAACAGGACAAGGATGAGTTCAGAAAAAGTGAGAAGAATAAACTTTGTTTTAGTTATGGAGAGGAGATTAGCATTCCTAAACCTGTGGATAAGCTGGCATGGGAGGAGGGGAAATCAGCAGCTGATGGTTTTGCATTCTAACTTAAAAGAGTAGAATTCAAATCATTTCGTTAAAACCTCTTCTAGTATACTTGTAGACTTTATTAGTATATGTACTTACTATTAAGCTTGGTCCCTCTACACATACATAAACTCCTATAGTTAAGATATTATAATATGCTTTGCATTAAGCTTGTATATAAAACTACTTTGCATTCACTTGATTGCCCTGTGCTGGGGAGGGGGGGGGGTCTTCATTCCTATTCATATTCACCCTCCCGCACCGCAATTGGTGCTCCTGCACGTTTTCTGAAGCGTCCCCTGCAAATCCTTTTCATGCTTGCACAGCCCTAATTAAACATCCTTGATGCACATCAACCTCCTACACAGTGTTTCTCAACCTTGACCATTTTAAGGCATGTGGACTTCAACTCCCAGAATTCCACAGCCAGCAATGCTGGCTGTGGAATTCTGGGAGTTGAAGTCCACATGCCTTAAAATGGTCAAGGTTGAGAAACACTGCAGTCCTACCTTTTCTTCCATCCTGACCACAAACCAGTGGCTTTGCCTGGCAGGCAAGGAAATGAAATTTACCTAACAAATCTGAGCAAAGAGTAGCTGAGATTTGGTTCCCCCTTAGGATCATTTGCTGGCTCTTTAAAGTAGGGCTCTCCCTGAGTTTGCAGGAGAAGCACTCTGCTTTTCCAAGGCCTTGATTTTACTTGACTGTAAAAGTCCCTTTGCACCCTGGCTGGAGTGTCCATTTTTCTATGGACTGAGGAACACAGCATTGCCACGTTAATAATAATAATAATAATGATAATGATAATAATAATAATAATAATAATCCCCCAGTGAGGCACTACCTTGACGTGGTTGTGGGGCTTGTGTACTCTTAGGAAGATGAGAGCTATGCCAGAGGTTCAACCATACTGGACAGGTCTCATCAGAGGAGTCAGACAAAGAGTGTCTCTCCCATAAAAAATATGGTGAGACGTAAATTTCAGAATGCCATACCGGCTCGGACGTCGCCCGGGTTAACAAGGTCCGCACTAGATATTGGAGTTCCTGGATATCTGGTGAAAAATGGGTTACAGGACTCAGGACTGTTGGCTGAGCAACCAGGGCCAGCAGCTGCAGAACTACTGGAAGAAAAGATGTTTACCCGTCGCAGATACACAGTGATGGAAAACAAAGAAATAATGATCTGTTACTACAGATCAAGTCCAACAAGACGAGGATATCTAAAAGGAATGCACCAGTTCTGGAAAGAACAACATCCAGAATCAGAAATAACAGAACAGAGACTAGCAGATCAACGCCGATTTATAACACGAAATAAAGTATTCACAGAAACAGAATTGGACGAACTGCAAAGGTTTACCCAGGGCAAAGAAATCAAAGCCTTACCAGAAGTAATTCAGAATGTAGAGGCAAACCAGGGGGAGTTGGCAGTGAAGGAATCCAGCAGAGATATACAACTGTTCTCATTTGGAAACCAGGCAACTCTTCCTCAGGAAGAACAAAACCCTCTAACTAAAGAAATAAAAGAATTGAAACAAAGAATAACTGAGCATCTAGAACAGCACAAAAACAACAGAATAAGGCTGCCTGCATTGAAGCTTGTTCCAAAGAAACAGCTAGCACAAGCATTAAAAGATGCAAATACTGCAATATCAAGTATAAGCACCAATTCACTGCAAGAAACAAACCAACTAATGTACAGCACAGCTGCAGTTATAACAGAATACCTGGGATGCAAAATCAACAAAAAGAAAAACAAACAAACAGTGCACCAGAAAAATGGAAGGTTAGACTAGAAAATAAGATCAGCAAGTTAAGATCACATGCAAGCAAGCTAGAACAGATGAAAGAAAAGAAGCTGAAGAACAAGAAGACCAAAGAATACCTAATCAAGAAATACCACTTAGAAACAAGGAAGATCAAGGAAGCACTAGAAATAATAAAGCAACAAATAACAGCTATAGCCAGGAAAATCAGTAGATATGAAGCTCGAATTTCAAACTATAGGCAGAACCTCCAATTTCAATCCAATCAGAAACGTTTCTACCAATCCATCAATGGAGAAACTGCAATGAATCAGTCAGTACCTGACAAGGAAGAAACAGTGCAGTTCTGGAAGCAGATATGGGATAACCCAAAGAAATACAACAAGGATGCGGCTTGGTTAAAAGAGGTGGATGCAAATAAAACAGAAGTTGAAATGAAAGAACTAGTAATAACAACAAAAATGGTAGAAAAAAGAGCAAAGAAAATCAAAAATTGGTCAGCACCAGGTGAAGATGAACTGCATGGGTTTTGGTTGAAACATCTAACTGTTATACACCCACTCATTGCCAAACAGTTCAACAATATACTACAAGGAGGAGAAATTGAAAAGTGGCTAACAACTGGGAAAACCTACCTAATAATGAAAAATCCAGCAAAAGGGGCAACACCAGGTAACTACAGGCCAATTACCTGCTTACCAACAACTTTCAAATTACTAACTGGTGTAGTAGCTGATGCAGTGCAACAGCATCTAGTTGAAAACAATCTCTTTCCACCTGAGCAGAAAGGAAACCGCCCCAATAGCAGAGATCAACTCCTAATAGACAAAATGATCTTGGAAAACTGCAAGAGAAGGAAGACCAACCCGAATGTGGCATGGATTGACTACAAAAAGGCATTTGACTCTCTGCCACATGATTGGATAATAAAGTGCCTAGAAATAACAGGAGTCAGTAGAAACATCAGAAAATTTGTGCAAAGATCGATGGCACAATGGAAAACACAGTTGCAGATCAATGGTGAGAGGCTGGGAGAGGTTAATATCAAGAGAGGAATATTTCAAGGAGATTCATTATCACCATTACTATTTGTTATTGCACTGTTTCCTCTGTCAACAATACTGAATAACTCAGGACATGGCTATCAAACATCAAAAACATCTGCCAGACTATCCCACCTCCTTTACATGGATGATCTGAAGCTGTATGGAAAAACATCATCTGAAATAGAATCGCTGCTCAACACTGTCCGTATATATAGCCAAGATATTGTAATGGAGTTTGGCTTGGACAAATGTGCCACACTTACTATCAAACAAGGAAAAATAATGAAAACTGAAGGAATCAAGATGCCCCACGAAAATAACATTAAGAGTCTGGATGAGGAAGAGTACTACAAATACTTGGGTATCCTTCAAGCTGACAACATCAAGCACACTGAAGTCAAGAAAAAGATTAGAGGTGAATACATCAAGAGAGTGAAGAAGATCTTAAAGTCCAAACTCAATGGAGGAAATACCATAAAGGCAATCAACACCTGGGCAATCCCAGTCATTAGGTACACAGCTGGAATAGTGGACTGGACTCAAGCAGAACTAAAAGCAATGGATAGGCAGACCAGAAAAATAATGACAATGAATCATGCCCTTCATCCACGCAGTGACATTGATAGACTTTATCTACCAAGGCAAATAGGTGGGCGTGGAATGCTACAAGTACATCAGATGGTTGAAGAAGAAAAAATGGCTTTGGAAGAATATCTGAAGAACAATGATGAAGATGCACTGAAATTAGTATATCAGGAAGGCTTACTAACTACTGGAGAGACCAAACTGGCCTACAAGAAAGACCAAATGAAGAACAGAATAGAGGCATGGGAAGACAAAGCACTACATGGCCAATACATGAAAAAAATAGCTGGGAAAGCAGATAATAATAAAACCTGGCAATGGCTAAGAGCAGGAAAATTGAAGAAAGAGACCGAGGGACTAATTCTGGCTGCACAAGACCAAGCCTTAAGGACAAATGCATACAAAGTCAAAATTGAGAAGACAGCAACAGACAGTAAGTGCCGCCTATGCAAAGAAGCTGAAGAAACAGTGGACCACTTGGTAAGCTGTTGCAAGAAGATTGCACAGACTGATTACAAGCAGCGGCATGACAAAGTAGCAACAATGGTGCATTGGAAGATCTGCAAAAAATATCATTTGCCTGTAAGCAAAAACTGGTGGGATCATAAAATAGAGAAAGTCATAGAAAATGATAAAATTAAACTGCTCTGGGACTTCAGAATTCAAACAGACAAGCACCTGCAACATAACACCCCAGACTTAACAATTGTCGATAAGAAAGACAAAAAAGTCTGGATAGTGGACGTGGCAGTGCCTGGAGATAGCAGAATAGAAGAGAAAGAACTGGAGAAGATAACAAAATACAAAGACCTACAAATAGAAATAGAAAGACTGTGGCAAAAGCAAGCAAGGGTAGTACCAATAGTCATAGGCTCCTTGGGTGCAATCCCAAAACAACTGGAGCACCACTTGAACACCATTGGCATTGACAAATTCGCTATTAGTCAATTGCAAAAGGCGGCCTTATTAGGAACTGCTTCCATCCTGCGACGATATCTGTAATACCATCAAACATCCACATCTGCCTATCCCAGGTCCTGGGTAAGGACTCGATAGATAGACAAAATGCCAAATCCAATCTGAACATCTGGCTGACTGTGCGATGACCCATAATAATAATAATGATGATGATGTTGGAAGGGACCTTGGAGGTCATCTAGTCCAACCCCCTGCTCAGGTAGGAAACCTTATACCATTTCGGACAAATGGCTGTCTAGTCTCTTCTTAAAAACTTCCAGTGTTGGAGCATTCACCGCTTCTGGAGGCAGGTTGTTCCACTGGCTAATTATTCTAACTGTCAGAAAGTTTCTCCTTAGTTCTAGGTTGCTTCTCTCCTTGATTAGTTTCCACCCGTTGCTTCTTGTCCTGCCCTCAGATGCTTTGGAGAATAGCTTGACTCCCTCTTCTTTGTGGCAGCCCCTGAGATATTAGAACACTGCTATCATGTCCCCCCTCGTCCTTCTCTTCATTAAACTAGACATGCCCAATTCCAGCAGGCGTTCCTTATATGTTTTAGCCTCCAGTCCTCTAATCATCCTTGTTGCTCTTCTCTGTACTCTTTGCTGTGATGAGGAAGAGGATGAATTTATTACAACTGCAAAAACAAGTAAAGCAATTAAAAACAACCCAGACCCAGGCAGGACTCAGAAGATGAAAGAGTTGGTTGCATCATGTATACACATATGAAAAGAGGTGAAACCTGAAGCCCACGGCCAGAAATGTCTGACAAAAACATTCTAGGACCCTGTTTCTCAACCATGGCAACTTTAAGATGGGTGAACTTCAACTCCCAGAATTCCTCAGCCACCATCTTAAAGTTGGCATGGTTGAGAAACATTTTTCCTAGAGAGGTAGGCAGAATGTTTTAAAACTGTAACTCCCAACACTTCTGAAACAGTTTGTCCTGGCCTCTGTTTCCAAGCAATATTATTCCCAGGTCGTTGGGAATGGGATGTTTAATCTGAAAATGTTTTGCATGCTTCAGTTTTCAGCTCTATTATGGCATGCAATAAGCTATTATCTGAAAATACAGTTTCCATACAGTAGTTGTTAATGCATTAAGCTGTACAGACTTGGAAAGTAATTGCTTTGGACCTTGCCCAAATGTGAATCTGGCATTTTTCTGTTATTCATTAAAGGAACCTGTTTTCCAAGCTGGATTTTCCAGTAAAAGTCTGGGGAATCCTTGGAACTTTTTAAGAAAAAGTTCAACACAACACTCAAAGCAGATGCCTGAAAAAACACCGACTCCTTTAACAGATAGCAAGACAGTGCCAGGCTCACACCTGGACAAGACACTTTTTTTTTTATTTCGGGACACTGTGCGGCTTATTATCTACCCTATAATTGTTCAAGATCCACTTATGGGTCTCAAGTGGAAAATGCAGTATATTTGGGGAAGAGCTCCTTTACCTTCCATCTAACTTTTGAAAGGGAACAAAATAAAGAATTTCCTCTCGTTCCTGGATTTTATGAAATACAAGTAGTCCTTGACTTGCAACAGTTCGTGATCGTTCAGAGTTACAACAATATTGAAAAAAGTGACTTAACGACCGTTTTTCACACTTGCGACCACTGCAGCATCCCCATGTTCATCTGATCCAAATCCATACGCTTGCCAACTGACTCATATTTATGACGGTTGCAGTATCTGGTGGGGTCACGTGATCCCCTTTTGCGACCTTCCGATAAGCAAAGTCGGCGGGGAAGCCAGCTTCTCGTTAAAAGCTGTGCTACTAATTTAACAACTGCAGTGATTCACTTAACAAATGTGGAAAAAAAGGTCATAAAATGGAGAAAATTCACTTAACAAATGTCTCGGATAGCAACAGAAATTTGGGAGCTCAATTGTGGTCGTAAATCAAGGATCACCTGTAGTTGGCTTTCATATAGGTGGTTCTCAATTTATGACTGGTCACTTAGCGACCGTTTGAAATTATGACCCCTCCCCCCAAAGTTCCAACAGTCGGTGCTTCCCCCCCCCAGCACAGTCACGTGACTGCATTTCATCCACTCAGCAGCCGGCTACATTTATTGCTGTTTGCAGCATCCCATGGTCATGTGACCATGATTGACAACCTTTTTGTTGAAAGCTACTTCTAGCTTTCAGCAAAAACGGGCCATAGGACACAATGGATTCGACTTCACTTCACAATCACACTGTTCATTTAATGATCACCATAAAAAAGTTCCTAAAAATATTTCTGGTTATAACGTGACTGCTTTATGACCCTAATGGGCAGCCTCCATTACAGTCGTAAGTCGAGAACTTCCTGTACTTCTATGCAATTACTTATGTTTTAGAACAGGGGTAGGAACCTTGGCTCTTTTATGACTCGTGGACTTCAACTCCCAGAATTCCTGAGCCAGCCATGCTGAGGGGAAAGAGAGAGGTTTCCAAGCTGAGCCATGCTGGCTCAGGAATTCTGGGAATTGAAGTCCACGAGTCATAAAGCAGCCTAGGCCTAGGTCAGAGGTAGGCAACCTTGGCTCTTTTATGACTCGTGGACTTCAACTCCCAGAATTCCTGAGCCAGCATGGCTCAGCTTGGAAACCTCTCTCTTTCCCCTCAGCATGGCTGGCTCAGGAATTCTGGGAGTTGAAGTCCATGAGTCATAAAAGAGCCAAGGTTGCCTACCCCGGTTTTAGAAGTTCCTCAGTTTAACTCACCTTTTGTTTTTAACTTACAGGACAGAAACTTTTGGATACCTTGGCTGAAACCTGGGATTTCTTTTTCAGTGACGTCCTGCCCATGTTGCAGGCCATCTTCTACCCTGTGCAGGTAAAATGTAATTGTGGTGCTTTGGAATCCAGATAAACCAGTTAATGGAATTCCGATGATCGATGAAGAGAGCTGCAGGCCTTTCGCTAGGCAGTCTAGCAAAATACCATGCAGGAAAAACATTTGAAATAAAAATGTCCTTCTCTGCTGTGCTATTCGGGTTATTTCCCTCGGCTCCTCCCTACGTTGAACAGCATTTCAGAGAAGAAGGCCAAAAGGCCTTTGGTGCAAAAATAGTCTCTTTCTGCATCTTTTTTTAAACCATTGCAGTGTAATTCAAGAGAGGCCCGTTTGGCGTTTCGCCCATTTGGAACATCTCTGCTTCTTGGGAAAATAGAGCCATCTCACACGAGATAACTAAAAACAATCTTTGATTTTATAAACCGAGAAAAGAAAAAGGGAAACACTCTTTTTAAATGTTAAATAGGTATGCTCACCGCAATCCGTGGCGAAAGAATTCAAAAAGTGGTCATCCCCAACTTAAAAACAGTTCATTTAGCGAACATTCAAAATTACAACGGCGCTGGAAAAAGTAACTTATGACTACTATTCATACTTATGACCTTTGCAGCACCCCTCCATGGTCACGTGATCAGAATTTGGATGCTTGCAGTTGGTTCATATTTAGGACGATTGCAGGGTCCAAGGGATCATGTGACCAGCTTTTATGACCACCTGAGAAGCAAAGTCAATTTGAAAGTCAGATTCACTTAACAGCCATGTTGCTAATTTAACAACTGCAATGATCCACTTAATGGGGACAAGAAAGATCGTAAAATGGGGCAAACCTCACTTAACAAGTATTCCACTTAGCAACATAAATTTGGGGGTCAATTGTGGTCGTAAGTTAAGGACTACCTGTATGGGGCTGTTCCAATCACAGCACTGTTGAAGAACTTCCAAGCAAAAATTGGTCTGGGAAGAGGAAATGGTCCAAAGAGATCCCAATATAATGCTAAACTCCTCTGATTTAGAAGCAACTCAGTACTTACGACACAAATGTAAAAACAATAATCACTAGAGTCAGAAGAGTTAAAAACACACACTTGGAAAAAAAATTAAAATTAGGGTTCCTAAGTATTTCCTATTTCTCTACAGAATAAGTTATTCTTTGAGCAATGTGTATTCTCAAAGGAAAATTCTGGGTTTTTTCCCTCTAACCTGAAGCTCTGTTTTTGCCTTAAATTTCATAGAACCTTGTGCTTCCATAACATTAACCTCCATTTTCACCCCAGTCTTGCATAGAATTCATGATTAGAGCTACTATTACAAGGTGCATAAGGACAATCTTGATCTGAGTCTGACTCATTAACTTCGTGTAGTTTTGTGGCAACAGTATGTGTTGACTAGTATGTAGTTTTTTTTTTTTTTCAACTTCCTAGTCCAGCATTCTCCAGTGCTGGGATAACTCAGTGGTTTCCCATCCGATCCTACCTCAGAAACATATTCTGAAAAGTTATAAATTTAATGTGCTATGTAAGATGAAGGACATTGTTTATCAACCTCTGCAATTTTAAGCAGTGAGGACTTCAACTCCCAGAATTCCTCAGTCAGCATGCTGAAAGTTGAAGTCCACAGACTTAAAAAGTTGCTGAGGTTTAGAAACACTGACATGGAATATCCATCAGATTAAACGCTGTTACTTTTGTTTAAGAATTCGTTGCTCAGGCTCTTACATTATTTTCAGTTTTTTGGCTCTCCATTTTGTAAGAATCCAATGTGCTTGGCTACAAGGACAGCAGACAAAATACTACGAAATTCCCATAAGAGGGGGAAGATAAACCAATATAATTTATTACAGAGGAAAAGAATCAGTACGGTTCAAATCTATAAAAATTGCAGCAAAAAATTAGGCCGTAGAAAGTTCACCAATCCTGAATCCCAATAGAGGTAGTCCTCAACTTACAACCACAATTGAACCCAAATTTTCTGTTGTTAAGAGAGACATTGGTTGTGAGCTTTGCCCCATTTTATGACCTTTCTTACCACAGTTGTTAAGTGAATCACTGAAGATGATCAGTTAGTAACACGATTGTTAAGTGAATCTGGCTTCCCCGTTGATTCTGCTTGTCAAAAGATCAGAAAAGGAGATCACATGAACCCCAGGACACATCAACCGTCACAGGTATGAACCAGTTGCCAAGCCTCTGAATGTTGATCACACGATCTTGGGACTGTTGCAAAAAATGATGAAAAATGCTCATAAGTCACGTTTTTCAGTGCCGTTGTAACTTTAAACGGTCACTAAATGAACCGTTGCAATTTGAGGACTACCTGTATTTTCATTTGGATTAAATGGTTTTTTTTATCAATTTTTATTATTTTATTTTCATTACAATCATAAGAAAAAAAAATCAGATACATAAGAAATTAAAATACAACACACAAATTCCGACATTGCTCACCCATTTCCCCCCAGACCGCATCCCCCTCTCATCTCTTCACTTCCCCCTTCCTTCTACCTCCTCCTCCTCTTCTCCCCTCCCTCTCTCCTCCATCTTTCTACTTACTTGTCCCTCTCCTCTTCTTCTCAATTGGATGCGGTCTGAGGGAAAATGCCCGAGCAATCCTCTATCACCAAAATCTGAACTATTGAACATACTACCCATACTCTCCCCTCCCCCCCCTTCCCCCCCCCTGACTTCCCAGGGCTCAGTACAGGGTTACAAAAAAAAGAAGAAGAAAAAAAAGAAAACTAAACATAGTCAACTTAAATTTACTACTTATACAATAACCGAAATCCTAATAACCCTTAACTCTCTGCAAACTTGAATTCATAATTTAATAAAAATCCATTATTCATAAAACAAATGAAACTTTGTTGTTCCATACTTCTTCTGGACTAAATGTTGAAGGAGCAGCCTCTAGCTCACTCAGTGGCAACCAGGGAATAGGCTTTTTGAATTTCAAATCCACAAGACTCTACAAATAATTGAGAATGTCTGTTCGTTTCCTGCAGGGGAAGGAACCCCCTGTCCGTCAGCTGGCCCTGTTGCACTTCAGAAATATTATAACTCTCAATATAAAACTGGAAGATGCTTTGTCCCGTTCCCGCGCCAGGATTCCGCCTTCAATCGTCCAAATGTTACTCATCCTACAGGTATGGATTTTTCTGGCTCGCCCGTGGTGCACACCTCACTGAATTGTAGGCTTTGAGTGGTAGATGGAACAGGAGGGTTGAAAAGTCAAGATGGCCCCCCACAGATGCAAAGCCCTGCCCCTCTTTTACATGAAATGCACGTGCAGAGGGCAAGTAGGTCCTTGACTTACAACCGATCACTTCGTGACCCCTTGAAGCTACAACAGATCCCCCAAAGGGTACTTATTATCCAGATGCGAAGTTCTGATGGGAACACGCACACGCACTACAGTCACGTGGCAGCATTTTGGGTGCTCAGCAACCAGACTGCCTTTAGGGCCATTTGTAGGGTCCCTGTCATGTGACTGCAATTTACAACTTTTTATTTTGCTAGAAACTAATGATTGCTTCCGGTTTCTAGCAAAAAAGCGAACAAAAAAAACGGCCAACAGTGGATCCATTTAGCGGACATGGTGTTTACTTTAGAGCTGCCATGTTTGTTTTGCACCAGCTGCAAAAAAAAAAAACCAGTTGTAAAATTGGATGTGGTCATATGCTGACCTGTTTAACAACCTTCATGAATTACGACCGTAATTGCCAGTTCAGTTATGGCCGTAAGTCGAGGGCTACCTGTATGTTGAAAAAAAAATCATCTTGACTTTTTTCTGCTTCCTTCATGGATGCTCCTGGGTGGAATTTTAATCTGTAGAATATTTTGTAAGACGTCAGTCTGAAAGTGAACATATCTTTTCTAATGCTTTCCTTGATTGAGGGAGAGAATGTCTGTCCAGTTGTATTCCTGTTCTGGATTTAGCTATTAGAGAGCATTGTGATGTGGGGTAGTGGTGAAGGTGCTGGACTAAAAGGGGGGGGGTGGTAACACATGGAGGCTCTCTGGGTGATTTTGGACCAGCCCTTCTCTCAAAGAGTTATTGTAATTGAAAAACTTGGGGACGAAGTTCTGTGAATGCCACTTTGAGCTCCTGAACAGAAGATGGGAATATAAAACTCAATACGTAATATATAAATACATCAAACGGGCCCCAAAGTTGCTTTTTCAAAAAGCAAGTGGACTTTGTTTTTCCTTGAAGATGTTTTGCTTCTCATTCCAAGAAGCTTCTTTAGTTCTGACGAAAGGGTGGAGGATGGACAGGTTTTGTATTCCTTGCAGTCGTCTGGTTGAGTGACTCTCAGAAAGAATGCTAACAACCAGATGACTGCAAGAAATATATATCCTTCCATCCTCCATCATTCAGTCAGAACACGAAGAAGCGAAACGTCTTCAAGGAAAAACAAAGTCCACTTGTATTTTGAAAAAGCACCTTTGGGGAAAAACCATGACCTGAATGACTGAGAATCTCCATAGACATATCAAAAGGGCCTCGCTTTCCAAACCACTTTTTTTTGCAACGAAGATGCAAAAAACACATGAATGTAGCATCCATTCTACTTGGTCTTTGTCCTCTTAAATAGCAGATCTGATCAGACTCATGGTTTTCAGTCCTTTCACCATCTGCCTATTAATGCTTACCCCAAGGAATAGCATTCCTGCATGGAGAACTTGGAGTTGTTCATAAATTCAGATTTTCAGGCACCAGCCTGGCTGGGGAAGCTTTTCAATTATCTTCTAGGAACTGGGTGAGGCATCCAAATCAGATTACCCAGCTATTTGAGACAACATATTGTAAGATGCTTCTTTTCTGCAAGTCACAGCTGTTGAACTTTGCTAGGAGGCCCAAAGAAATGTGTGTGGATACAAATAAATAAAGTTATGGTATTTATTATCTTTATTGCATTTATTGCCACTTAAAATTTGTATCACATTGTATACCTGCCAAAGATTCCCAGAATATTGTATAGAACTTTTTCCAGTGAAACAGAACTAGTACATATTCCTGTATACAGTAATGAATGAAAACTGCAGCCATTGTGAGAGGTGGGGGGAGAAAGAACCAAATTGCTTCTTATTTGGGAAACTCACCTAAAATATCTGCCATAAAAAAGTGAACTATGTGGAGAGGGGTTTTTTTTTAATAGCATGTCTTTTAATTCGCTGCTTCAAGATTGTTTCTTTAAAATGTCATTTAAATTTGGCCTCTTCAGTCGGAGAGCTTTCCACAGTCCCATAAAAATAGCAAACAATATAGAATAGAACAAAGCAAATCATAGCACCAAAAATATTTTTAAAAATCCGCAGAGCGTCATAGGAAAATCAGAAAAAGCTTTTAAAAAATTCCTATCTTTTGTGCTCCAGAAGGAAAAGTGGGCCAAAGCAGGTGAGGGAAGTTCAGATGGTCATAAAATGTCAAAATGCATGTAAAAAAGGGAGGGGAGCATCCCTCACATGGTCACAGCTGCCACTGGGCCTTTTTTAATCCATCCGAGGATACACACACACACACACACACAGGGAGGTTGGTTTGAGAGCCTCTCCATCTGGGGAGTGAGCAGAGAATGGAAGCCGTGTCCTAAGGCTGGAGAAGCACAAGAGCAGGGGTCTCCAAAATGGCCGTTTTAAGACTTGTGGACTTCAACTCCCAGAATTCCTCAGCCAGGCACGCTGGCTGAGGAATTGTGGGAGTTGAAGTCCACAAGTCATAAAAGGGCCAAGTTTGAAGACCCCTGTTCTATTATTCCCTCTCCAGAATAACACACCTTTATTGGGGCCCTGGACTAGTTGGCAGAGCCAGGTCTTTAGGCTCTTTTGGAAGGCCTACCCAGTTATCACTTGATGGCTGGCCAATAGTCCCCAAGTCTTTGCTTGCTATAGGCACCTAACCTGTTTTTTTCCTTCAATTTATCTTCTTCCTTGGTTGGTTTCTTTTGCTGGGTTGGCCAATTCATCATCTTGCACAGGGGTCTTCAAACTCGGCCCTTTCCCAACTTGTGGACTTCAACTCCCAACTCTGGGAAGTCTTAAAGCGGCCAAGTTTGAAGACCCCTGCACAAGAGAGTCGCCAGGCCGGTTCCTGCTTGAGATGCAAGAGAGAAAACGTTCTCGCTGCAGAAGGCGGGAGTCATTCTGAGCGGACCCCTCAGTGAAGACAAACACTAATTAACTCTTAAGCTTGGTGCAGCATTGTGCAGGGGATATTTCTGACCCATGACTTGTCCTACTTGCACTTCAGTTGCTCTCTCTGACAGCAGTCCCTCTGGATATATGAGCAAAAAATTCATCCCATTGGATTGTTTTAATTGGATCGGTGCCATGTCCGCTCCTCTTTCCGCTTTTCAGCGTCGCCTCTTTCCATCTGGGTCCTCTTCAAATTGGCTCTGTTTGGGCTGCTTTAACTCAGCCCTTTTTGCCCCCTGCCTTTTTCTTTTCTTTTTTTAATGATCTTGTCCTCCCCTGTTCCGATCAGAGGTTACAAAAAGGAAATAACGGAAGAAAGAGATGGCCTGGATATGAAAGCAGGATTCTGTTAAATCTCTGGCATTTGTCATTCCTGGCTCCTTTTCAAGCAGCTTGAAAATTTCCTGCTTTTTTGTTCAGAGGACCTTCTACTAACAGAGACATCCTAGTAGGAGAAAAAAATAAATAAATCAAGAAGCCAGCTGTATGACACCCCCCCCCCACCTTTTAAACATGTGTTGTGTCACTCCTGAAGTTGCTATTTTAATTTGCTGCAGTTAGTTCCCAGTGCAGCTTGTTAATCACTTGCAAATCTGTGGCTCTGCCTCTTCTTGCAAATTGAGATCCAAAAGTGAGAATTCAGGAGAAAAGTGTCTGCCTCTTTTTTATCCCACAAGACACTCAAGGTGGACATAATTTTTTCCTTTGCTGTCCAAGAACACCATCCGTATCGTATTGTCAGGATGCATTTGTGGCTGCATTTGCACAACATGGATCATCTGCTTATTGAATCGGCCCCATCTGTTGAGTTTGTGAAGATCAGGGGTCTTCAAACCTGGCCCTTTTATGACTTGTGGACTTCAACTCCCAGAATTCCTCAGCCAGGCACGTGTGCCTGCCTGAGGAATTCTGGGAGTTGAAGTCCATAAGTCATAAAAAGGCCAGGTTTGAAGACCCTTGTGCAAGACCATGAACTGGCCAACCCAGAAAAAGAAACTAACCAAGAAAGAAGATAAATTGAAGGAAAAACAGGTTAAATTGAAGATAAAATGGGACTATTGGCCAGCCATCAAGTGATAACTGGGTAGGTTGATGGCTAGTGATCTAACCATGTGGACAGATATCCTGGAGGCTTCTTAAGGTGAGCCAAAGGAATCTTCTAGTTAAGAAGGTTGATATGGATGTTTTCCGTCTCCAGGTTAAGCAGATTCCTTTCTGATGGATGAACACGGATGGGTAAACCATCTAGTTATCGTCTCTTCTAGCAAAGAGCTCCTGGTCCAAACTAATCTAATTCCATCCCTGCACTTCCCATTCATTTCAATCCAACACAGTGGTTCTCAACCTTTTTAATGCCGCGACCCCCAACCGGTCGTAAGTCGAGGATTACTCAACTGGTGCAGCACCGTTTGCAGAATGGGACTTTTGGCGGGCTCAGCAGGGCAGAGACAGCCTGGACAATTCCTATTGGCTTTTGAAAGCCAATAGAATTAGACTCTATTCAAGAGAGTCTATTCTATTGGCTTTCAAAAGCCAATAGAATAAAAGGGAGTAGCACAGCTAAGGAAAAGGGGGGGGGGAAATGGCGGACTGCGTTGTTTGGCGACCCCGTGAAATGGTCGTTCGACCCCAAATGGGGTCCCGACCCACAGGTTGAGAACCACTGGTCCAACAGGTTATACTTGATTTTTTAAAAAAAACTGAAGCAGTGTTCTCCTTTTGGTCTTTCAGGGTGTTCATGAATCGAAAGGAGTAACTGAAGATTATTTGAAGTTGGAAACTCTCTTACAGAAGGTTGTTTCCCCTTACTTGGGGACGTACGGTTTGTACTCCAGGGATGGCGCTCTCGCTCACTCCTCCTGCATTTTAGGTAATACTTCTAGAGTTTGGCAAGTGGTAGTGTTATCTTCTTTACTTGTGTGACGACTCCCTGCCACCAGGGGTAGATTCCTCTACAGCTGAAAATAAGTACCATGAAAATTAAACAGCACAGTGATAAACGTAACAGAAAGCAATTTATTAATTCTGCGTAATAATAATCTGACAGCCTGTATATATTATAATTATAAATAATTAATAATAATATAAAAAGTTGGAAGGGACCTTGGAGGCCATCTAGTCCAACCCCCTGCTCAGGCAGGAAACCCTATCCCATTTCAGACAAATGGCTGTCCAGTCTCTTCTTAAAAACTTCCAGTGTTGGAGCATTCCCTGCTTCTGGAGGCAGGTTGTTCCACTGGTCAATTGTTCTAACTGTCAGGAAGTTTCTCCTTAGTTCTAGGTTGCTTCTCTCCTTGATTAGTTTCCACCTGTTGCTTCAGGTGCTTTGGAGAATAGCTTGACTCCCTCTTCTTTGTGGCAGCCCCTGAGGTATTGGAACACTGCTATCATGTCCCCCCCTTGTCCTTTTCTTCATTAGATTAGACCAGTGGTTCTCAACCTTTTTAATGCTGCGACCCCCCCCCCAACTGGTCGTCAGTTGAGGACTACTCAACCGGTCGTAAGTCGAGGACTACTCGACTGGTGCAGCACCGTTTGCAGAATGGGACTTTTGGCGGGCTCAGGGCAGAGACAGCCTGGACAATTCCTATTGGCTTTTGAAAGCCAATAGAATTAGACTCTATTCAAGAGAGTCTATTCTATTGGCTTTCAAAAGCCAATAGGATAAAAGAGAGTAGCACAGCTAAGGAAAAGGGGGGGGGGAAATGGCGGACTGCGTTGTTTGGCGACCCCCGTGAAATGGTCGTTCGACCCAGAACCACTGGACTAGACATACCCAATTCCAGCAGCCTTTCCTTATATGCCTTAGCCTCCAGCCCCCTTAATCATCTTTGTTGCTCTTCTCTGTACTGTGTACTCTCTGTACTCAATGTCGTCTCCCAAGGTCAACCAGCTTTAAGAGTTAGTAGATTTCTTATCAGATATTTAACGTATATCAGAAACTACCCTGAAACCTCCTTCCTGATCCCATACACTTGCTTCTTTTACCTTTCAAAGTTGTGAAGCGTGTGAAAATCACACTGCAGTGCCTGGAATGGAGAAGATCTGTTCAGGAAGGGCATGGACTGTAGAATTGACCAAGTAGGCTTTCCAAGTGGAAGAGAGATACTCCATAGTGGTGAAAGTGTTGGATTAGGAGCAAGGAGATCTGGGTCCAATCCTTGTTCAGCCATGTAAAATTTCTGTGTGACTTTGATCCAGGGTCTCTCTCTCCCAGCCCAAGAGCCAGAGGTAAAGGTGTTGAACTATGGTAGGAGCAGGAAGACCGAGGTTCTCATCCCCACTTAGGCACCGAGGCTCCAAGAATCAGAGTGTGGCAGAGAAAGTGTAGACTAGGAGTAGAGAAATTCAGATTCTAATCATCAACAGCCACAAGAATTCCCTGTTGAACTTGGGGTTAGTTGCTCCTTTGTAGATCAGCCTACCTCACAGGGCTGTTGTTTGAGGAAACAACAGGAAGAGGGGGTATGGAATAAAAGAGGGGGGGGTGTTAATAAATGAATACCCATCTCTTTCCTGGGGTAATTTTATCTTCTTTCTGATGGATTCTCACAGGAGATAGACATATACAGACCTACACGCTTGTAGAAACTTCTCGTGTATAAGGTAGGGAGAAAAAGAGGCTACAAGGGAGAATGTAAAAGAGAAGAAAACCAAAATGCCTCTCCATTAGATCCTTGGCTGCATAGTCGGTTGTTACATCCTTTTGCAAACATCTCACCTGCCAAAGATCTAACTTAGTTCCAGGAAAAGTACAATATTAAGCTAGTGCCATCTAGTGGCAACCTGAAAAAATTCCTGAAGCTAACATGGTGTGGATGTACAGCACCAGTTTCTGTAGAGCAGTGTTTCTCAACCTTGACAACTTTAAGGCATGTGGACTTCAACTCCCAGAATTCAACTCCATATGCCTTAAAATTGTCAAGGTTGAGAAACACTGCTCTAGAGGAAACTACCAAAATGATGTCTTCCTTCGTGAAAGAATAGGATAAAATATACAACTGAACTAATGAAGTCAATGATTCTTGCTCTAATAAACAGTAACACCAGGCTTCTATTTGCAGAGGCCAAAAGTTCATAAAGACTGAACATGTTTGGAATGTAGACAGTACTGGGAAGCAAAGGTAACAGGACACTTCCTTTCAATTAGGCTCTTTTGTTTCATGTCCAAGAGACACAGTCATACAGGCAGACACGGGGGAGTTGAATGGTCAGGAAAAGAAATACAAGTGTCAGAAAAGGAGGTTCACATACTGATTTGATGTCACCATCCTGGCACAGACCTGGGTTGGTTGTCATGGTAGGGACAGTGTGAAAATTTTAATTGTTCTCTGTGTTTGTTAACAGAAAAACGCTTCTTTCGGCGCTCTAAATCGGGGGATATTCTTGCTAAGAATCCGGTGGTGAGATCCAAAAGTTACAACAATCCTTTGTTGACTCCCGTAGCCGAGTATGAGACAGAAGGTGCGTCTGCCAACAACTCCAGCATCCGACGACACTCGGTTTCTGAAATGACCTCCTGCGCCGAGATGCCGGGCTACTCCAATCTCACCACCATCACAGACAATGGGTCCAAGGGCTCCATGCTTACCATGAAGATCCCACCATCAGGAGAACAGGAGAGGATTTCGGCTGCTTCAGTGCAATGTGTGTCTGATCAACCCAAAGGACTCTTCTATCCCATAGACCACCCGGCCAGGGCATTTGAGTTAGGCCAGGATTCGGACCTGCTCGCCATTGCTCCCACAGCCAGCCCTGAGAACATAGTGGACCAGATTTTAGAATCGATTGATTCCGATTCAGATGGAATTTTCATTGATTTTGGCCAACACTGCTCTGGCTCCCCGGGGTACAATATGGATGTGAACAGACAAAGCGTGGTCTGAAGGAGTTGTGCTTTACAAGCCCACCGGCCTCTTTTGCCTACTCTTCCAAGTCAGAGAAAGAGGATGACCTCCCCCCCCCCCCAGAGAAATGTGGATAATCCTGGCTTGGGGAAATGGTGGCGCCACTTTGTGGTCAGGTTGCATCTGTTTAGGCTAAGTTCATAAAGTCACAATGAGGTCCATCCGTGACCAGGCTGAGCTATGGGTAGCGATGGAGCTTAGGTTTTATATCCAGGCTGAACTGAGCCACAAAGGATAACCAGTCTGAGATACTGTCTGACATCCAATCTCCCTAAATGTCCTTCATAAGTGCCCCCTCGGGATGTGATTTGCCTCCCATGATTGCCTTCTTTCCCAGTGTTTTTCCAGTTTGGATTTCCTCAGCATTCTCCTTTCCTGCAGGAGTCAGCCAACCAGAACCAAGTAGAGGAAGACTATCAAGTAGACTACTGGCGGATTTATTTGGAATGGAAAAGGACCAAATGAATAGGGAGTTGGACCAGGTTTTTAGAGTCAATTCCAATTACGCAAGAAGGAACAGAGTGCCCAGGGAGATCCACATTAGATTTCTTAAAAGAAATCGGCGAGATGAAATTTTGAGAATAGTAAGGGATCAACCTATGAAGTATAAAGATAAAGAGCTTGTGGTTCTTAAACAGATTCCTAGAAAAATAAGGGAAGACTGAAGAGATTATCAATTTTTAACAAGGAAACTGAGGGTAAATTTTAGATGGTTGATTCCAGAAGGGCTACTGATTTTTTGGGGACTCGAAAAGATATAGATTGGACACCCCATTCCAAGCAGAGGAATTTTTTAATAATCACAGCACCTTTTTGGAGAAAGGCGATACGGAGTTTAAGAGACCAGAAGGAACGTTTACTCCAGAGACTTCTAAGCAAACAGAAGGAGTTACTAAAAAAGACGCAATTAGAGGAAGACGTCAGACCTAAAGATCAGAGACAGACAAGCTCACCTAGAAGATTGAGATCCCGAAATAATTAAAAGTATGGAGGAAATTGGAATATACTCTTTAAGTATAAATGGTCTCACCTCCCCATCAAAAAGGAGTAAAATATTTCATAGGCTACAGAAACTTAAAATGGACATAATCTGTCTACAAGAGTCTCGTATTAAGAGACAACACTCTAGAATTTTAGAACAGCCAAAACTGGGTAAACTTTATTTTTCTTCGGCATTACAAAAGAAAAGAGGGATAGTGATATATATATCAAAGAAAAGTTGAATCCAGTTATTCTTCTAATGGATGCTCCTGGTGTAGAAAAGAACATAGATGACTTCTCAAAATCCCAGTGTGATAGTTTAGGACAGAAATAGACAGCTTGTGGCATTCAAGTGCAGCACAGGCACCGGTGAATGATGAATTGGGATTAGCTCGGGTGTGTACATGCCCATATGTATGCACATGCATGTATCTAGTCTCTCATGTGCAAGCAATGGTGGCACCATCACGTTTGTTTGCCCATGCTGTCCTAGCCATGGCCAGTTTTCAGAATGGCCCTCTTGTTGTGCAGCCCTTGCAGTGTTAAGCGTCTCTCAAAGGAGAAGACCATTGTGTTGTTGGGACTTGTAGAAGAGTCAGAATAGTCATGAAGTCCCCTCTGTCAGGTCTCAGTGGCCGGAAGATTCTAGTTTACTCTTATCGAAATGGTTGAGCAGGAATGCAAAGAACGCCAATCATATGTGAGGACCGGATGGACTAAAAAGGAGAGGAAATCCAATTCTTTGAATTGGATTACAAGAGAGCACGAGGACTTCACAGCTGCCTGGGTTAATGGCTTCCCTTTCCAGGAATTAAGTAAGGACGGGTTTGGGGGGGTGTTTTTATTCTTATCTCATGGTGTCATAGCCAGAGGTTGAATGCACAAAAAGAGCTGAATCCTGACAAGTTGGAGCTGACTTATTTCAGAAAGAGCAGGATTAGAGAGCGCAGGATACTGCCACTAATAAGGTAGATACGTGCTTTTGGGGCCCAACCACTACAAAGGAGGAGAGAATCTCAGCTTGGGCCCTTGGAAAAGCAAATCTGGGATATTACTAAGCATCAGACAGCTGACCATAAGAACTGACCTCATGACAAGCTGCCATAATGGATACAAAAAAAATTAGTTACCTCTATGACATAGTGAAAGTAGTAAGAGAAATTAAGCATGATGAACTTGAGTCCTGCTGATGGAAAGGTTATTTACAGATCTCCATTATACTTAAAGTGTACAATTTTAAGCTTAAAGTGGTATTTGATGACTTGAAAATAGTACATATGTGGTGCTTAATCAGCAGTCATTCCTATTTGCAAATCGGTGTTACAGCCGACATACATGCATGTGTGAAAACATTCCTAGCATTCATGTTGGGGAAAAGTGTCATTTTCTGCCTCATTACTGCCTTGATAAGATTTCTTGAATAGGAAACTGTTTTAATGGCAATTAATATTAGAAAAACTACCTTTCTCATCAAGCTAACAACCATGTTCATGACTTCCAAACAATTCCTTAAAATGAAATCCTGCTCTTCAAAAGTTAAAATGTGTCTATAGACTGCAAAAGGAAGAAAAGGGGTTTAATTTTAAAAAAGTTGTTCCAAATATAATAGAATTTGATTTATAGCAGCTACTATTTTTAATGATTCTCAGTACATCCACACATCTTTCATCAATCAAGTGAAATTTGTAAAACTAATTTAAATAAATAATGTGCTTGCTACTGAATGGTTGAGAGCCTGTGTGTCCAGAGTGTTTTTTTTTAAAACAAAAGAAACCAGAAAGGACTTTTTTATCAATGTCATCTTAATTTATTTATCTATATTACATATGATTGACCACCCAGTGGAGACGACCCAAAGTGGTTTATAGCAGTGTGAATAAAATACACAAGCACATTAACCAAAAAATATATGCCAAAACACCCACAACACAATATTTAATTCATAGCATTGAAACTATTGCCCAAATGAATTATTACCGTATGTTCCAGCATATAAGGCGACCTGGCGTATAAGACGACCCCGTCTTCGATGCCGAGTCACATGCCTAGAAAGTCTTATAAGCCAGAAACTACCGTAATTTCCGGCGTATAAGATGACTTGGCGTATAAGATGACCCCCGACTTCGGCGCCGATTTTACCTCTTGCGAAAGTCATCTTATACGCCGTATGGTATTGTTATTAATAGTAGCAGTAGTAATAATAATTTTATTGGCACTTTGTACACCAATCAACATACATCAAAAGGAAATGTTGCATAGAGCTCTCAAAGGGTCACCACCTCCAATATAGACTCCTTTTTCGTGGCCAGCTCAAGTTTCAGATTGTCCATTTTAGTCTCTAGGGAGCGAACGATGGCAAACAGGACAGATGGAAACGGAGCTCCATGTGGATTAGCCCTCAAATTACCTCGTATTCCTGTGCCAGCAGTCAGATCTTGCTGCCAGCAGAACAATTTCAAACAGCACAAAGGGAATAGTCCAAACACACACAAACATACAAAAGGTTTAAAAGATGGTCCAGAGCACCAAGCACAAACACATCTGTCAGGACATGATAATTTGAACTGCTTATACAGAAGGTCAGAAAACTTGGGTCAAGTGAACCACATGCCATAGGTTGTCCACAATGTTGGGATCCCTAGTGAGAAGACTGCCTCCAAGTCTCCACTGGCCCCAGACTTTGATGGGTGAAGGACAGGAGGAACTGATTCCAGTTGGAAGGGGTGGCCCTGAAGGGGGAGTTGATGGGTTGATTTTAAATATGGCCTGAAAATTATGGTTATGGGTGTAATGGCTGCCACCCTGGTGCTAGACAGCTTAACCTTGGCATCGCCATTTAGACTAACTGCAGCTTCTGGATCATCTTCAAAAGCAGTACCATAGAGAGTGTGTTGCGGTAGTCTTAACTGTACAGTTTCACTGGCATGAATCACTGCCATCATGGCCTCCACAGGCATCTTCCGCCTGGCCCAGAATGGCAATATATGGTTGTATAATACTTTACCCCAAACAGGTAGATTTGTGGACAATCTGTGTGTCTCGCTTGGTGCAGTTTCTTATGCCAACTTAAGATCCCAGTTGGAGAGCAGAGGATTGGCAAGAGGCTGGTTTGGTGCTTGGTCTGGACTCTGGCCACAGCCCTGTTTCTTGCCCTCCCATCTGGACAAAAGCAGCTTTGCTGATTGACCCATCTCCCAGAGCAGGGGTAGGCAACCTTGGCTCTTTTATGACTTGTGGACTTCAACTCCCAGAATTCCTGAGCACCCATGCTGAGGGGAAAGGGAGAGGTTTCGAAGATGAGCCATGCTGACTCAGGAATTCTGGGAGTTGAAGTCCACGAGTCATAAAGCGGCCTAGGCCAGTAGGCAACCTTGGCTCTTTTATGACTCGTGGACTTCAATTCCCAGAATACCTGTGCCAGCCATGCTGAGGGGAAAGGGAGAGGTTTCCAAGCTGAGCCATGCTGGCTCAGGAATTCTGGGAGTTGAAGTCCACGAGTCATAAAAGAGCCAAGGTTGCCTACGCCTGTCCCAGAGTATAGGGACTCCATTCCTGTGCCTTGTCTTTGCTTTCCCAGGTGTTCGAACAACTAAATGCTCCCTCCTCACATTCGTTCCTTCAACACTAACATAGACTCTTTTTTCTTTAGTCCTCTTACAGTACCATCACTGCAAACAAAAGAGGTAGTTGCTTTGTTCTCATGTTCCTTAAGAGGTACCTGGGTCATGAACCTTTGTTTCAGTTCTTTACAGTCATGGATCCCCAACTACCATGACTGTTCTTGAAGACCACAGTTGCATTCAAGGGCTCCCCTCCAAGCTTTCTTTTCTCCCCTGAGTGTTGAGATTTATTTCATTTGCAAGGAACTGAAAACTATTTCTGAGTTCCAATTATGTAGAATTCCTTCTCTGTTCCTTCTGAACACTTTCACTTCTATTGTGGGTGGCCAGCAGTGCAAGACAGCTGCTGAAAGGGCCAATGCTATCTCGGGAAACATTAACAGGACATGGGGTTCTTTACTTAGCTCTGCTCAGGCTCCAGTTCGAATACTGGGCCTTATTCTGATGTCACTGTTCAAAAATGACAATGACATACTGCAGTTAAGTTCAAAGAATGGCCACCAAGATGGGAGGGATCTGGAAACCAAACCATGCATGGAATGGTGGAAGGATCTGAGTATTTTTAAGTAAAAGGAGAGATACTGTAGCAGTCTTTCAATGTCTAGATCAGGGATAGGCAACCTTGGCTCTTTTATACAACTCCCAGAATTCCTGAGCCAGCATGGCTCAGCTTGGAAACCTCTCCCTTTCCCCTCAGCATGGCTGGCTCAGGAGTTATGGGAGTTGAAGTCCACAAGTCATAAAAGAGCCAAGGTTGCCTAACCCTGGTCTAGATGATTGTCACACAGAAGAGGGAGAGTGCTTGTGTTGCCTAAGGCACTTGGGCTCAAAACAAGTGGATTGAAACTCCAAAGAAAGGAGATTCAGGTTAGTCTTAAAGAGGCACTCCCTGACTACATGAGCTGCCAGCCAATAGAACAAGTGCCACATGAAGTGGTCAGTTCTTCCTCATTGGAGATCTTCAGACAGGATGGATGGTCATCTCGGAGATCCTGAAGTAAATGCAGTGGTGGGATTCAAATACCTGAACAACCGGTTCTGTGTGTGGATGCAGACCTGGGCCTCCGAGTCCTAGAACGGACTTCTGGAAGTAGCATCCATGCACTTTCGGCGGGTCATTCTAGGCCTACTCCAGACCTCCGAGGCCTCCAGAAGCCGTGTGTATTCAGCCGGTTCTCCGAACTCAACAAAACTTAGCTACCGGTTCTGCTGAACTGATGCAAACCGGTTGAATCCCACCACTGAGTAAATGGATTTGAACTGGATGGCCTCCAAGTTCTGGCATCTGCTCAGAGTTATTTTTTTAAAAATGAACATCCTTCAGAGGCGTATTGGGTCATTGTTTTCAACACCTCTTAGGAAGCCCCAGAACAAGATGCTAAACCAGTATGAGCCTTTCTAGGGAACCATAGGTGGGGGGAGCAGGTCATTCTGGTGTTGGGCTGGACAAAGAGAGAGGAGAGAGAGAGAGGGAGGGAGGGAGGGAGGGAGGGAGGGAGGGAGAGAGAGACCAGTTGCAATGTGGTTTGCAAGCATTGCAGAACAGACAAGGTTATGTAATCAATATTTTCCTTACCCATGCGTTTGCCTGCCAGGAAATCTGCATCTAAATACATGCCTGCCAAACAGGCAGAATTCATGCCCAAAGCAAAGGGCGGCAGTTTTGATAGACATTGTTAGCTTTAATTATGTTCCATTATTCTTGGTCTATTACAGTTTTTTGTATTTGGATATGAGGAGAGAAATTCAATGCGAGCTGCATTGCTGAGTTAGCAGATAATTCTTGGCTGGTTGCAAAGCTTTAATTGCAATTACAACAGCTTGCAATCTCTTGATCATTCATCAAGCCATCATTTGTTTCTATTCACATCAAGGTGGGTTGGTTGTCATCTTTTAATCAGCAGGTTGGTTCATCTACTTTAGCACCAAACATAGCGGGAAAACTTCCATTGATGTCTATAGGTCAAAATCTAGGAGGCCCTATATTATATGGTCCTGATTCAACTTCAAGTTTGGTTGAATGTTAGGAAATGGTAAAAAAAAAAAAAAGGTCATGGCAATGTGATCAAAGTCAAAGAAGTCATGATAGGGTGATCAAAGTTGCGTCCATTTTTTATGTGGGTTGTGTGTTTACACAAAAATAGGCGGAGTGATAGCCTATTTATGTAATATGTGGAATGATGGGTACCTTTTTTTCACTTCTTTGACCCTGCCCGCTGTTGAATGTCTTCCTAAGCCAGTCTTTCCCAACATTAGCCATTTTAAGATGTATGGACTTCAATTCCCAGAATACCAATGCTAGCTGAGGAATTCTGGGAGTTGAAGTCCACACGTCTTAGAATGGCTAAGGTTCAGAAACATTGTCTTAAACCGGGGTGCCAAACTGCCAGCCCGCAGAAGCCGCACCCACCCCATTGCCAGCAATGGCAAAACAGTCCCGATACACGAGTTTGACATGTCTGTCTTAAACCAAATCTCATTTTGGGGATTAAGTTCCTGGGCCCAACAAACCCAGAAAGAAAAAGCAAACATAACTGTTATGCTGTGTCTAGAAATATTTGCCTCCATAAAATGGAGTTATTTTCCATTTAATAAATGGTTAAAACAATAATTCATTAATGTGTGTGCTTATTCATACTGGAATTGGAATTCATACACTTCTTTATTAATCTATGAAATAAATAACATGCCTTTTATAAAGTATAATAATGAGATTTCTTGAAATTAAAAATATTTTTGGAGTCTAGTAGCCATAAATTACATTATTGACCAATTATTTTTTGAATGAAATGCTACGTTCAGTTCGAGATTAGTTAAAATAAAGGTGAATTATTTTCCCCCATCTAAGTTCACAGATCTCCTGAAATTTATCCTTTCTGGGTACTTGGACTCTAGGTTAAGAACCCCCCTTTCAAATTAAGTTAAAGAATTAATTCTAGATCCATTGGGAGGGAATTGAAAATCCATATATATATTTTCTGTGGTGCTGTTAATGTGCAAAAATGGATAAAAGGAAAACAGAAATAATGGATGGAGAAATGAGATGCGACAAGGTTCCTTGTGGATCAAGGATCTAAACAAAAAGCTTGCATGGCCACCATTAACAAGTTCAAAAATCTTGACTAATTAGAGCAGAGTTTCCAAATCTTGGCAACTTTAAGATGCACGGACGTCAACTCTCAGAATTCCCAAGTTAGCATCTCATGGCTGGTTGGGGAATTCTGGGAGTTGATGCCCACGTATCTTAAAGTTGTTGAGATTGGGAAACCTAGGATTAAAGCAAAATTTCTCTCTCTACTCCAAAAAAACAATATGACATTGTGCACACCACGTCATTGGCATTTAAGACACAGCTAAGAAAGGAATAATAAATTTTATTTTTATCATTCATGTAAATAAAGATAAGCAAAATGGTTTCCACGATGTAGGTAGGCTATGTGTAAAAAAAAAAAATCAAGATGGCAGCCGCCATTTTGCTTTTTTTTTTTTTTTAATGCACATTTCACCCCACTCCTTTGGGTGCCTCTGAAGAAATGATGCCACAGAACAGTAAGAGTTAAGGTAAATAATTGGCTATTTGATGGGTAAAGCATATGGAAGTGTATCATTCCAAGGTGAATATTAATTTAGCTTATTTATTTGATTTCTAGAGCTGCTCATCTAGCAACTCTGGGTAGCTAACCAAATATAAAAATAAATCGAAATACAGGTAATCCAGTGGTGGGATTCAAATATGTGAACAACCGGTTCTCTGTGTGGGTGCTGCTTTCAGAAGTCCATTCTGGGCCTGGGCAACAAAAAATTAACTACCGGTTTTGCCAAAGTGGTGCGAACTGGCTGAATCCCACCACTGAGGTAATCCTCAATTTACAACCATTTGTTTAGCGACCATTCTAAGTTACAACAGCACTGAAAGAGTGACTTGAACCCCTCACAACTGGATTGCTAAAGTTGAGAAACACTGCTCTAAAATCATCAGTCCAACATGTAATGGGATCTACAACCTTCTGGAAAACAAACATGGAGATTCAATGAAATAAAGCATTGGACTGAAGCTACATCCCAACCATGAACTGACTCTTGGTACCCCAAAATGTTTTAGTGATAAGAGTCTCGCATCCTGGGCAAAGTTTGGACTAAATGCTCTCTAAGATCCATGCAACCTTTTATACTCTTATACTCTCATACTGAGTATAAGACAGAGGTCTTCATACTTGGCCCTTTTATGACTGGTGGACTTCAACTCCCAGAATTCGTCAGCCAGCATGCCCAGCTGAGAAATTCTGAGAGTTGAAGTCCACAAAAGGGCCAAGTCTGAAGACCTCTGAGATTGGATAACCATTTGTCTGAAATGGGATAGAGTTTCCTGCCTGAGCACGGGGTTGGACTAGAAGACCTCACAGGTCCCTTCCAACTCTCTTACTCTATAATCCGGGGGTCTTCAAACTTGGTCCTTTTATGACTGATGGACTTCAACTCCCAGAATTCCTCAGCCAGCATGCCTGGCTGAGGAATTCTGGGAGTTGAAGTCCACAAGTCATAAAAGGACCAAGGATGAAGACCTCTGCTCTATGATTTCATAGAAATTGTAACTCACCATCAACGTTTGACTTTAAGGCAATCTTAAAAGAGTTTTTCTGCTCTCTGACAAGCTAATCTTTGGCAATCCTCTCTGATTAGCATAAAAATAAGAAACTGAGCATCATTCCCCAAAAGATGAAGAAAAACAATATTTATGGTCCTATTTGTACTTGGCAAACCCTTAGCAGGTGGTACATCTGCCTAGCTTATTTGGGCATTGATACTAAGCAGACCAGCCTGCCTGTAGTAATTGAATGGAGGACCATCAGGAAACCCTAACATTATAGGTCAGATTGGGAAAAACGAGGAGGACAATAGAAAAATTCATCCATTCTTGACCAAGAATGGATGGCCCAGAAGTCACCAGGAGCTGAAATGGACTCAGTTACGTTCACCTTGTGCAATCAACCAAGCCACAAATTGTCAACCAGCTTTGAGCAGAGAAAGTTGTATATATTACAAATCCAGATCATCAGATTAAGGGTCCAGTATGCATGTAGGCCAGGGGTAGGCAACCTTGGCTCTTTTATGACTTGTGGACTTCAACTCCCAGAATTCCTGAGCCAGCCATGCTGAGGGGAAAGGGAGAGGTTTCCAAGCTGAGACATTCTGGCTCAGGAATTCTGGGAGTTGAAGTCCACGAGTCATAAAAGAACCAAGATTGCCTACCCCTGATGTAGGCCAAGAAAACCCAGTTGTATACGCCATGAGTAAATTAATCATGGATGGGAAGCATACCTGAGAAAGGCAGCTTGCTGCTTAAATCACCTCAACGCCTAGATTCCATGCCCCAGAACATCCCCCAAGTTTCTTCCCCCATCTCCCCCCCCCAAAAAAAACCATAGGGACCATTGTGCAAACAACAATGCCATTAAGACATTCTCAAGTCCAGGCAGTGGCGACTGTGTGGTGTGGTCCAAAGTTAAGAGGGCAGCCACAACAGTTTTATGTGTGCGGCACAAAAATAAAAATACAGCCAGCCAGAGCTTTAATCACACCATTATGGCTCCCCGGACTTTTTTTTAATTAAGTTTTATTCATTTATAATATAAAATGTGAAAATACAAAAGCAAATAGAGGGGGACAACAGTAGCAAAAGGGAAAACAAAAAAGGTGTGAAGAAAGGAGGGGGAGAAACAAAAGGCATTGACCTCCGACTCTCTCTGTTGCAGTAAAATCAGACATTAAAATCAAATCTCAACTTTTTACTTTTCTGTAAGAGCATGCACTAACTATTTCTGTATCGGCAAATCAGTCTAATCCAGGAGTGTCAAGCTTGCAATGTCACATAACGTGTTGCGATGTATTGTGACTTTTTTTCCATTGCTGGCAATGGGGGTGGGCGCAGTTTTGGCATGACGCATCTGGCCGGGGGGGGGGGGGCAGCAGTTTGACGCCCCTGGTCTAATCGGTAAAACCAAAATCATGATACCATTTTTTTCCCTCACCTCAAGTACAAAGCCCAGAAGCGGTTTCCAAGTAGAAACAAAAGCTCCCCTGACTTTTTTGACCACACCCCATCTCCTGGTGGCTTCTCGTGGCCCCAAATGGTGGGTACCAATCTTGTCCCAGGGTGGTTTGGGGTTAGCCTGTCAGCCTGAAGGTTTCCTCGTGGTCTCCCATTCAAGCACTGATGTGTCTGATCCTGCTAAGCTGGTCGACCTAGGTGCTGTCACCTGAGCAGGGCAAAGGAAGCTCAAGCTCACCTTTGGACCTCGAGGGAGCTTTCCTGGAAACCAAGCTCGGCTTTTGCCAGGAAGGCTGGTAACCCAGAGCGGCGGCTACACATCTCACCCGGGCAGGTGGGATCTCCAGGTGAAACAGGTGGCCCCGCACCTGGCCTGGTCAGCGAAGGCAGGGCCACCGCCGTCCCGCCTCCTTCGGCCAGCTTCTCCCTCCACGCGAGCAGGACTTCCCGCGGCGCCCACCTGGCCGGCGGCCCTGCTTTCCTCCTCCTTCCTGGGGCGGCGCGGGCTGGCCAGGTAAGGGAAAACGGCGGGCCGAACGCGCTGCCTTTCCTGGCCGGGGCGGCTCCTCGGTCCCCGCAGACGGAGCCGGCCTGCGCGTGTCTTGTGGCGGCGGGCAGCGAACGAGCCTGGGCTTTGGGAAGGCGGCTGGGATGTGGGGGGCGAGCGCGGCCGGAGCGGACAATGCTGCGGAGGGCCTTCCACGCCCTCTCTCGGCCCGGCGCTGGGCTTTTGGGAAACGGGGGCTCCGCGCAAGAAGGGAGGGGGAGATCCCAGGAACAGGCCCCTTACCCGGGGGACGTTAAAGTCTCCCCCGGCCCGGGAAGGTGGCCAGAGGAAACTGGGCGGCGCAGGCAAGAGCGAAACCAAAGGCAGAGCGCGCAGGGAGAAGGAAACTGGAAGGTGCCAAGCCTGGAGTCTCTCCCGCTTTCCGGAATCTGCTGTTGTAGCCTAGACTAGTTCTAATTCTGGGAGTTGAAGTCCACAAGTCATAAAAGGGCCAAGGATGAAGACCTCTGCTCTATGATTTCATAGAAATTGTAACTCACCATCAATGTTTGACTTTAAGGCAGGGGTAGTCAACCTTGGCTCTTTTATGACTCGTGGACTTCAACTCCCAGAATTCCTGAGCCAGCTAAGCTGGCTCAGGAATTCTGGGAATTGAAGTCCACGAGTCATAAAAGAGCCAAGGTTGACTACCCCTGCTTTAAGGCAATCTTAAAGAGTTTTTCTGGCTCTCTGACAAGCTAATCATTGGCAATCCTCTCTGAATAGCATAAAAATAAGAAACTGAGCATCATTCCCAAAAAGATGAAGAAAAAAGATATTTATGGCCCTATTTGTACTTGGCAAACCCTTAGCAGGTGGAACATCTGCCTAGCTTATTTGGGCGTTGACGCTAAGCAGACCAGCCTGCCTGTAGTAACTGAATGGAGGACCACCAGGAAACCCTAACATTATAGGTCAGATTGGGAAAGAAAAATTCATCCATTTTTGACCAAGAATGGATGGCCCAGAAGTCACCAGGAGCTGAAATGGACTCAGTTACGTTCACCTTGTGCAATCAATCAAGCCACAAATTGTCAACCAGCTTTGAGCAGAGAAAGTTATATATATAAAAATCCAGATCATCAGATTAAGGGTCCAGTATGCATGTAGGGTACTTCCTCGACTTACAAGAGTTCGTTTAGTGACCGTTCAAGGTTACAACGGGACTGCAAAATGTGACTTCTGAGCGATTTTTTTTCCACACTTAACGACCTTTGCAGCCTCCCCAGAGTCACGTGATCAAAACCCAGAGGCTTGGCGAATGGGTTCGTATTTATGACCGGGGCTGTGATCCACTTTTTGCGACCTTCCGACAAAGCCAATGGGGAAGCCTGATTCGCTTAACCGGGTTTCTAACTTAATCAAACTGCAACAATTCACTTAACAAGAGTGGCAAAAAAAAGTTGCAAAATGGGGCAACACTCGCTTAGCAAATGTCTCACTTAACAACAGAAACTACTTTGTAGGGGTCACATTGTCCTGATTTCCACATAAGCCACCCCCCCAGACACACACACATGATTGGCTGGCGACTTGCCAAGTCCTTCCCTGCCTCTGTAGCCACGCCCTGAACAATTAGGGGAGGGGATTTGGTATTCTGAGTGGTGAGTGTACTCCCTCTGTCTTTGGCTTTGCAGCCAATAGAGAAAATGATTTTTCTTCCTTAGCAGAATTGTGGATCACGGATTGGTTTGCCTATCTCCCCCCCCCCCGCCATCACCCTGAGGGTCAGAAAAGTCAAGATGGTAATCTCGATTACAACCAAACCTTAACCATACAATGCATGCAAAACAGACACAAGGGTGTCAATGCATGCAAAACAGACACAAGGCTCTTCACATATTTTGAAGGATTGGGGATTTTTGGAAGTTGAAGTTTGAACATATCTGAAGGACCTCCACTTAGTAGTGGCTAAATTAGATGTTTCTCCAGATTGGTCTGTAGTTGTTGTTTTTTTTAAATACAGTTTTATTGAAAATTTAAAAAATAAGAGTAGGAATTAACTCAAAGAGAATAAGAAGGAAAAAAAGAAAAAGGAATAATTAAAAGAGAAGGTGAAGTGTAAATAGAAAAGTACAGAAACAAATGAGAAAAGAGAAAAATGATGAAGAGGCTTCAGTTATAGGAACAATTATAAATTTATCTCTTTCTCTGAAGTTACATTGGGACTCTCTCTATAATCTAGCTTGTCTAACCATCAAAGCAATCAATTATAAATTCATTTGTTTAGTTGTATGCAAAAAGTCCCTACAAAGAGTCCATAAAGTTTTCCAATCAGCAATATATAGAGATTTCCGATTGTAGCTGACCTATCGGCACACTCACAAATCATGAAATCACATAAAAATTGGCCGCACTTACTTCCAGGTCATATTAAAAACTAAAGACATATTAAAAGAACATCAACATGCAAACTGAGAGTAAAAACTCAAATCAAGAAGCTGAGTTGAAAAGTCAGCATTTATTAGAGCCAGCATGAGTTTATTCCATATGCACAAGGATTCTTATCTGCTCTGAATATTGATTGTGTTTGTTTTGTAATTTAAAATTAGATCTTGCAAAGGAGTTCCCTTCACATAACACACTGGACAAAGATGAAGTTTGTGATGGAGCCTAGGATTAAAAACAGATGTTTGTAAAATAAGGCAGAGCAAGAAGAAATGGACATTGGGGGGGGAGGTGTTATTAGTATGGCTAACTGAGGAATTCTGGGAATTAAGTTTACAAATCTTAAAATTGCCAAGGTTGGGAAACCCTGAAATAAACAATAAAATCCCCCCCCCATCAAGATACAGTTATCAAGAGGATCATATTAAGGATGTACAAGTAGTCCTTGACTTACAACAGTTTGTTACAACGGCATTTGAAGTACTTGTGGCCATTTTTCACATGCAGCATCCCCATGTTCACGTGATTAAAATTCAGATGCTTGGCAGTTCACTCATGTTTATGACGGTTGCAGGGTTCCAGGCAGTAGTGAGATTCAAATATGTAAACAACCAGTTCTCTGTGTGGATACCACTTCCGGAAGTCCATTCTGGGCCTGGGCAACAAAAAATTAGCTACCAGTTCTGCTGAAGTGGTGCAAACTGGCTGAATCCTACCACCGGAGGGGAGGGAGGGAAGAAGAAGGAAGGAAGGAAGGAAGGAATAGGATTCAAATACGTGAACAACCAGTTCTCTGTGTGGATGTCACTTCCGGAAGTCCATTCTGGGCCTGGGCAACAAAAAATTAGCTACCAGTTCTGCCGAAGTGGTGCGAACTGCCTGAATCCTACCACTGGAAGGGAGGGAGGGAGGGAGGGAGGAAGGAGTGGTGGGATTCAAATACGTGAACAACCAGTTCTCTGTGTGGATGCCACTTCCAGAAGTCCATTCTGGGCCTGGGCAACAAATAATTAGCTAGCAGTTCTGCTGAAGTGGTGCAAACTGGCTGAATCCTACCACCGGAAGGGAGGGAGGGAGGAAGAAGGAAGGAAGGAAGGAGTAGGATTCAAATACATGAACAACCGGTTCTCTGTGTGGATGCCACTTCCGGAAATCCATTCTGGGCCTGGGCAAAAAAAAATTAGCTACCGGTTCTGCCGAAGTGGTGCGAACTGTCTGAATCCCATCACTGGTTCCAGGGTCATATGATGACCTTTTGTGACCTTCTGATAAAGCAAAGTTAATGGAGAAGCCAGATCCATTTAACAACCACATTACTAATTCAACAACTGCAACGATGCCATTAAAAACTGTGGCAAGACAGATTGTAAAATGGGGCAAACTTCACTTAACAAATGCCTCACTTAGCAACAGAAATTGTGGTCATAATTCAAGGATTACCTGTATTGTAAGTACAATTAGCCTCCTCTTTGGAGCCCCACAGTAGAGGTAAAATTTGATTCGTGCATTCTCCAGTCTTGATTGACTGTTCCAAGGTGGACAGCAGGATAAGATCTGACTGCCCCAAACAATTTGTGTGTGTGTGTTTAGATTAGTGTTTTTCAAGTGTTTAGATTAATGTTTTTCAAACTTGTTAAGGTAAGTGGACTTCAACTCCCAGCATACCCTAAATGAGCATGCTCAGGGAGTTGAAGTCAATATGTCTTAAAGTTGCCAAGTTCGAAAAGCGCTAATTTAAGACAGTTCCTTTATAGTGGTTAGATATGATCTTATTTGTCATCTTTCTCAAAAATAAACTAATCAGGATAGTTTACAATGGCATGTATTTACCTAATTTCTTTCCACACAGAACTGTTTAATCTATGACTTAGTAATGTTGAGTTTGGCTGACAGTCAGAATTAATTTTGTCAAGTAAATCTGCTGTCAGATCTTTTGCAATGAGTGAAAGTTAAATATATCTAATTGTGGGAATAATTAAATCCACAATTGTGCTGTCAGCTCTGCCTACCTTGTTATAGCTTCCTGATGTATTGCATGTGCAGACACATAGCTCTAAATATTTGGTGTACTGTACGCTGGAGCAGTGTTTCTTAAACTCAGCAACTTGAAGATATGCGGTAGACTTCCCCTGCATGCTGGCTGGGGAATTCTGGAAATTGAATTTCATTCATCTTAAAGTTACTGAGGTTGAGAAGACTGCACTAGAACACCTGAAATTTGCAAAATTGATGGAGTTTTGATTGGGGGGATGTTATACCTATACCTCCATCTCTCTCTCTCTCTCTTTCCATAGTTAATGTGAAAGATACCAAGTTCTCTTCTCCACATTTACAGTATCTCCACGCATCTGCTGAATTCTTGTTGCTTTCAAGATCTCAGAATATAAAACTTTAAAGCTTGTTATGCTGCAACTTCTTTCTGTCATATAGATAAATAATTCCCACCATAATGCAATTGTAAAAAGCATTGGCAGTCTACCACAGAAACCTTGAGGGGCACAATGCTACTCATTCATCTCCATAATACCTGTATGTTAGTAATTCAACAGCTTGCATTACAACTGAATTTGAAAGTAGGATCTGTGGGATTGAAATCCTGCATTATGGGGTTAGTTGTTGTATCCTCTAATCACAGCAACTGTTTTGCTCCAGATTCTGGTTAGCCTGGAAACATCACCCAGTTTGCAATAGTGGCGAATATCTGTGGCTCGGGTGTAGACAAATGTGCCAAGCCTTGAGGTTCAGTTGCTGAGTTGAGGAAAGAGAAACCAAAATTCATCTTTTCCAGTCTTGGGAGACAATTCTTCTTAGTAGAGGCATAAATATAGCCGGGCAGAATTTGAAACAATCTGTAAAGGAGGTCTATTTCTAACAGACCAACTTAGACCTGTAAAATGGTTACTACAATATCCGTAAAGGAGCATATCACGACAGTCTTGCTAAATGTACTGGTACGGTTCAGAAAAGGTGATTGGGAAATATCCTACTCTTTGCTTAAAGCACAAATTTTTCTTGCAAACAATTCTTTGATCAAATTACTTCTCAAAAACCAGATTGACTCTTGTGACTGATGATTTTCCCTGATTATTCTTCCTCAAAAGGACATCCATAAGGGTGTCATATATATGTCTCATCGATCAACCATGATGGGAAATCTAAAAAGTCAAGATGTGAACACATTCCTCATCTAAAAGGGGCTTGTAAGCCACTATCTTGACTGTTTTGACCCCTCACTGTAGACTTTTCTGTTTCTCAATCAAGTAAAGGTCTGGTACAATCGGTGCAAGTTTCTGAAAGTGGAGGTGCATTTCATCCCTGGAGAAACTGTGTAGAGCAGTGGTTCTCAACCTGTGGGTCGGGACCCCATCTGGGGTCGAATGACCATTTCACAGGGGTCGCCAAACAACGCAGTCCACCATTTTTTCCCCCTTTTCCTTAGCTGTGCTACTCCCTTTTATTCTATTGGCTTTTGAAAGCCAATAGAATAGACTCTCTTGAATAGATCTAATTCTATTGGCTTTCAAAAGCCAATAGGAATTGTCCAGGCTGTCTCTGCCCTGCTGAGCCCGCCAAAAGTCCCATTCTGCAAACGGTGCTGCACCAGTTGAGTAATCCTCAACTTACGACCGGTTGAGTAGTCCTCAACTTACGACCGGTTGGGGGTCGCGGCATTAAAAAGGTTGAGAACCACTGGTGTAGAGGTTCCTCCTTCCCTAACCATGTTGTCTAATCAGGATTCTTACTATCTAGGACCATGCTTGACTCACCTGCATTGTTTCCAAGGTCGACAAACACTCCTCTGTTTTCATTTTGGTCTTCTGGAAGTCTACCACTCATATTCAGTTCTTTTTGCTGTTTTCCTTAGTTGTCTTTCCAAATCAGCTGTCAGTTGGCAACACAACCTAAAAGTTTTGAGGTCAATCTTGACGTAAACAGTGGTCATTCTAAATTGGTTTTTCTTTTTCTACTGAATGATAACACCATAGGTTTTCATGCTATATAGCTCAGTAGGAACCTTCTGCCCTTAGTGTCCTCTCTTCAAATAATTGCCTCTTGAACTAAGCATCAGACCATCTTTATCAGCTGAACTTGCATCTCAAACAATGTAAGGAGAAAGATCCTCACTGCTATACAGCCTCTGACTTTACGGATGCAAAAGTGAAGGTTTTGTGGTTCCATACAGACCACTTCTGGATAGTGGATATACCCGTGCAAGTAATATTGTGTGAATTAATTTGCTAGTGAAACTGGAAGGATGTTTTATTAACAGGTCATAATATTAGCAGCCACCAAGGTGCCATAAAACCATTTATTTCTGTTCCTTTAAGCTGGGCTTCTGAAAAGCCAGACTCAAATTCCACAAGGAATCTCTTAGCACAGCTAGAAAAAAAAAAAAAGGCATGGCATGATTCAGATAATAGCAAGAGACTTTAGATACTCACTTTTGTCTGTATTTAGGTCTGATTGCGCATTATTGAAGCATCAGTCAAGTACTGATCCGGTAAACAGATTTTGTTCACCCGAAGGATGTCTGCAACTGATTTTGAAAAGTTAGCAGAAATAGGTAAATATACCGATATTTCTATATATTTTGGGCGATTGAGTGGTGTCTTCTGAGTGATTTGGAACATCAAAAAAAATAGTTTGTGGGATTGTGTATTATATTTGAGTTAACAAAGTGCTGTGGCCATATTATCAAAAGCTATTTAGTCTGAAGTTTAGTTCAATGTGCAGAGTGTGTATGAATAATTGGCATGCGTGTCTGTGAAATTGTAGGACATAATATTGGCTCTCATCCTAAATTGTGGTGAATATGGAAACATTACTTTAAACAGGAACTCTAGAAAGCTGAAAATGCCACTTTCTCAATTTTCTTTGGATGGCATTAGGGTGAATTTAGCACGCTGAATAGCCCGTCGTTTTGAAAAATTGCTATTAATATGTAATAATGCAGACTTTTGACTTCTAAAAAAAGTGTTATTGAAAATTTAAAAATACATGCATGAAAAAATGAGCAAGGGTGAATTCCAAAGTTTTTACCTAGAAAGATCAGAATAATGCAGGCAGTTGTTTTCCCTGAGACCCTCAATGGAAGCAAAAGTTGGACGTTGAAGAAGCAGTATAGGCAAAATATCGATGCTTTTGATCTTTGGTGTTAGAGAAGACTCCGAGAATACCATGGACAAACAAGAAAACAAAGCAATGGATCATTGAATTAATCAATCCAGATTTCCCATTCATATCACAAATTACCAGACTCAACACATTATGCAAAGATCTAGGTTTCTGGAGAAGGCCCCAATAATGGGAAAGGTGGAAAGAGAGAGAAGAAGAGGACAACCAGCATCAAGATTGATAGATTCAGTTACAACCAGTGGTGGGATTCAAATATGTGAACAACTGGTTCTCTGTGTGGATGCCGCTTCCGGAAGTCCATTCTGGGCCTGGGCAACAAAAAATTAACTACCGGTTCTACCAAAGTGGTGCGAACTGGCTGAATCCCACCATTAGTTACAAAGGCAAAGCGGGCACCATTGAAAAAGCTGAAAGACCAGGTTAGGCATAATCATAATGCAGAAGGTGGTCACTAGAGTTGACAATGATTTGATGATGTGTTATCATCATTACTAATTTATTTATATGATTTATATGCCCCCAGTTCAGTAGGTGTCCCTGGGCAGCATGCAAGAATTAAAAACAAAACTACAATATATAGCTCCTGGTGCCTGGGCATAAAATAATAACTCCAATCACAAAACAAAAACAAATCACATCAATAACAGCAGACCTCAACTAACCTCGACTTAACCCAAGGCCTTGGGAAGCAGAAGAGTTGTCAGCTGGGACCATCCAAATCACTGGGGGATGCTGTGTCTTAGAATAGGTCAGTGGTGGCGAACCTATGGCACGCGTGCCAGAGGCGGCACTCAGAGCCCTCTCTGTGGGCACGTGCGCCATGCCCCGGAGATGGCAACCGTCCCTCTTCAACCAGCTGCCCGCTAACTCACTGAGGTCCCACATGGCCGGATGCATCCCAGCACGGCTGGTTTCCCTGCCCTGCCTCGCCTTGTCTCACCTCACCCCACAGTACAAGCCTCCTGCCCACCGCCCCACCTGCCAGAGACCCCCTGGATCTCCCCAACCCTGTCTGGCCCCCACAGGCATCCCTCCCCACAAGCAACATCGAGGTGACCACGCCCACCTTGGCCACACCCACCCAGTCTGCCATGACCACCACAGCCACGCCCACCCAGTGGGCCATGCCCACTGGCACCCGGTGATAAATAAGTGGGTTTTGGGTTGCAGTTTGGGCACTCGGTCTCTAAAAAGTTCGCCATCACTGGAATAGGTGCAGCCACTGAAATGGCACAACTCCAGGGTCCAAACATGGCATGATAGAGGAGGCCCAAAGCAGGCTAGTTATAACCAGGCAAGAAGAGACAGTGGGGAAAAAGTGGTCTCAAGTTATCCTGTACCAGATCTTCACAGTTAGTGATACCAAAATGAACCCAGCTAAAATACACTCCTTTGCAACATTATAAAATTGTGCAGGGGGTGTAAGTTAAATATAAAATTTTAAAAACCAAGATATTGTCCTCACTGACACAACTCTCATATTTAGGATAAGCATGATATTAACAGGCATCCGGGATAACAGAAATCCACAACTTTTATGCACTTATAGCCACATGAAATTTCTTACTGTAAGTAAAAGTTTAGGCAAGTCCTTTGCATTACCAGCGAAGGTCTATTTTAAAAAATATTTTTTTAAAAAAATTCCCCTCCCCCTTCCACATCAAAAATAGAAAAGAAAAGTTAGTTTAAAATAGCACAATTTATAATTTCAAATTGTAACCGGAGGGCGAGTTGAAATTGTGGTTATTTTCTCACTGAAAAAGAATATTGAGTACAACTATAAGGAAGTAGAAAAGTATGCTAAAATATTTCACTTAATGGACAACTGCAGGTTATTGGATTAACAGTCATTTTTTGTTCTGTTTCCAAAAATGATTTTCAATTTTGGTTTGCTTCAGAACTGCAGAAGGATGAAGCTGAAAATAGAACAATGGGAGAAACTGGGAATTTTTCTGCTGCGCAGTCAAACCGAGAATTTGGAATAAGCATCAATAACCCACATGATGTGGCTCGACATGGCATTATTCACCTTGCAGGTACATTTGTTGCAAACATCACTAGCTTTCTGACAGGTTTTTGTATCCTTTCTTGCACCTTCTTTTTCCAGCTGAGCAAGGAGTGGGAGTCGGGAATGAAATCTGCAACATGCATGACTGAAGCCATATGCCCTTCAGCATGAACTGATATAGGTGTGGACTACTTTTTTTTCCACCATGCAGATTATTTATTGTTGATTTACTATATTTGCATAATGCTTCCAATGCTGAAGCATCTTGATATGCTTTGTAATAAAAACAGCTGTAAAATGCAGCACGTTCATTAAAAAGAGGAGAGGGTATTAGGGGGAAAATCTGTTTTTTAAATATTCATATCAGGAAAATTCAGAATAAATATGTGAGTTTTAACATGTACCCAAGAGGTGTTACATTTGTTTCCTGAATTTCAATAAGTAGGAATTTGAAGACTGTGGTTTCCAATTCACACATGTAGGAAGACTTCCTGGATTACCTCAGTGACCAGCTAGTTCAATCAAATGCCTGAGTTTTCCTTTTAGTTTTGGAACTGGGCAGATCACATTTACCTGCCTAGTGTCTAAAACAGGGGTCTTCAAACTTGGCCCTTTTATGACTTGTGGACTTCAAGTCCCAGAATTCCTCAGCCAACATGCCTGGCTGAGGAATTCTGGGAGTTGAAGTCCACAAGTCATAAAAGGGCCAAGTTTGACGACCCCTGGTCTAAAACTAACATGAAAATTCAGATCCTTGGCTGAAATCTGAAGAGAACTCAGTTACGTATTCCATAGCCAGCAAGATCTTTGCAGTTCCATCCTTCATTTGAGGAGCAAGGAATGAAGAACAGAACTAGGACCAAGAAACATCAAAGACTATTGAAGAAGGTGAAAACAAAATACTGTAACCAAGGTGAAATTTTGCCAACAAACCAATGAAGGCATGTGAAAGCAGGGAAGTTCTGCTAAAACTAGATAAAGTGATAGAAATGCAAATGTTCACTGTCAACTCAAGCAGAAATTCTCTAACAACCGTTATTAAGCGAGTAGTTACTAATAGATTATATTAAACATCTTTAATAAGCAAGAAAACTTCTGATTGTTTAAAGCCAAACTAGCAAAAAATGAGTGTTGCATTCAGATCAATAGCACTGACTACCTTCCATAAAACAATTTTTCTCCTTAATTGGGCCTGAGCAAGACTGTTTCCCCCTCTATATATTTGTTGTTGTTAGTTGCAAAGTTGTGTCCGACCCATCATGACCCCATGGACAACATTCCTCCAGGCCTTCCTGTCCTCTACCATCTTCTGGAGTCCATTTAAGCTCATGCCTACTGCTTCACTGACTCCCTCCAGCCATCTCATTCTCTGTCGTCTCCTTCTTCTATTGCCCTCAATCTTTCCCAGCATCAGGCTCTTCTCCAGTGAGCCCTTCCTTCTCATTAGATGGCCAAAGTACTTGAGTTTCAACTTCAGGATCTGGTCTTCTAAAAAGCAGTCAGGGTTGATCTCCTCTAGGACTGACCAATTTGATTGCCTTGCAGTCCAAATTGGTCAGGAGTCTTCTCATAAAATTCTCATAAAATTTCAGAGGAGGAGTTTGAAGATCTGCAAATGTTTACATATCTGCAGGTATCCAGGCAGCTCATGATTGAGAACTATTAAATGACACCTCCTGGCCATTGATATAAAGATCTTTGAAAAATGTGTGATTGAAAGCTGTCTGTGACACTTCCAGGCCCCTGTGAAAACAATCAATGGAATGTTCAGGTTTAGCAAAACCCTTCAATATAGAACAATCAATATCCCCAGTGCTTTGTGTTGTGTTTAGTTGCCTGAATTGAGAAACAATTAGGGCTGCTTAGAGAAGCTGACTGAAGCCCATACATTCTCCGATTGCTTTGCTGCCAAAATGTGGAATCAGATAGTTGGTCACCCCAACTATTTGAGGGTGCAAAATATCAGGACAGTGGCTGCAACTGCATAATCAAATCTCCCTTTTTAATATTTTATCTGTCTTTGACTTAACGACTCATTGCTTAGCTGCAATTGAAGCCCCAACCATTTATTATCTGCATCTAGGTGGAGCTTGCCTCTTTGCGACCATCATCTTGATTTTTTTGGGACCACACGCTGCAAACACCTCTGCTGTTGCTTCCACTGCTAGCAACAAGCACAACTTTAATAAAGTGTAAAGCTGACTTTATGTGCTCTCTGTTTTGAACTCCACAAAGCTGAGGCTTTAAACCAATGTTTTACAACTTTGGCAACTTGAAAATGGCTGGCTGAAGAATTCTAGGAGTTGAAGCCCACACATTTTCAAGTTGCTAAGGTTGAAAAACTTTAGACTTAAGACTCACCTTTCAACTAGACCTCCTGAGCAGAACACCTGAACTTCTAACCACAATATCACCTGGAGACCTTTGTTGATTCTGCAGGTGACGACTGTCTGGGGAGAAAAGTGATCGCCTTCAGTTCATGCCGCCTGCCAGCGTCTCACCAGATCAACCACCGCCAGTTATTGGAGTGAGTCCATTTATTCTTTGATTTCTGGTCCTCTCTACTTTTTCCTACCACACAACTCCAGTATGCAACTGGGTTTGCCAATGTAACTTCTCCAACCCATAGGTTGAGAACCGCTGATCTAGAAGAAGAGAAATCCAAATTATTCTAGGAGAAATTGTAAGAATTTGAAGGGTATCTCCTGGGGAAAATCAACATCTGCAAGAGGAGTGTTGGATATGGTGTCATAATAAAAGTCCACCCCGTTTAAACATGCACACATAAAAGCAGGGGTTCTCAACCTTGGCAACTTTAAGACTTGTGGACTTCAACTCCCAGAATTCCTCAGCCAGCTTTGCTTTGAGGAAATCTGGGAGTTGAAGTCCACAAGTCTTAAAGTTGCCAAGGTTGAGAACCCCTGCAAAAGGAATGAAGCTTCAGTCACAATACCACAGCTGTCATCTTGCAGGTTTTGACACTTCCTCATCTCATCCCACACTGAACTGAGGATTTTTATGTTCTCAAGTCACCTGTGCTAAGACGGGGTGCATGTCATTTGGCATTTGCTGAATTTATCTGTGTGAAAGTGGTAAATATTCAGGATATTGATCAAGCATATTCCTTTTCTTTCTCAGATAAATTGTTTTCTCCCATTATAAACCTATGGTGTTATATATTATTTTCTTCTCTTCCAAAACTCTCTTTCTAGATATTTGAAGTACACACTGGAACAGTATGTGGAAAGTGATTACACACTTGTCTACTTTCACTATGGATTAAACAGTCGAAACAAGCCATCTCTGAGCTGGTTGCAAAGTGCCTACAAAGAATTTGAGAGGAAGTAAGTATTTGCAAATGGGGTGCCTTACTTGTAAAAGCACAGTTCAGCCAAACTGAAAGATTTTAATTTTTATTGAATATTGAATTTTATCTTTTTTTCCCTCCAACATGAGATGCCTCTTGAGATCGTCTCAACATCCTTGTGAGTGAAGGAGATGCTGAGAGATAATGCTTACAATCCAGATTCCAATATTCTTGTGGTCATAGCTGAAGCGGCTGTTACAAGCAACAATGACATCACATGTAGTTTAAAGAACACAGGGACTATATCACTTGTATCTGTCATCACCTAATGCTGGGTTGCTTAACCTTAGCAACTTTTAAGATGTATGGATTTCAACTCCCAGAATTTCCTGTTGACTTCAGCCCCAGAATTCCCTAGACCTCAAAGACAAAATTTGTGGAAGAAATATTATTTTATTGCTTTAGGCTCCTGAAGGAAGACAGGATGTAAATCTCATGAATAAGAAAATAAGTACATAATCCTGTCATTCGACCTTGTCATATACACTTTTTCAGTTCTCCTATTGATATTATCAGAACAATGTTTAATTTATAGGGTTGTTCTCCATAGAACTTGAAGGAACAATCTTCCTAGAGGTCCTGGCACTTGTAATATGAATAGCTTACCCTTTGCCCCCACTCCCCAATGTTTTCTGCATGATATCCATTTCCTTGCCCTCCTGCGTGGGTGTAGAAAAGTGGTGAAGAGTGACTTCCACAACTAATTCTAAACATGGATATCTTACACTTATGAGTTGGACTCCTTGTCTTGAACTTGGAAAAGACATCTTAGTTTTCATACTTTCAGATGTCAGATGCTACAAAAAAAAAAGCACCAACAACAACCAACAATCACACTGGGAAGCAGTTCCCAGTTATTCAGCAGACTTTGGTGGTGCCAGCCATCAGGAAGCACATCATTTATCTGCAATGATCCTGAATGGACTTGTCTACAAATATACTGGGGAATAAACAGAAATATCATAGAAAAACTGCTGTGCCTTGTTTGTTACTGGTTCCAAAATGTTGCTGCTGGACTCACAATGCAAACATTTATTTATAAAGACATGGTTTAGGGATATACAGGTGGGGGGGGGGAGTCAGAACCTGCAAGGTGGCAGGCATATCACCTTGCCAGCTGGCTTGCAGATTTTAAATCTCTTTTCAGAAACAAGACTGTTTGGGGATCAATTTATTTATGCCAAATGTGTTATTTTTTATCATCCTGATTCATTTTCTCTTCCAGCTCTCTTTAGGAATGCAAAGCACAAATACATCTGAAGGATAAACATTAAGTCAAACAGTGTGTGTGTGTGTTCTTTTAGCTGCATTTCTAAAGATCCTCTCTGCTCTTCCTTTTTTTTTCTTTCTCCATTTCAGACACTTTGCTCTTATCATTTGGAGAGATTCATTTTTCCCTTCATCTTCGTTATTCACACCAAACAATTTAGGTAGTGGTTTGTAATGTAATAGCTGTATAATTTTCACCTACTTGAATTCCATCTAAAACTGACCATTTCCTCTTTTTATTTCGCATTCAGTTCCCTTTAAATTAGATGTACTTGGAAGGCAAGTGCATAATATCCCAGTAATGAAAACTTTTACTTCCATTCACTTGCAGCTGCTTTGCGCCACAGCATTCAAAAGCCCCCTAACCATTTAATTTTCTTTTCTGCAGATACAAGAAAAATCTGAAAGCGCTCTACATTGTACATCCCACCAACTTCATCAGGATAATTTGGAACATTTTCAAACCTCTGATCAGGTATAGTCTGATTTCTTTTTAGCAGAAGGAGAGCTAAGTCCTTTCTCTTTTACCATTCTTCAGGGGATGTCTAGAAACATCTATTATAGAAAAAGAAAATTGAAATAGTTGGGGGAGTGAGTAATCTTTAAATGATACAGATGGATGGGCTCCTTGTGGTTTTCCGTCCAAGTTTCCAATTAAACCTGTTTAGACTATATTTTTCCCCTGTTTGGATTGCCTGAGCCTTGATAGATCACACCAATTTCATTTGGCTTTTGCTTCCTGGCAATTATGAATGAGATTATCCCCAGAAACCATTTAAATAATGGAAGCACCAGTTCTGTTTTTTCAGTATGGTGGCTCTGAGGTTCTATAGAGGCCATTGCGGTTCACCTGAAAAAGTGTGAGGAAAAAGTACGGAGGAAAAAGAATATCAGGTGTCATGTGCAACGAATTGAGCCAGCAAATGGGTTTATTGCGTTGGGTTGCCACTGTGAGGACCACAGGGTGCTGTTACTGCTGTTCTTTTGTGGCTTTTACATCAAGGGTTATCATGAAGTGTCAGTCCTCAAGAATTCTCTTGGCTGTTGTCCCACATGGTGTCTTTTATCTCCACTTCAGAAGAGTAGGAAGGGGAACCCCAAAGATCTCAGATCCTGTCCACAATCGAAGCCGCGGTTTATGGTTGATGTGTGCAGAGCGATAGGACTGGAGGTCAAAACCAATCAAGCTTCTTTCTCCTTGCTTTTGAGTAAATCCAAGGGCATGAACTACCTCACATCCAGGGTTGCTCACAGGGTATTTATTTATTTATTTATTTATGAGACTTATATACCGCTTTAAGTGCAAGCACTCTCTAAGCGGTGTACACCAGTAAGCAATGTATATATATATTTACATGGCCCCCAACAATCTGGGTCCTCATTTTACCTACCTCGGAAGGATGGAAGGCTGAGTCAACCTTGAGCCGGTGAGATTTGAACCGCTGACCTGCTGAACACAGTCAGCTAAAGTGGCCTGCAGTACTGCACTCTAACTGCTGCGCCACCTCGGCTCAGTTAAAAAAGTTGGTTGAGAAAGTCAATATTAACCTAGTTTCTGTGGCAATAGAAAGGTGTCCTGACCATCTTCCTCGGGCATCCTCTTACTACCAGAATACTGATTTTATTTCTCCTCTCCATCTTCTTTTCTCCCAGTTGAACTTCCCGACATCTTTCAGCCTGTTCTCATACAGCACATGTTCAAGTCTCTATATCATTTTTTTTTTATTGAAAATTTTATAAATTTTTACAAAAAAAAACAAAATAACAATACAAAAACGAAAAACAACATATACAGAAAAACTAAATATGACATAACAAAACTCCCCTTCCCCGACCCCCCCCAAAACACCCACCCCCTTCCCCCCCTGAGCTTCCCAGAGCAGAATATAGGCTTAATTAAAAAAAAATTAAAAAAAATTATATATATATAAAAAAAGAAAATATAACAGTAAGATATATGTATATATATATATATATATAAAAACAAAAGTTATGAAAAAGCTATGTGATATTTTTTTATATCCAATTTAAATTGTATAAATTTTATCCATTTATCCCAAACAGCAAGAAATTTCTCTTGCGTTTGTTCCTTTAAAAAAGCCGAAATCTTTGCCATTTCCGCCAAATAAGACACTTTAAGGAACCATTCCTGCATTGTAGGCAAAGATTCCTTCTTCCAGTATTGTCCTACTAACAGCCTTGCGGCTGTAATCAAATTTAACATCAATATAACCTCCTTTGTATCACAATCAGTAACTATGCCTAGCAAAAATAATTGTGGAGTAAATTTTACCCTCCTTCTAAAAATTCTCTGAATATTCCACCATATCTTAATCCAGAAGGCTTTTATCTCTCTGCACGACCACCAAATGTGATAATAGGTAGCATCCAAACAACCACATCTCCAACATTTAGGCTGTAAGTCAGGGTACATGAAAGACATTTTTTGTGGATCAAGGTGCCATCTATAAAACATTTTATAAAAATTCTCCCTTAAATTCTGTGCTTGTGTAAATTTGACATTTCTCACCCAAATGGTTTCCCAGGTATCCAATAGAACTGGTTGACTAAAGTTCTGCGCCCATCTAATCATACAATCTTTAATTAATTCCGTTTCTGAGTCCAATTCAACTAGAACCCCATAAATTCTCTTAATATGAGTTTGTCTTTGATCCTTCACTTGCTTAATAAAATTTTCATATTCTCTAAGAAAACCCACCTTACAATCCACCTTCCATCTGTCTACTAATTGCCTGTATTGAAACCAAGAATAAATAATATTTTCTTGTGCTAACTCTTCCCGTGATTTTAACTGCCAATTTTGTACATCCCATCTGAGTAGCTGTCTGTAAGACACCATGTCCATTTTAACACCTCTTTTTATTCCTTCTATCGCATGCCAAGGTATAGCCCATAATGGTACTTTAAAATCACCTTTATAATATTTTCTCCAAATCCTAAGTAAGGAAATTCTTATAATATGAGATTTGAAAGCCCAATCCACTTTTTTATTAAATATTAAATAGGCATGCCACCCAAAAAGTAAATCCCATCCCTCTAGATCAGCGGTTCTCAACCTATGGGTCGCGACCCCATTGGGGTCGATCAACCTCTTTTGTGGGGTCGCCAAACGCGGCGATCCGCCATTTTGTCCCCTCCGGGGGCGCACCGCGCCTCCGGGGGAGGCGGTGCCGCGCACGCGCGCTGCGCGTGGGGGCGGCGGCGTGCCTCCGGGGTGGCGCCACCGCGCATGCGCGCCGCGCGTGGGGGCGGCGCCGCGCCTCCGGGGGCGGCACTGCGCATGCAGCCACACGTGGGGGCGGCGCCGCGCCTCCGGGGGGCAGCGCCGCGCATGTGCGCCGCGCATGGGGGCAGCGTCCCACCTCCGGGGGTGGCGCCGCGCATGCGCGCCGCGTGCGGGGGGCCTGCCCCCATGCGCGCCACGCGTGGGGGGGCGGCGCCGCGCATGCGCATAACGTTTGTGTGACGGGGGTCGCCGTCACACAAACGTTGAGAACCGCTGCTCTAGATGGAGTATCTCAAGATTTGTCAAATTTACCCAGTCACTAATTAGTGTTAAAACCACCGCATCATAATATAATTTCAAATTCGGTACCTTAAGTCCACCTCTCTCACGGAAGTCTTGCATGATTTTAAACTTAACCCTTGGCTTTTTCCCTGCCCAAATGAATTTATTGAGGCCTTTCTGCCATTCACTTAAATTAATCTCATTCTTCAAAATCGGTAACATTTGGAACAAAAAAAGAAACTTGGGTAGAATATTCATTTTTATCACTGCAATTCTTCCCATGAGAGATAATTGCAACTTCTCCCAATTCTTCAAGTCCTTCTGTACACTAGCCCACAACCTTTCATAGTTATTTTTAAATAATCTTGCATTAGAAACAGATAACATCACCCCCAAGTATTTTACCTTATTAACAATTTCAAAACCCGTCAAGTTAACCAGAGTCTGCTTCTCCTGAATAGTCATATTTTTAGATAGAATTTTAGTCTTATTAACATTAATCTTAAAACCCGAAACCAAACCATAGTAATGGATCAACTGTAATAGCTTTACTACAGAATGGGTAGGTTGCGACAAAGTAACCACCAAGTCATCCGCGAAAGCTCTTAACTTGTATTCTTTTTTGTTAACTTCTATTCCTTTAATTTCCTGCGACTCTCGAATTTTGATCAACAGTATTTCCAGTGTTAAAACAAACAACAACGGTGATAATGGACATCCCTGCCTAGTACCTTTCTCTATTGTAAAAACCTCTGACAAACCTCCATTGACAGTAAGTTGTGCCGTTTGTTTTTGATATATTACCGTAAGAGCTTGTAATATCTTTTCACCAAAATTCATCTCTTCAATTACTCTTAACATAAAATGCCAATTCAGTTGATCAAAGGCTTTTTCAGCATCTAAAAATATCAGCCCTGCGGGGACTTGGTTGTTCTTGTCTAAATATTCTAGTAAATTAATGATTTGTCTAACATTGTTTTTCATGTACCTACCAGTTATAAACCCAGATTGATCTTTATGCACAAGATGATGCACAACCCTCGTAAGCCTATTTACTAGGATTTTAACAAATATCTTATAGTCAACATTTAAAAGAGATATAGGTCTATAATTCTTTGGTAAAGTAAGATCTTGATCCTCCTTTGGAATCAAAGATATGAAAGCACTATGCCATGAAGGAGGAATCTCTGAGCCCTGTAAGATATCATTAAAAAGATCACCTAATGGTTGGATCATCTCCTCCATTAAAGCTTTATAATAAACAGCTGTCAGCCCATCCGTACCCGGTGCTTTCCCTGATTTCAATTGTTTAATTGCTATCACAATTTCCTCTTTAGTAATTAAGCCATTAATTTCATGTTTCTGATCCTCTGTCAATTTAGGAAAACTAGCCTCACTTAAGTATTTGTTTATATCTAATATTTGCACATTAGTAGATTTGTCTAGTTTTTGATAATAGTCTAAAAAGGATTTCTTGATCAATTCCTTCTGAAAAACTAATTTACCCTTATAATTTATTTTATCTATTATTCTCTGTCTCTGTTTCTTTCTTAATTGATAAGCCAACCATCTCCCTGGTTTATTGGCATTACAAAATGTATTTTGTTTCATAAACAATAAGTTAGTTGCAGCTTGATCCGCCAGCAACATATTAAATTGTGTTCTTAACAACTTTATAAATTCTTTAATGCTTTCATCTGAAGGATTTAAAATCAAAGACTTTTCTTTTAATTTAATTTCATCTTCCAATTCTTTACGTTTCTGAGTCTGCTTTTGCTTATGAAAGTTATTCATTTTTATCAAGATCCCACGCATAAATGCTTTACCTGCATCCCATACCATTGACATTGAAGTCCCCTTATACATATTTAAAGCAAAATAATCCTTTAAACACTCCTTTAACTTTTGAACATTCTTTTCTTGTCTGAATAAGTTTTCATTCACCCTCCAGGATCTTCTCTCCTCTTTTTCTTGAATCAGCTCCATCCAAACTGGACTATGATCCGTCAACGATCTAGGAAAAATCTTTACATTCTTTACTCTGTTGTATAAGTCCGTTGTAATCAAAAAGAAGTCAATTCTTGAAAAGGATTGGTGTCTATCTGAAAAAAAGGTAAAGTCTCTCTCCTCTTGATTACATTCCCGCCAGTAATCCCTTAATTCCCAATCCTCCTTCATGTCAAAAAAAGCTTTAGGTAATTTTGCCTGTTTAAAAAGAGGAGAAGAACCTTTCTTATCCCTTTGTATATCTAAGACACCATTCTAATCACCCATTAGTACCACGGATCTATAGTCCAGCAAAGTTATTTTTTGATGTAACAATCTATAAAATTGTTCCTGTTGCTGATTTGGTGCATATAGTCCCACTATAAGTATTTTCTTACCATATAAACCAAGTTCAATCATCACATATCTTCCTTGGGGATCTGATTCTACCAGACAAGCTGGTAAATTTTGCTTCACATAGATAACCACTCCCCCCTTCTTCCCAGGAGCAGAAGATATATAATGAGATCCCAGACGGGCGTTAACTAAATACTTCTGATCTTTAAGTAAAATATGAGTTTCCTGTAAGCAAATAACATCATTGTTATGTTGCTTTAAATAGTAAAAAATTTTCCTTCTTTTCTGTGGGGAATTCAAACCGTTAACATTCCAGGTCAGGAACTTTGTGATCTCCCTTAGCCAGGAGCCTGGAGAAGACTCCCTGGAGATCTGCCATTGCTGCATGTGTTGCAGAACTCTTGGGTCTTGCTCCTCCCACCGGCAATGAAACACTTTCGGAAGAAGATTCTTTAGTCTCTCTCTTGCGTTGCTCCTTCTCCTTACGTCTATATGCTGCACGGGTCATCCTCTGCTCTTTAACCTCTGTTTGACGTTGCCATTCAGCTTGCAACATCCCAGCAGAGACCAGACCTAATGCTTCAGATTGCTGTTCCAACTCTTTGCCACTCAAAGGTTTCTGAACAGATGAAGCTGAGCCTGCACCCAGGACCGTATTGTAGAACTCTTTAGCTTTATCAACCGTATTCAGCCTGTAACGCATCCCCGCATGGCTCAGAACAATACCCGTCGGGATCTCCCATCTAAGTGGCATCAATCTGGCTTTAAGCTCATTAACTAGGAAAGCAAAATCTTTCCTGTTTCTTAAAATTTTTAATGGGATTTCCTTTAAAATGATGATATCTTGGGCAGCAATCTGGAATCTCTTATTATAAAAAGCTTGTATAATTTCGTTGCGCAGAGACTTCTTTGTAAAATAAATCACAACATCTCTAGGCAAATTCTTCTGCTTCGCAATCCAGGAGTTAACTCTGTAAATTTTTTCAACTTCTCTGCGTAATTCTCCTTTATCCATATTCATAGCAACAGCTAAATCAGTAAGCACCATCTCCATCAGGTCTTGATTCATATCTTCCTTAAGACCCCTGATCCTCAGGGCATACTCCATTTCTCTGTACTGAGACATAAGGATATCTTCTTGTGAAATCTCCATCTTCCTTTCCATATCTTGAAATTTATCCTCAAAAGAGTCAACTTTGTCTGCCACTTCCTCCACTCTCGAGTCCAGCTTCACCACCACCGTAGCCAAGCCTGATACAGCTGCAACTATATCTTGCCGCAAGATGGTATTATTGTCTTCTAATGAGACCTTCATCCCACTTAACTCTTCTTTAATTTCAGATTTAATCTGTGTAACAAGTTGCTTCATTTCATCTCTGATTTGGGATACAGCATCTCCCATTATACCTTTAATCTCTTGTGCTGACAGGCCTGGCAAAGGAGGGGAGGGTGGTGACTGGGTCGGTGGTACATGTTTGGGTTGTTGTGGTTGTTGTGCAATTAGAGTTGTGGGAGAGGAAACCACCTTAGATGTTATAGAAGGAGGCTGTCTCTTTGAAGCCATTTTATGAAATACAGTTCTCTCTTCCCTTCTCCCCCCCCCCAAAAAGGGGAGGAGGGAAACAGAATTTAAAAAAAGGGCAAAAATACTGTAATCCTTAAAAGTCCAAAAAAGAAAAAGGAAAAAAAATCAAAAAAAAAATCCAAAACCAGGAACAAAGAGATCAGAAACAGTCATTTAAGTCCAGTACTTTAAGAACAAAGAGACAAAAAAAAAAAAAAAAAACTCCGACACTTTCAAAACGCCATCTTATTTTCTCTCTCCATGCCAGCAAGAAAGAACAAAGGAAAGATAGCCAAAACTAACTAAAAAAAAAGAAATAAAACACTAGACTAAAAAAGAATCCTTTAAACCGCTCTGTCCGCTTCAAAAGTTACTCACCAAGACACTGTGATCGCGGAGATAGAGGCGGCGGTTTCTTTTGCTTCCAAAGAAGCAAAAACAGCTGGGAGGTGGAGATCAGCAGGAGCTCCGAGGGAATACTCCTTCCACCCCCTCTAGAAATAAATCCAGAGGGGGTTCAGGGGTTCTACCTCTACTCCTGCGTTCTCTACCCCTTCCCTTTGCCCGGGAAGGGGATTCCAAACCGCGGGCCAGCTGATACGCGCTGCGCTCCGCGGTTCTGACACCTTCCCAGCTGGACGGCTACTAAGTAGCCGCCATCGCCGTCGCCCGTACCGGAAGCTCCCTCTATATCATTTTTTAGTTACCCTGTGAACCTCTTCTAACTTGTCCATCTTACCCGGATATCCATGTGAGATTTCCTAGGCATTAATGTTTGGCAGAACATAAAAGCACTTCCAGGATGAATAACAAATTATCTGCATCACATTTGGTTGATTGGACAGCCATTTGCCTGGAATGTATAGGGTTTCCTGATTCCAACTCTGTTATTCTGATCAATGACACTTACTATGTTCCCCCGAAAATGAGACCCAATCGGAAAATAAGCCCTAGCATGATTTTTCAGGATGTTCGTAATATAAGCCCTACCCCCAAAATAAGCCTCAGTTAAGATTGTCAGCCAGACAGACGCACTTAGTACCATATTTTCTTGAAAATAAGACCTAACCAGAAAGTAAGCCCTAATGCATCTTTTGGAGCAAAAAAATTAATATAAGACCCGGTCTTATTTTTGGAAAAACACAGTAGTAGGATCTCTAAGGATCAGCCCATTTTGGTGGTAGGGAGAACTAATTGGCTAGAAATATATATTGGAAGGCCCACATAAGATTAAAAACACGGAAAATCAAGAATGTGAATTCTGCAAAAGTGCTTCTTTCTAGCATAAACCTTCTCTTTGGGTCAGTTATGCATTCCCCTCTCATTAAAGAATGAATTTTATTTAATTCATGTTACCTTCCAGTAGAGGGAGCTTGAATATATGAATTTTCTGCTCTATTCTGAGAAATTATGAAAGGCTTTTCTTCCTCGTAAGCGTTTTTGCAAAATAATTTCCAGAAAAAGTCAACAATGTTTAAAACCCATTTTAATTCCAGTTTATGGCTTTTCTGATAGGCCTGATAGTGTAGGGCAAAATAAAATGGCTGTGGTTTTTTTTTTAAAAAAAATCTATTTAAAAGGTTACTTTGACTAGTAAAATGAATAAGAATGTTCTGAAAATGGGCATGTTAACTTGAAACAAGTAGAAGCTTTTCCCAAAGGTGCTTTTTTCAGGAGGCAACTAGACTTTCTTGTTTTTCTTTGAAGACGTTTCGCTTCTTATCCAAGAAGCTTCTTCGGTTCTGACTGGATGGTGGGGAATGGAAAGATTTATATTCCTTCCAGGCAGCTGGTCATTTGCATTCTTTTAGAGAGTCGTTGAAGCCATTTGGAGGTTTAGCTGTGTCCTCAGGGTCACCTGAGTAGTGCAAATGTGTGTGGAGCCTTCTTGACTTTTTCTGCCCTGTGTCCCTTCACTGTTGAGGACAGGCGCAGGCTGTTGGGGATGAGTCTGTGTTGTCTGCTTCTCAAAATGAAGCGCAAATGGTCTGCAATGTTTTCTGGAAAATCCATTCATACTCCTCCATCATTGAAAGAGTGTCTTTATCACCATCAACTTTCTTTGATTCTTTGGCTCTATTATGAGTCCATGGTTTTAATATATCTTTTGAAAAAAGCAATGGGATTATGTGACAGACTATGCAAGATGATTGGTGTTTTCTTACATTGCTCCTGGTCCTGCTATAGATAACATGTTGAAGGGCATTGTGGACTTGCATCTTGTCCATGAGCCATGGTGGCACAGTGGTTAGAATGCAATATTGCAGGCTAATTCTGCCGGCTGCCAGCAGTTTGATTCTCACCGGCTCAAGGTTGACTCAACCGTCCCTCCTTCCAAGGTCAGTAAAATGAGGACCCAGATTATTGGGGGCAATTTGCTGACTCTGTAAACCGCTTAGAGAGGGCTGTAACGCAGTGTGAAGCGGTATATAAGCCTAAGTGCTGTTGCTATTGCTATGTTCACTTTGCATGGGAAAATGGGGCAGGGTTTAATTCAGCAGAACTACCTGTTTTGATTTTTTTAAATATAATTTTACTGAGCTTTACCATAATAGCACTAGCAATAGCAACAGAAGGGTGAAGTTTTTGTCGAGTTCTTGAAAGAATAGTTTCCAATCAGTGCAGATGGAGGTTCTACCCTGAAAAGCAATCATTCTTACCAGACTGATCACAAGCATGGTGTGCGTATCATATGAAAATGGCTGCTTCCACCATTTTGTGCCATTCTGGTTCTGCCTAATGAGCAGTTCAGGTGTTCCTCCTGCTCCAGATTTTGATATTGATAGAACTTCTTTTGTGTTTTCAGTCACAAGTTTGGAAAAAAGGTGTTCTATTTGAATTACTTAAGTGACTTGAAAGACCACCTGAAATACGAACATTTAAGTATCCCCGAAGAAGTGATCCGGTATGTGATTTTTTTCTTCTTATTTTAAGGGCTGATATTTACAGCCATTTTTATTTTTCTCAGAGGCCTGCACAGATTTTGATATGACTGATTTAGATTAGGCTGCACTTTATAGAGCTGGGCACTTTGCATCATCACCAACATGAGTCTCTGAAACTGTTTCCTGGAGTGTTGTGGTGTCGTTGTCCATAGTGGGCCTGCAACAGAATGCTTAGTGTGCATGAAAATGCTTGGATGATCCTTCCAGTGAGATTGTACATCTGAGACACTGGAGGAAAACAAAACCTGCACTCTGACTGTAATCATCAATCAGTGGGTTTGATGTTTCATAACAAGCTGCCATGATTTGTACTTGGTACATGTTTTGACAAGAAACAATGGATGGAAACTAATCAAGGAGAGAGGCAACCTGAATTAAGGAGAAACTTTCTAACAGTGAGAACAATTAACAAGTGGAAGAGCTTGCCTTCAAAAGCTGTGGGTGCTTCATCACTGGAAGTCTTTAAGAAGAAACTGGACAGCCACTTGTCTGAAATAGTGTAGGGTCTCCTGCTTGAGCAGGAAGTTGGACTTGAAGACCTCCAAGGACCCTTCCAGCTCTATTCTGATTGAAATACTTGGCATCATCCAAGCAGGAAGCCATACCTGGAAGCACACACAGATTATCTCAATGTTTTTCTCAACCTTGGCAACTTTCAAACTGTTTAGGAGAGGAGCTATGGTCTTCTAAAGCAACGTTTCTCAACTTTAAGCTATGTGGACTTCAATTCCTAGAATTCCCCAGCCAGGTAGCTGGGAGGGGAACTCTGGGAGTTGAAGTCCACACATCTTAAAACTGCCAAGATTGAGGAACATTGGAATTACCTTCTCAATGTGATGAGCTTCATAGCCAGAAGAAATAATGTAGGAAAAATTACAGGCAATGGGTTTTCTCTTTTGATCATTTTTTGAATGTTGGATTTCTAGCAATTAGTATGGGGAACCATGGGGTTATTGAATAAATAGGAAGAGGGGCACTCTTGAAGCAGTGCTCACAAAGTCATCTTCTCTATTGATCTGAAAGGAATATCAGCAAGAACAGCAAGCTTAAGACTCATTATTAACCAGCATAAGTAATCTTTTGTCCTGTATTTACATGGCTCATCCAGAAAACCTAATTAAGTCCATGTTTCAGCTGTGGGAAGTGAACTCTTATGATTTAGCACTCTGGTTGAGAGGATCCATGGCAGTGATTACTGCTTTGTTTGTTTTTCTGTCCAATGTTAAACATAGTTTTGTTTTGTAGTTCTTAAAATGCACTACTTTAAACATGTGCATCTAAATGAAAGACACATAAAACAAACAGAACTGTGACTTAAAAAACATTAAAAAATCTCAGGTACAAGATAAAATAAACTATAGTTTAGGAACAGATAAAACCTGTAAGAATAGCAAACTTTGCATTCTGTTTATATTTTGCTTCTAATATGAAGTTACTCCAAGCGAAAATCGAAGTCTAATTGATGCATCCTTTCAGAATCCCCCCCTCCTCCTCCATCTCTTTTCTTCACCATTTTCTCTTCCACCAATGAGTTTGGTTTGAGTGATATAAATGAACCAAATGTTTTATCTCTTGAATGTTGAGATTGTTTTTCCCCACCAGACATGATGAAAATCTTCGGATGAAACAGAAGAGCAGATCCCTTCCTCCAACAAAATGTCCTCCACCACGGCCTCCTCTTCCAACACAGCAGTTTGGAGTCAGCCTCCATTAGTAAGCCCCCCTGCTTTATTTGACCTTGTTGCTGACTGAAACCTTAACCTCTACAAAATTAACTTGACGCCACTCTCAGGCATCCTACATGTCTTGATGCCATGGCGATCAGCTTGACATCTGGGCTTGTAAAGGAATGCAGAGATCATCTTGGGGATGAGGTCGGAGAGAAAAAGCTCTTAAGGGGGGACTTGTAAATAACATCAGATGATCCAGAGGAAAAGGGAATCCTGAAAAAGAGCCCACAGCAACCCCACCTTGATTTTGCTTGGGAGAAGATGGAGTAGTATAGAGAGAAACTTAACCAAGTTTTTCATGTTTTCTTCTACCCAGCAATGATAAAAACATTTCAGGGATCCCTGTTGTGTCATTTTTGGACCGGATCTACTTCACAGGCCAGGACTTTGAAAAATCATGAGCTTGGCTTGCTTGTCTCTCCTTTATTTTAAAAATTGGGGATTGAAAGAAAGGGAATCCAAAGAATGCATGAAGGGATTCTTTGTAAAACTTAAAGAGTGTTCCAGGGATGCTTCTTTCTTGCACTGTAGTGCCTACTAATACAACCTGACACTTTCTGCCTGTCCACGTTATTAATAGCTACCGATGGTGTCATTTCTCCTTTGCTTAAGACAAATGCAGTGAGCCACAATGGTGAAAGAATGATCAGAGAAAGAATAACTGTCCTGTGTTTTCTATCTGAAGCAAACTTATAAGCTTTCCTTATATTGGTGCTTCTAAGTATGATGTGGGGGCTCAGCCACATGGGTCGTGGAGCTAATCCTGAGTGGCTGAATTCATATTTCAGCCAAACTCAGTTACATCCCCCCATGTCACTTCATATCTGTTTAGATAGATTTATACATTGTTTTAATGAATAGAGGGACTCCCTCATTTTAACCTGATAAATAACCTTGAGGACTTGACTTGGCTGGGAATAAGGGAATAGCCCAAAGTCAACTAAGGGCCTTCAATCTTTCAAGATCAACAAAAACGCTGATGAAGTGATTGATGTTCAAGATCTTTTCATGGCAGGAACATCATCATCCATTTTTCCTGGTTTTATTTTAGGTCCCAACTTGAGTTAGGAAATTGGGATTTTTGGATGGTGTCCCATGCACCATGGAAATTGCACGCTGCCTGAAATTCTTTGGACTAAAGCATGGTGGAAATCTTGTTAATAAAGAAATGCATGTGCTACTCTGTTTTTATCTGCTTAGTCTGAGAGCCCAAGTTGGCCAAATGCTGAGTTAACCTTAAAGAAGAAAAGACATCAAGCTTGACATCTTCTGGATAAAAAGATCAGCTGGATTGTCCTTTAGTCAGACAGCCTTGAAAAATGCTCACTGTCCTTCTGAAGATCTATTGATGTTCATACTGGCCACGCCACTCCTGCTACTGTTAGCGGGAGCTTTCTGTCAATTTCTAAAGTACCAAAACTAAACCTTTCTCAAATAACAGAATTTTCCATTTATGGACATGGAATTCTTTGAGACTGGTTAATTATCCTTGTCATCTCACAGAATTCTCCTGTGTGAACTTAAATTGGGCACTTAATTTCCAGAAAGTGAGGGAAACTTTTGGCTGTATAACACACAACTTCCCACCTTTGAGTCTTCAGATAATCAATACCAGGAATGATGTTGGCTAAATATGTATTCGTAGTGATCCCTTTTCCAGGATCTTGACCTATGATAGTATGATCCATGTTCTGGATCATGTAACCCTGACTAGACATGTAGATCTGTATGTTGGAATGTTTGGCATTTATTGGGTTAAGTGCTGTCTCCTTAAGAGATGGCTTATGGGTAATGTAGTTTAGGTAGTTAGCTATCCCATGTTAAGTATGTAGGAGGAGCCACTAAAGTTCATCGTAGGATATCCTGGCCATGTGCCAGTTTGGAATGCCTTTGTCTGAGATAAGCATGGGACCACTGGAGGACTCAGATGGTCTCATTCCACATTAGAAGTTGGTGTGGAGGAAGTATTAATTTCTTACTGTTCTGATCCAGAGTTAAGATGCTTTGTAAATCCAGATGATATAGATAACTCAATAAGAATGATTATAAAACAGACATTTTATTCAGAAATACTTGTTGTTGCTTCTGGATAATATACATCTGTTCATCCTTATAGGTAAGAAATTAATACTTCCTCCACACCAACTTCTAATGTGGAATGAGACCATCTGAGTCCTCCGGTGGTCCCATGCTTATCTCAGATAAAGGCATTCCAAACTGGCACATGGCCAGGATATCCTGTGATGAACTTTAGTGGCTCCTCCTACATACTTGTTAACATGGGATAGCTAACTACCTAAACTACATTACCCATAAGCCATCTCTTAAGGAGACAACACTTAACCCAATAAATGCCAAACATTCCAACATACAGATCTACATGCTCTAGTCAGGGTTACATGATCCAGAACAATCCAGGACATGCCAGGATATTCCACAGTTGAGGGAGGGAGGGAGGGAGGGAGGGAGGAAGGAAGGAAGGATATACTTTGGAGATGGTTAAGACACTAGAATAGAAGCCTGGAGATTGTGAATTCTAGTCCCAACATAGGCATGAAAGCCAGCTGGGTGACTTTGGGCCAGTCACACTCTGTCAGCCCAACCCTTGGGAAAATAGGTAGGAGTTTTAAACAAGTTTGCTGCTTTGAGTTATTTATAAAGGTAGAATAAAATATCTAATCTAATGTCAGGAGATGATTCAACTGTTTTAAAGGGTTGCAGACAGGAGGTGTGTTTGCTCAAAGCCGCTTTTTGGAATCAGATCCAAAGTCTTGCAAACCACAAAATACATATGAACATCATATCTCCTTGTTGAAAAGAACTTTATGAGAAATTATAATGTTAATCATAACATATAATCCCAAATCTACATGCTTGAGGACAGGTTACATGCCTTTTCCCAAGAGTCTCTACTCATCCAGTTTGATCCATCAGATCAGGCATGCTGCAAATCCTGTCAGCCAAGAAGTGTCAGCTGGTGGGGACCAGAAAATGGGCCTTTTCTGCAGTGGCCCCTATTTTCTGGAATATTCTCATCTTGGAAATTAGAATTTTATAAGGCTTTAAAAACCTGGCTGTGTACCCAGGGCTGGGGCTCTGAATATGTTAAGGACCCTGTTTCTAGGTTTTACTGTTAATTGGTTAATTATCTCAGCTGCTATATATATTTATTTTGGATACTTTGATTTATTTATTTTTTTAATGCTTAATTGCCTTTATATTTTTTAGAACTGTAAGCTTCTCAGAGTCACTGGTTGAGACAGGCAGCTATAGAAATTGATTGAATGAATGAATAAATAAATCATATTTCCTTAAACAAGGCTGAAAAAACTGTTTCTCTGAAGATACACATTTCGCTTTTACCCTGTTAAGGAATTCTTCTGAAGTTATGCTGAATGAGCTCCAAGACTAATTTTCTTTTCACACAGGATGTTCCAAGTAACAACTTGCTATCAAATAATTTTTTTTCTCTGTATGGGGGTATCTGCAGTGGTGGGATTCAAATATGCAAACAACCTGTTCTCTGTGTGGATGCCGCTTCTGGAAGTCCATTCTGGGCCTGGGCAATTAAAAATTAGCTACCGGTTCTGCCGAACTGGTGCGAACTGGCTGAATCCCACCACTGGGTATGTGTCAAAATCTACAAGATGGTAGGCACGGCATCAAAATCAAAACATTGTCCCCTTTTTTTGAGATATTTTCTTTTTTTAAAAAAAATGAAAGGCAGGTTAACAGATTAGAATTGAGATAACTTTTACAATGCTGTGATTTTTGTTCAGATCATGTTTCAGCCTGTTTTTTTTTTTTTTCTCCAACAGCCTCAGTGCTAAAAACAAAGGGGAATTAATCCCACCTGTAATGAATCACACAGTGGCTTACTTGAAAAAAAGAGGTAAGGATTCCCTTCCACTTTAAAGCAAAGAATTGCAAATGTCAATGTAGCTAGAATGTAAAAACCATTTCACAAGCGCTCAGAACCAGCACAAGAGAGGTGAAAGTCACCCAGGTCCCTTTCAGCCATGGAAACTGACTTGCTGAGGTTAGTCCAGCCTTGACTCTCCCTGTTATTGTAGTTTGTAAAAACAAAGAGAGCTTTCCATTTAACTTCTGGGTGCCTGGAAGGAAAAAAGGGAGGGGGGAGGGCTCTGAATCTGACATAAAACTAAGTAATGATGCACACACACATATTTTTCCTCTCTGGTCTGAACAGTGACATCAATGGCTATGAAGTATATAAGCAGGGCCCTTTCCTAATTCATCCGAAAGGTTCTATAGGAGATTTTTCCCAGGGGTTCATTTGGACGAGAGACACAATCACAATTATATCCAAATACAAATGGGTTGATTGAGAGGGCTGGAGGCAAAAACAGATCTAAATAGGGGTGGGTATTTCCCTTGAGGAATTTTATTTTATTTTATTTTTTGCAGCGGGGATATTTATTTATTTTTACTTATTAAAATATGTTGCTACCCATCTCATCACAGGCAACTCTGGGCTGCATTAAAGTAATAAAATCATAAAAACAGATAGTTCTAATAACTGTGACAGAAGAAAGCAAAGGTAATACCAATAGTAATAGGTGACTTGGATGTAATCCCAAAACTTACAATTGACTCTTATCTTACATTGAGAAATGTAAAAAAAAACAAATTGTTAGCTTATCCGCTATGGAAGAAACAGAATAAAGAATGAAAATTGTATTTGGGATGGAATCAAATAACTCCAAAACAATAGATCTTACTTGCCAATTCATAATTATTTTTTGGAATTATACAACAAAATGCAATCTTGCAGTTAGCAAAAACAGAAGAACATTTGAATGGAATATTAATTTAAAAAGGAACCTCTTAATCTAAACCTTTATTGGAAGATAGAAGCAAATAAACAATTAAAAATGAATAAAATGCAGGGCCTAATATTTCTCCAACACATTACAAGAGTTTTCAAGAAATTCTGAACAGAGTAATGAAAGAGATTCAGATATATGAAGGAGATAATGAAAAAAAGTCTTTAATTTCCTTGATTTATAAAGAAGGAAAGATTCACCTTGTCCTGAAGCATACAGGCTTACATAATTATTAAATGCAAATTATAAACTCTTCACAGCAATTCTTACTAAGAGGATAAGTGGGTTTTTAACTGAGGCAATAGAGTAGATTTTGACCAGATTATATTTTTCCTGAAGAGAGGTATAAGAAATAACGTGAAACATGTTGATAAGATAAACCAAAAAGACCAAAAAATATCTATGATTTTTCTTGATGAGAAAAGCCTTGACCTTGGGAGGGCCTTTTTTGTCAATTTTTTCTTTAAGGACTTCCATCCTTCTGAGGTCAGCAAAATGAGGTCCCAGATTGTTGAGGTCAATATGCTGACTCTGTAAATGGCTTAGAGAGGGTTGTAAAGCACTGTGAAGTGGTATATAAGTCTAAGTGCTATTGCTAGAAGAATAGTTAATCAAACCATGGAAATACACATGTGCTATTCAGGTCCTGGATTAAAAGCTTTTGGGTCAAGGCAAAAGGAGGCCTCAGACCCCTGCTAGTGCAGAGGGGATGACTAGCCATTCTCCCAGGTTAGAATAGAATAGAATAGAGCTGGAAGGGACCTTGGAGGTCTTCTAGTCCAGTCCCCTGCACAAGCAGGAGAACCGATACCATTTCAGAAAAATGGCTGTCCAGTCTCTTCTTAAAAACTTCCAGTGTTGGAGGCATTCACAACTTCTGGAGGGAAGTTGTTCCACTGATTAATTATTCTAACTGTCATGAAATTTCTCCTTAGTTCTAAGTTGCTTCTCTTTTTGGTTAGTTTCCATCCATTGCTTCTTGTCCTGCCCTCTGGTGCTTTGGAGAATAGCTTGACTCCCTCTTCTTTGTGGCAACCCCTGAGAGATTAGAAGACTGCTATCATGTTACCCCTCATCCCTCTCTTTATTAAACTAGACATACCCAATTCCATTGGGTATGTCTAGTGAAGGAGGTGAAGGTGAAGGAGTCTCCATAGGTATCTTTAAGCAAAAACCTCTTAACCCAGTATTTCTTCACCTTGGCAAATTGAAAAGCTAGGGCAGGCGTCCCCAACCCCCGGTCCATGGACCAGTACTGGGCTGCGGCATGCCAGCAACGGCCCGCACAAACAAGCAAAACCCCATCCGTGGAATGCAGGCAGCACACACAATCACACACGCTCCGATCCATGGAAAAATCTTTCTCCACGGAACCGGTCCCTGATGCCCAAAAGGCTGGGGACTTCTGGGCTAGGGCAAATAAATTTAACAAACAAATTGAAGGTGTATGGACTTCAGCTCCTTGAATTCCACACGTCTTCAAGTAGCCAAGGTTGAGGGACTTTACACCATTTTACATAAAGTGGTGACCAATATTTTTCTCACTCTTTGAAAGCAACGACCAAATGTCTTTGTGAGCCCTTTGCTTCTTCCATGCACCCAGCATCACATACAACCAGGCAAAACAATAGGCTCATTTTCAGTTCTTTCCAGCTCATAAAACAGGAGATGCAAATTGGAGCTTAGATTTCTACTGATGCCTACTTTGCTTGAGTAAATGTCTCTGCATAAATGCTTTTGTTATGCAAGAGAATTGGGCTGTGATGTTCACACTTTTTGCCTGCAGAAACTTTGAAACACTAAACAATCACAACAATGCAGCAAGGTGGAGAAAAAATTATTTTCACCTGATTTCTGGTATAACAAGCGAAACAATGGCTAAAATAAACCAGTATGTACTGGAAAAATGACACCTATATTCACAAGAATGCTGAGTATTTAATTTAGAGGGTCAAATGAAAGATAGTGGCAAAAAGTCACTTTAGTCTTTCCCTCTTCAAGGACTTAAAACGGAAGGGTTGTTTCGAAGATCAGCTGGCATCAAAAGGATTCAGGAGATTCAAAAACTTTACAATCAAGGTAAGTGGATCTTTTATTAGCAAGAAGTAAAAAAGCAAAAAAGCAAAAAACAGAAACAAACCCTGGCAGGCAAACATAGACTAATTTCCATTAGTTGTTTGATTAAACACAAACCCCTTTAAAAAGTGAAATGCCATATTAGATAGGCAAGGGATAAGGGCATCTGTAAAGAATAGAATAGAATAGAATAGAATAGAATAGAATAGAATAGAATAGAATAGAATAGAATAGAATAGAATAGAATATGGAATGAAGAATGGAATGGAATATGGAATGGAATGAAATATGGAATGAAGAATAGAGTAGAGTAGAATAGAATAGAATAGAATAGAATAGAATAGAATAGAATAGAATAGAATAGAATAGAATAGAATAGAATAGAGCTGGAAGGGACTTTGGAGGTCTTCTAGTCCAGCCCCCTGCTCAAGCAGGAGAACCTATACCATCTCAGACCGGTGAATGTCTAGTTTTTTCTTGAAAATCTCCAGTGATGGAGCACCCACAATTTCTGCGGGTAAGCTGTTCCACTGGTTGATTGTCCTCAAGTTTCTCCTTAATTCCAGAGTGGGTGGGAAGGTGGTCAAACGTTCACAGTGAAAAATTTGTGCACACCTGGGCAAGTGCAGCTATGAGGCGGAATGAGGCAACTCTCCACAGGCAACTCACCGTGGCTAATTCACCACAGGACCACTCACCATGGCCAACTTGCCGCAGAACTATTTAATTTAAAATAATTTTAAAAATAATTTTAATTTTTGTCATTCACATTTCATTTTGTCCCTCCTTTGGCATTCTTTCTTTAATGATTCTACAATTTCTTCAATGTTAGTGTAACTCTTGTTTCGTGGCAAATTGTCCCATAGCGAATTGGCTGCAAGCAAGTGGTCCCAGAGGAGGGGGGTTATAAAATCAAGATGACCTCTGCAAAGCATAAGGAAAAATGTTTTACTTTCTTAAAACCTATCCAGAGCATCAAAAATGCAACTAAGGCTTCCAATTTGGGCTTGTGAATATTTGGGGGAGGGTTACAAAGGGAAGACTGTCAATTAAAGCCCACCTCAGGAACACATTTTCTGCCGTCTTGATTTTCAAGCAGTCTCCCTTCCTTGATTTAATTATATTAGTCGCTGATAAACACTGGCTTTTCAATCTCTCTGGTGCATGTTACTGGTCTCTCATAATATTAAAAGAAAATATTAGATATATAATTTATTAAACAAACGTCCCCCCCTTCATTCTTATGAGGAAAGGATATCCTGATTCCTCCCAATTATCATAATTAGTTAATATACTAGAAATGCGGTTCCCCAAAATATATATTACAGTAGTAAGATAATTTTCTTTTTAATTTAACCAGTTCCCCACTCCACACTAGGTCTTTCAGGGACTGGAGAGATACCATCATAACCTTAAATCAAGAAAGAAGAAGCTAGAACCAGCATTTAAAACAGTTTAAACAATGAATCGTGACCAACTTATATTGATGGCTTCATAACAGCTATGAAATGACAAATTTTGAATCCCGCATAGTTTGATTTGCTCTAAACAGCAATATCACCTCCTCTGCTTTTTGCTTTATTTATTTTTTTTAGTGCTTTTTCCTGTAGATACGATGTCAAAAGAAATCATTTGTGAAATGCACTAGAGTCATTTTATGAAATGTTTTTATAGTGCAAGTATCGTGCTGCTAGATAATAACATACCATTGTCACCACAATAAGGGAAAAAAGAATATGCAGTATAAGATTACTCTATCTCTTATCTGATATAAAATCAAATTACTTTGAAAAAAATAAATGTAACATTTGATAAACTTCACAAACTCTCTTAAGTGGAAAAGATCTGCATTTGAGCCAGCTTAGAGCCACTGAAAATATGGAAATAATGATCCAATTATAGCTGTAGCAAGAAGGGTCTTGAGGTTATGAAGTAGGTAGGTAGTTGGGTAGGTATGCAAAATGGAGTGCTGCTTATCTCGCTTCAGGGCACTGATGGGAAGCTTATAACATCAAAATATAGATAGATAGATGGAGGGAGGGAGGGAGGGAGGGACAGACACAGACAGACAGACAGATAGATGATGGAAATAGATCAGTGGTGGCGAACCTATGGCACGGGTGCCAGAGGCGGCACTCAAGAGCCCTCTCTGTGGTCACACGTGCTGTTGCCCCAGTCCTAGGCCTTCAGCTGGGTTTTATAAAACCTTTTCGCTTTAGGCCTCTGCCGCCGTGTGCAAAAAAAAAAAAAAAGGTTCAATCAGTCAATTTCAACTTCTCGCGGGAAAAAATATCTTGCAGAGTTGGAATTGATTGATTGAACTTTTTAGTCCCACCCAGTCTGCCATTACCACTGCAGCCACGCCCACCCAATGGGCCACACCCACCCGGCACCCAACGATGCATATGGGTTTTGGGTTACAGTTTGGGCACTCTTTCTTTAAAAGGTTCGTCATCACTGAAATAGATGATAGATTTATTTTGATGTTGTAAGCTGCCCATATGTACAATATATGTATGTATGTATGTATGTATTTGTATGTATATGTATGTGTGTGTATAAATATACACACACACAAATGTGTAAAACCACAATAAAATCATAATAAAATACAAATTGTAACTAAGACTAAAAGACAGGGAGGAAAAGAACAGTGTATGGGGGTGAGATGGAAGCTGCTGTTAGCTGATCAACTGTATCCAGTGTCACCGTCCTCATTGGAGCCACAAGCTAACTGGCAGAGCCAGGTCTGTTCCTCAGGTAACCAGGATCCATGCCATGCAGGGCTTCATAAGCAGCAAACAACACCTGGAATTGCACCCAGGAGCAAACCAGCAATAAGTGCAACTCATGGAAGAGTGATGTAACATGGGCCACTCTAGGGGCTCCAAAGATTGCCCACAATGTTGCACTCTGCACCAGTCAAAGCTTCCAAAGGCTCTTCAAGGGTAGCCCCATGTAGACTGCATTGCAGTAGTCCAAGGGTGAGATGGCCAGGGCTTGAATGACTGAGTGCAGGGACTCTTGACCCAGGAAAGGGTATGAAGGATGTTTGAATTAAATCCTGTGGTTTAAATTTTCTTATATGTATTCTTGGGCGTTTTCTGTTGCAGGAAAATCTGTTGATTTTGATGAATATGGAGATATTCACATCCCTGGAGTAATCCTGAAGGCTTTTCTCCGAGAACTCCCCGAACCTTTACTGACCTTCCCAATGTACGATCAGATCATTCAAATCACCAGTGAGTCACTTTCCTCAGATATATGGCTTTGACTCATCTGTACTTTCGACGGATAACAGCATATTTTCTGAATGGCAAAACATGGGTGAAGCTAGAGAATTTTTTTTCAGAGATGTAGATCTCTGCAAAGGAGATTAACATGTCATGATGCACCCTCTCTAGATGTTTGGGCTGGAAACTTGCTTTTCACCTTAATATCAGATTTTGCATGCATTCCTCTAAGCCCCTTGAGACCTGTGCAAAGCCTACAAAATTTGGTGGGCCGAGACACAGAGACATCTTTAGTCCTGCTCCTCTCTCACATCTTCTGGAATTTGAAAAAAAGGGAAGACTGAATCTGAGTTGAGCGTGAGGTTGCAGTGGCAAGATGGGAGCAGAAAAACCCAGAGAGAGAAGGTCATTATGAAAACACAACGAAGAAGCCTTCCACATCCTGGACTGGAAAAAGAACAGCAACAATTTCATTACTATGAAAGGGTGGAAGAAAGAAACCTGGGTTTTTAATTCTGGAATTGCTTGGAAGGAAGGAGAAACTCATTTTTTTATGTTGTGAGTGGAGCACGTGATGACTTGGGAGAGGATGAAGGTTCTTGATATGGGTGTGGAGCTCAAGCAATATAGGAATATTCCCTGCCCATCTGAGTAGGAGTTTGCTGGAATACCAAAAGTGGTAAATCTGTCTGAAGTGCCATTGTTTTAGGCTTCATGTCCAGACTTAGGCAAAAGGATTGAGTGACCCTACAAAGGATTACTTCTAGACTAGAGGGACCGTCTGTCTTGTGGTAGGGCCTGCACCAAGTTTATCTTGATTTATTTCAAAAAAGATGAGTAGGGTTGAGACATTTAGTAATTGAAATAAATAAGAGATTGGGGACAAGGGGTGTCAGGAGGTCAAAAAAGTTGAGATGGTGACCACACCTACGTCTGAAGCCCTGTCCACTTTTGCATGCTTAATGCAGTATAAAAAGGGGTGGAGTTGCAATCGAGCAACCTTTTGGTTTAGCAATTGTCATCCTAACTGAGGAATATCTGAGCATGTTTCCTAATCTGAGTATATATAGCTATTAATGAATGCGTGTACAAAAATACTTAGTGCATCTTCTTCAATGGGGTGATAGGGTATAGTGCAGTGGTGGCGAACCTATGGCACACATGCCAGAGGTGGTACTCAGAGCCCTCTCTGTGGGCACGCACACTGCAGCCACTAGCAGCTCGCGCAGGTCCATTAGGCTGCCATCGTCCAGAGCAGCAGCCCCACCCAGCACAAAGCAGGCAAAATGGCCGGCTAGCAAGCTCGAGTAGAGATGTTAACGTATCGAGGTGGCCACGCCTACCTGGCCATACCCACCCAGTCTGCTGTGACCATCCTGGCCACGCCCACCCAGAGGACCACAAACCCCTCCCTCCCTGAGGGAACCACAATGCTGATGGCACTTTGCAATAAATAAGTGGGTTTTGGGTTGCGGTTTGGGCACTCGGTCTCTAAAAGGTTTGCCATCACTGGTATAGTGTTATTTTCCAGTAGTCTTTCTTATATCTTTAGGTCTGCAGATTTTGCTGATCCTGTCTTTTTCAGCTTCATTCTCCCTACGGTTGCACTAAATATTATACGGACGTGTTGTGGAGGAATCAAACTCAACATAAGGGAGCATTTATTTTCACCTTATTGAACTTTCATCCACCCAGGCCACTTCAGGAGAAGAATTCAACTAGACTCGGTGAATGAAATGGTTAATCCCTTGTCTTTTCTTATAGGTGTGGAAAGTAGCTTGCGAGTGACCAGATGCAAAGACATTGTACACAGACTTCCTGAGCACAATTATGTGGTGCTGAAGTTTCTGATGTGTTTTCTCCACATGGTTCGTACAAATTAAATTCCCAACTTTGTTGCTGTTTTAAAGTGTTCTCTTAACTGATTCATCTGGTATCGGACCCAAAGTATGTCTGCAGGATAGGGTCAAAAAGATGGCTGATGCAATGGAGTGATTGACACTACCTGCTTTTTATGTTTATGATGAGCACCCCATCCTAGCAACCATACAGTATTTACTTTTTTTTTTTTTTACCATAACCTGCAGAAAATCTGGTACCTGTAATGGTATGTAGGAATGACCTTTGGAAATAGGAAGAATAGCCACAGCCTAGACCAGGGGTAGGCTACCTCGGCTCTTTTATGACTCAGGAATTCTGGGAATTGAAGTCCATGAGTCATAAAAGAGCCGAGGTAGCCTACCCCTGGCCTAGGCAATAATCCAATGAACAAAATTTGAGTCCAAAAGAGGGGTGCAGAAAGTGTCTCAAAGGGACCCACCCTAGTTTTGGAGAGAGTAAAAGTCAGGAAGGGACAAGTAAGATTCAGTTACTGTAAGTTTACAATAAAGGTTGGTGCTTCTTTGGATTGCCTCAAAGGGCGGACAGTTCCAGATGAAATTTTTATTCTCAACTTTATCAATACATTTACCAATCCTCCTCCATTACTAGAGACTTTCAACCATAGCTTCTTTTGCCTCAAAGATTAATTTATATGTGACTTTCCTTTCTGCCACGATCCTCACCTTCCATTGATTTGAGAGCCACCTGGGCTTTTCACACGATCATGAGGTGGGAAAAGTTTCATAAAATGGGCATGACCAGGGGCTACATTTAATTGGATCCTCCTCCTCCTCCTCCTCCTCCTCCTCCTAGGCCAGTGGTGGCAAACCTATGGCATGGGTGCCAGAGGTGGCACTCGGAGCTCTCTCTGTGAGCACACGTGCCGTTGCCCCAGCCTTGCCTCCCCCTGTGACCCTCTTCTCACCACCGGTCGCCCCCGAGCATGGCCCATGCGGAGCAGTGCAGCCAAAGACATGGCAGCCAGGGAACGTAGACAAGACTCTGCCCTCACGCCCCATTCACACAGTTGATGCTGCGGGGCGCAGGCAGAGAGCGTGGCTGCCATGGCGCTGCTAGGCGATCTGTGCCAGGCCCTGGAGGCGACGAGTGACCCTGCGGGCAGGTGGAGTAGGGGTGGAGCGGGGCGGGGCCAGTTTTTGGGCCCTCGGTCTCTAAAAGGTTCGCCATCACTGTCCTAGGCTTAACAAGAATAAAGACAAGCAAAATGGAGCTTGCTCCCCCTCTCTTTTTAAAAAGTCCATCAAAGAGCAATTTCTCTGACTTCTTTAGGCCATGCTTCTCCAAGGTGTTCCTGGGTACCTGCCCAGGAACCCGGATTGACCACTTAACTATTTCAGGTCAAAGGTTACCTCTACAATCCTCAAAGAGCCGAGGTGGCGCAGCAATTAGAGTGCAGTACTGCAGGCCACTTTAGCTGACTGTGTTCAGCAGGTCAGCGGTTCAAATCTCACCGGCTCAAGGTTGACTCAGCCTTCCATCCTTCCGGGGTAGGTAAAATGAGGACCCAGATTGTTGGGGGCAATGTAAATATATATATACATTGCTTACTGGTGTACACCGCTTAGAGAGTGCTTGCACTTAAAGCGGTATATAAGTCTCATAAATAAATAAATGCCCATTCCTCTTCTAGCAGGAAGAAACAGAGACAGTTTATTCGTGCCCATACATGCTGAAACAGACTTTTCAACGTAGAACACAGACATGGAATAAAGTGGAAATGTATAATTAGTTCATGCCATCACTCTCTATGTACTCTCTCCCCCACACAATTACGTATAAGTATTTTATTTCTTAGAGTTTTGGCCAGCTGCCTAAAAAACAGTAGAAGCTAGCCCAGGGCAATAGAGCCACCTGCTCCGTGAGCTTTAGAGTTGAAATGTCAGGGGAAGAGGAAGGAAATAGGGCTTCCCCCTGCTTAACACAATAGCTTTATTGCTCCCGTCACAAAAATAAATATTTTCCAAACCTATTATCTCTGTATTTCAGGGGACAGATACACACACACATCCACACACACCATTAATCACAAAATGGCTTAGTTCATCTCTATTCATCTCTAGGTGCCCAGATTCCTTTTATAAAAAAATATTGGGACCAGTGGACCACTGTGGGATTTTTTTGTGCATGAAAAGCAAACCCTAATGCATTTTCTTAGAAAAACAGACAGTGCTTGAATGAAAATAAATTGCATCATATTCTTTCAGATTTTATTTTATTTTATTTTTTGATCCTTCAGCTTTTGGCTGATTTCCTGATCAGGAGAGCTTTGGTATTGTGTCAAAGAAACAAAGTGTTGAAGGAAAAGTCTTCATTGTGATTCAGTCCAAGCCGGGGATAAACAATATGGTGACTGCTTTAGAAAGAAGGTTGCAGTTTATTGAAGAGGAGAGCCAGACAGAAAGGTGGCTCTGGAAGAAAAAAGAGAGAGCACATGTAGGGAGTGGGTTTTTATACCCTCTGGAGCCTTTTGTTTGGAGGTTATTTCCTGTTCCTGTTTGAGGCTTTGTATTTCCTGTGTTATATATTTTGACCTGTGTCCCTTTGGCATCTGTGAGTTAATCCTATTATGTCCTGTCTTAGACTTTGGGTGGGGTATGTAGATTTTAGGTGTCTTTGCCTTCCTAAGCTTCTAGCTCCAACTTTCCTGAATGGTCTCCATCTGCATTTCTATAGAGCTGGTTTCTGCTTGGGGGAGGCAGACTTGGGCTATTAAGAAAAACTGGGCATGCTTTTCTGCCTCTTTAAGATTCTTTGAGGAAATATATTTTTCTGCCCTTTTAATATTTCCTTCTCTGGGGGACTGACTTGCCACACAAGAGAACATAGTATTCTAGGTATGGAAGACAGTTAGGTGACTTTGGGCCAGTCCCTCTCCCTCAGCCCAATAGTGAAAAAAATGTTGTTGAAAAAAAAATAGGAGGAGGGGACTTTAGGTATATTTTTTTGAGTTGATGAGAAATAAAGGCAGGATTAAAAATTGAATACTTGCTACTGTAATAGCAAGATCAGGTCCAATTAAGACTTTGATGGGAGATCACAAAAAATACCAGGCTCTATGCTAGATGGGGGTCAAAGGTCTCTGGAATGGAGTGATAGCAAGCCACCAGTATTTTGTTAAAAAGCCACACCCATCATGTAGTCACCAGGAGCCAGGCTGGGTTGTAAAAAGACCGCTCTTCTTCTTCTTCTTCTTCTTCTTCTTCTTCTTCTTCTTCTTCTTCTTCTTCTTCTTCTTCTTCTTCTTCTTCTTCTTCTTCTTCTTCTTCTTCTTCTCCTTCTCCTTCTCCTTCTCCTTCTCTCTTCTCCTTCTCCTTCTTTCTCCTCCTCCTCCTCCTCCTCCTCCTCTTCTTCTTCTTCCTCTCTTCTTCTTCTTCTTCTTCCTCCTCCTCCTCCTCCTCCTCCTCCTCTTCTTCTTCTTCTTCTTCTTCTTCTTCTTCTTCTTCTTCTCCTCCTTCTCCTTCTCCTTCTTCCTCCTCCTCTCCTTCTTCTTCTTCCTCCTCTTCCTCTTCTTCTTCTTCCTCCTCCTCCTCTTCTTCTTCTTCTTCTTCTTCTTCTTCTTCTTCTTCTTCTTCTTCTTCTTTCTTCTCCTCCTCCTCCTCCCCTTCTTCTTCTCCTCTTCTTCTTCTTCTTCTTCTTCTTCTCCTCCTCCTCCTCTTCCCTTCTTCTTCTTCTTCTTCTTCTTCTTCTCCTCCTCCTCCTCCACCATCACCACCTCTTCTTCTCTTCTTCTTCTCCTCCTCCTCCTCCTCCTCCACCTCCTCCTCCTCCTCCTCTTCTTCTTCTTCTTCTTCTTCTTCTTCTTCTCCTCCTCCTCCTCCTCCTCCACCACCACCTTCTTCTTCTTCTTCCCTCCTCTCCCCCTCTTCTTCTTCTTCTTCTTCTTCTTCTTCTTCTTCTTCTTCTTCTTCTTCTTCTTCTTCTTCTTCTTCTTCTTCTTCGTCTTCTTCTTCTTCCTCCTTCTTCTTCTTCTTCTTCTTCTTCTTCTTCTTCTTCTTCTTCTTCTTCTTCTTCTTCTTCTTCTTCTTCTTCTTCTTCTTCTTCTCCTCCTCCTCCTCCTCCTCCTCCTCCTCCTCCTCCTCTTTCTTCTTTCTTCTTCTTCTTCTTCTTCTTCTTCTTCTTCTTCTTCTTCTTCTTCTTCTTCTTCTTCTTCTTCTTCTTCTTCGTTGGAAGGGACTTTGGAGGTCATCTAGTCCAACCCCCTGCTCAGGCAGGAAACCGTATACCATTTCGGACAAATGGCTGTCCAGTCTCTTTTTAAAAACTTCCAGTGTTGGAGCATTCACCACTTCTGGAGGCAGGTTATTCCACTGGTTAATTGTTCTAACTGTCAGGAGGTTTCTCCTTAGTTCTAGGTTGCTTCTCTCCTTGATTAGTTTCCATCCGTTGCTTCTTGTCCTGCCCTCAGGCGCTTTGGAGAATAGCTTGACTCCCTCTTCTTTGGGGCAGCCCCTGAGATATTGGAACACTGCTATCATGTCCCCCCTCGTCCTTCTCTTCGTTAAACTAGACATACCCAATTCCAGCAGCTGTTCCTTATATGCTTTAGCTTCCCTTTGCAGTGAAGAACCTCGTTGAGATTTTGCTCTTCACTGAAGTTCTTAGGAAAAAGAACGTTTTTTAAAAACTAGAATTAACTAGTGCTTTCTTTTACTGTTTTTGGAATTATTGTTATCGCTACTTTACAACCCAATCACAGTTCTTAATGACAAGTAGCCAAGGAATGGTTTTCAATGAAAAAATGTGGCAGCTTTTAGAAAGTGGCTCCTTCTAGGAGTTTTTGCTTCTGTAACTGTGACTAAGTAGCTCAGTTATAGAAATCTCTCTCTTCAGGGGCCACCTGGAGAATTTGGGACTAAAACTGCACGATTCTGCTAAAGTGCAAAACTTTAACAAAACTCTGCCATCATTCATAAAACTTGCCAGCTGCAATCTTCCACAGTGTTAATAGTTTTCTGCATTCTCTCATTAGAGCCAAACTCCAAACTTCTATTGCACTAAAAGGGACCTGATTCCCAATCCTGCAGCTCTGTTTCTCTCACTGCTACAAAAAGTTAGCAATTCCTTCTGTGTTCTTGTACCAACATTACTGGATGGATAGATAGCAGACCATTTTTCTGTTACAGACTAGTTGTTAACTATCATTTTACTAAGAGAGAACACCTTGCTCAAAGTTCATTATTTGGCTGGTTCTACCATAACTAGAAGCTGCTTCTTTTTCATGGCATGTAAGTGATTTAATAGTGTTTGCTTATTTATTAAATATATATGCCGTCCATCTCACACTGAAAAGTAACTCTGTTCTTCATACTATTATAAAAATATATAAGATATATGCTATATCATATATTATGCTAGTTTGTTACTATTTTTATACTATATAATGCAGTATTGAAAGAATACAGTTTTAAATATACCATATTTTCCGGCGTATAAAACGACTTTCTGAACCATGAAAATCTTCTCAAAAGTCAGGGGTCGTCTTATACGCCCAGTCGTCTTATACACCAGAAAATACGGTATATTTTTTCCAGACGGAATTATTCCTCTCTATTCTATTAAGAGTTCTGTTCCCAAGACATTCTGCAGATGTCACGTTCTTCCTGTATGTTTAACAGTTACATTTTCTCTGGTTTTATTTGGAGCCACAAGAGAAAAGCATGAGCTTTATTGATTGGGGAAATGTGTAAATCATAGAAAAATAGATTTATTTTTTTTTTAACATTCAAAAAAGGCTTTGGCGCATTGTGCATGTGATGTAGATTTAAAAGGGATCAGCTTCAGTCATGCAGTTATGGTCATTATCTTGATTTTTTTTGTATACTTTCTGACCAACACCTGCTAGATGTGTTGTATATGTTCTGATTTCTATGTCTTTCTTTCTCCAGGTGTCACAGGAAACTATTTTCAACAAAATGACCAGTTCTAATCTTGCTTGTGTCTTTGGCCTGAATTTAATCTGGCCACCCAACAGTGCGCCATCCTTCAGCACATTGGTGCCTATCAATCTTTTTGTTGAGTTGTTGATCGATTTCTATCCCATAATCTTCAGTTCACGAAACGTGCCGGGCGAATGCTTGCCTTGAAAATCAAAAGAAAGGGGACTGTAAGGAACCCACCCCCCCTCCTTCCCCATACAAGGCTGGATGATGAATTCCCATGTTACAAGGCAAGTATTGGAGGAGGAGAGCCGTGTTGGTTTATGGGAGCAAAAAAAATCAGGAGCCCGGCAGCCCTTTTCCCATTCATGCATTTTTATTAAACAGTAGCAGCTTTATAGGATTTTTTGTTTTTTGTTTCTGCACTATCCACCTCCCACTCGTTTGCTTAGCTCAGCATCGGTGCTCAAACAATTCTCTTGCTTTGGGCCATCTTCCTCCATAAGCCCTTTTAAAAATGCATGAAATCACCAATCGGCCTGTTTTTCAGGGACATTAATGCCTGAGCTGTGAGTACTGATTGAATGGTAAACCCAGACTTCGTTTGCCTAGCTGGGAATAAGGCAGGGATTTGAAATGTGCATCTGTTGTGTTCCCCCCAGAGTGTGAGTGGCTGATTGGACTGATTCTGGGCATGAAGAACAGACAGGATTATAAAAGTTTTGCATTGCATTCAAAGAGCATGTGGAAATTTGGTTCTGCATTGCCCCTTTGCTTCCAGACGGCTACACCTTAAGAGAATTGTGTTTTCTGTGCAGCACATGCCAGGAATTAAATGTGCGTTTAAATCAAGCCTCATGAATTATTCAAGAGAGTTTATAAGAAAATTTCTGGTGTGAGAAATATGTGTTTCAAATTTCCCCAACTCCGACAGAAGTCCTGACGATGTCTCCCGCAGTGACTTTGATAACAGTTTCTCTTTACAAATGATAATTGCACCATTCCAGCTTTTGTGAGGCAGGGCCCCGTTGAACTCATCCCTGATTATCGAAGAGCAATTTACAGACCATTTCCATTGCAGAAAAGAAGGTGATTACCAGGGGTAATCTGCAGAAACAGACATGCTGCAGTTGGACGTAGGACAATTTTATTTTATTTTTTTAAAAGGGGGGGGGGGAATTGTAGCATGCAAAATCAAAACTTTGCCTGTTTTTTTTTGTTGTTTGCCTTTGAAAGCTGGTGACTGACAGCGCATAAATGGAGGTAAATATTGCAGTTAAGTTAAACCACAGGGGCTTTAAAATTGTTGCAAGATTTGCCTGATTTTTTTTAGAAGCTTCCAAAAAAGAATTGGTGGAATTGAACACTTTTACTGCGCCAGACTTGACAAGGAAAACGATAGAGTGCTTTTTTAAAACATGTCCCTGCTGTTAGAAAAAAAAAAATAGAAACAAAGAATGGTCTCTCCTAAGATATTTATGTTCTATGTGCAAATTGGGTAGATAGTGGGCTATATTTCCATAAATTACTTAGTTCCTTTGTAAACAAAGATACGTTTTTTATTGATTTTTCTCTGAAACAAGGAAGAGTGTTATTGATTTTCTTGTGTGAGTTTTGAAGGGAAATCTAGAATCTGGGTTTATTGTGGTCAGGCTGGTGTTCCCCCACGTTGTAAGAAGGGAGAAGAGGTAAAGTAAAAGCCCAAATCATGGTCTGGATTTACTCAAGATTTGTAGGTGGTACTTGGCCAGAATGTAGACTCAGAAGATGGAGTCTTCCAGCAAAAAATGATCCCAGCCATCCAAACAAGTCTAACAAAAAGGGATGAAGTCTGTGTTACAGTCAAGAAGACCTAAACCTGGTTGAAATGCTGAAGCAAGAAAGGAGCAGTTCCAGCTTGAAAACAGCTATTTGTCAGGGATAATAATAATAATAATAATAATAATAATAATAGTAGTAGTAGTAGTAGTAGTAGTAGTGGTAGTAGTAAAGTTGGAAGGGACCTTGGAGGTCATCTAGTCCAACCCCCTGCTCAAGCAGGAAACCCTATACCATTTCAGACAAATGGCTGTCCAGTCTCTTCTTAAAAACTTCCAGTGTTGGAACGGGGTTGGACTAGAACAGGGCTTTTCAACCAGTGGTACGGGTACCACCTATGGTACATTGGCACCTGGCAGGTGGTACGCGACCATCCTAGAAAAGTGGTAGTGGGGGAGGGGAATGAGCTGAACCAGTGGCAGCACTGCACAAGCCTGAGCGAGAGATGGCTAGAGCTGCAGGGCTGTCGGGGCTCAGCGAAAGCGCCAGGATCAGCGCTTCTTCAGGGCTGTCAGGGCTCAATGGAAGCATCAGGATCAGTGCCAGGCTCCAGCTGGAGCTCGGCAGTGATCCTGGTGCTTCTGCTGAGCCCTGAAGAAGCACCAATCAGCTGGAAAGCAGCACTGATCCTGGTGCTTCTGCTGGGCCCAGAAGAAGCGCTGATCAGCTGGAATGTTGCAGCCTCTCCAGGGTCTTGTGATTTACATTCAGATGCTTGGCAACTGATTCATATTTATGACGGTCACAGTGTGCCAGGGTCATGTGAAGTGACCAAAACCTGCTGCAACCACCCAGCAGACAAGGGGGAATAAAAACCAAACAACCCCTACCCCACCACCGCTGCCAATCCTCAACAGAAATGCTCACAGCAATGAAAACCTTGGACAGGAGGAAGAGCGCCGCCGGGCGGACAGGCAGGTGTCTTGCTCGGCTGTGGCTTGGGGGGCACGTTTTTCAGTGCCATTGTAACTTCGAACAGTCACTATATGAACTGTTGTAAATCGAAGACTACCTGTACTTCATCACTTTTTTCATTTTTTTTTTTTTTTGGTCATCAAGTTTTTGACACCTTGCTAGGCGACTGGTGGTACTCGGATGTTGCCATATCCTAAAAATGGTACAATGGGTGAAAAGGTTGAAAAGCCCTGGACAAAAGACCTCCAAAGTCACTTCAAGCCCTATGATTCTGCGCAAGATTGCTGAGTCAAAGTACTTCCTCGTTCCTCTGATACGATTTATCATCAGTTACAGGAAGCAGTTGGTAGCTTTAACTTATTTATTTATTTATTTGCAACTAAAGTTTATTTATTTTATTTATTTATGAGACTTATATACCGCTTTAAGTGCAAGCACTCTCTAAGCGGTGTACACCAGTAAGCAATGTATATATATATATATATTTACATTGCCCCCAACAATCTGGGTCCTCATTTTACCTACCCCGGAAGGATGGAAGGCTGAGTCAACCTTGAGCCGGTGAGACTTGAACCGCTGACCTGCTGAACACAGTCAGCTAAAGTGGCTTGCAGTACTGCACTCTAACTGCTGCGCCACCTCGGCTCTTATTGTTGCAACCAATAATCTAATAATAATTTAATGTGGCAGTGCTTTTCCATTCTGGCGCATTGCCCGCTCGATGACTTTGAAAGGCATGTTGGATGTTGGCAGATGTTTATGATAGCTTTCATAACATTTGGTCACACACGCAAAAAATAATCATCATCCAAAAATCTGAAAAGGAGCCAGTACTTTTCACAAAACATCACCATGACATGGAAGGAATCCAGCCATTCAAGCAGAGCATATGGTCTCCATACACCCCTGGGAATATGTGAAGTAGACCAGAGCGAGCCAGGTGTATTTAGAAATGATTGTCCTACCTAGCTCAAACGAAAATCTATATTTCTTGGAAACACTTTGGAAAAATCAAGGTGGCTTGGCTGAACCCAAACCAGGAAGCAGGTTTACTTTCCTGGCACAGCATGTGATGAATAGGAGCAAGATTCTTATTTTAGAACAGATACATTGACAGAGATGTGGATGTTAAATGAGGGGATGATAATCAAAACATTTGAATCAGTGGCATCTATTAAGCAGGATAATTTTAGCTTGGAGAGTTCAATGAATGTCAACATTCAACAAATGTCATTGGAAAGATAGGGGTTGATGATAATTAGACTATGGAAAACAGCCCCTGCATTTCAGCTTTAAGAAACTGAACAAATGAAAGCATGTATGAGGAATGGTTTTTTGATAATCTGATATGTTTAGTTGTAATGACTAGGTCAGGAGTAAGGAACCTTGGCTTTTAGGACTTGTGGACTTCAGCTCCCAGAATTCCTGAGTCAGCACGGCTGGTTCAGGAATTCTGGGTATTGAAGTCCACAAGTCATAAAAGAGCCAAGGTTCCCTACCCCTGGACTAGGTCAACAATTTTTAAGTCAACACAAAATCAGTAATTAATGTATTAAATCTCTTAAGCAAAGAATAAAAGAATATCTGTTTTGTAAATAATTTGAACAACTAAGCCTATATATAAATGTCAGCCTTATCCTCTGGGACAGAGTTTCTCAACCTTTCCACCTTTTTGGACCAGCGTGGTGGTGGGGGGAAGGGGACGGTTCCATGGGGGACGTTCTACTTGGCAACTGGCTCACCTTTATGGCCAGTTGCAGCATTCTGCAGTCATGTAATTGCAATTTACCATGTTTTTAGCTGGTTACCAGCCTTTTCGGACAGTAAAAATGCATGGATTCTCTTAGCAACTGCAGAGTTCATTCAACAGCCATGATGTTTGCTTAACAACATTGCAAAGACAGTTATAAAATCAGGTCTGGTCATGTGGGTGTCTTGACTTACAACTGTCATGACTTACAACAGAAATTAGGACTACCTCTAGCCCTAACTAACAACAGGGAATGTTGAGTGGGGTCCAACACTTAAAATTGCCAAGATTGAGGAACATTAACTTAAAAGATTAATGGATTCTGATAGGAAGTCATGTGTTGCTTACATTCTAGTAAAACATTTGCCCTTTGATAAAACTTAAGATGACTCTGTGGTTTCTGACACTCCAGTCTACTATCACGAGTCAACTGACTCCCCCAGAGCATAGGATCTGGCTTCAAACAGACCCAATTCTACAAGATTAAACTTCTTTACTCTCTATTTAATGTACCCTCACCAAAAGGAAATTCTTGCTGAAATGTTTCTATTCCTTCTAACTATAAGACTGAGAGAAAGTTCTAGAGACGCCCTGAAAAACAGGACTTCTTTAGATAGTTCGCCTGTATGGTTTTTATTTGACCAGACCCATCAAGGGCACAGAACTAGCAAAAAGTGGCAATCAGTGATTCCCTCATTGCAAGTTCCCTGCCAGGAGTGAGATTGTGAAAGTGGTACTGTAGGAAGGGGTGAGTGAAAAATGATAGTCTCTCTGCTTTGTAGCGACCTTAGAAAAATATATGTTGGAATCTGCAACATGTTCTATTTTAGAGTCAAATGGCTTGCAAAAATATTGGAATAGTCCCACTTTTTTCCTCAAAATTCTAATCTGTCAAAATAGTTTTCTGGAAATAAATCTTTGGGGGGCAGGAAATGATTCAGTGTGTTCCAGAGGTGATCTGATCCCATTGCCTTCCAGGAGGCTCCAGAAAAAAATTGGAGTTCCCTTGATTGTTCGGTCCTTTAAACAAGATGTTTTGTATATCCCGTGCATAATAAACCAGGTTAGCCAAGGTTATAATGAAATAACCATCTACTTCACAGAACAGCCTAACTACAACACCTTGCGCAATATTCTTATGACAGCTTAGTTCCTACATTTTAAAAATACATCATTGCTTTTTTTTAAAAAAAAATCTATAAACTCAAAGAAGAGTGTATATCTTCCTCAGTAATAACTTGGACATTACGTGAAGCATATTAAACCTCAGAATATCATCTGTGATTTAGCAGAACTTGAACGTGCAACAATATGGGTCTATTTTGTCTAACATCAGCTCTGACATTTTCCAATCCTAAGTAAAAATCTGAGTAAAAATCTGCAGAGGTTAAAGTTTCCTTAAATGCACAGATAAAATGGCAAAAGTGAACGAAAACACTTTGATTGTAACTTCTTTATGGTGGCATCAAAGCCTTCCTAAATTTTCACTGTGGTTGAGAAAATATCCTCAACAAAGTGCAAATAAACCAATTTGAATTAGTTACACCAGAATTTCCAGGTGGCTTCAAAGTCTTGGAGACTCCTTGGGACCCGTGTTGATATAATCTTTAATCATTTTTATATGGTTAAAAGTGGATTGCAGGAACAATAAAATAGCACCTGAGGCTTCATTTTGTAATCAGGATAATAAGGGAAGCAGATGAAAAGAAATAGGCTTTTGTCTGATGTATTGCAGCTTCATTGGGAATAATGCCTCTCTTTGTTGTAGTTTGTTGCTTTTTCATTTGTGTTTTTCCCTGTAAAATTACTAACCTTTTCTGGCTTCAGCACCTCACATAATGCTGTTCCTATTGTGGCTTTTGGGGGACAGGTCCTGTTTGGTGGGATAGAAGAGGACATCTAAAATCAAATTTCGCCCAAGATTTCAGCCCTGGGGTTGCAGTTCAAATAAATGAGATTTTGAATAATATCTTTATTGTCACTTTAAATTTTATCCAAGATCAAGAATAGCCCATCCTCGGATGCTTTAATTTGTACAGATGGACTTGCATAAATCATGCTAGGAAAAAGCCATAATATTTTCATGCGGGGTTTGCATTAACTATATAATAAATAGGTACACCACTCTCAATGCAACGTATCAACATAAAGTATAATTTGACTCCTACCTCAGGGTCCTGACAGTTGAAGAGAAAAGAAAGAAAAAATATGTGAACTAGAATTCCTCTGTGATTTTTTTTTAAATACAAAAAATGATTTTTTAAAAATACAGGAAAACAAAAAATTAACAAAATGGACAGCAGTGGTCTTGAGTGGAATAAAATAAGAAAAAACATGCACATCAGGATGCTTTTCTCTTAGCATAATGTCCAAAATCTCCATAAATTTCAGAACATTAGAATTTCCATCTCCTTCTTTTTGTGGGAGTTCATTTGACTGCTTAACAAGTTACTGGCCAACAAAGTGTAGAACAGATTGTTCTTTCACTCTTTTTGTTTCATTCCAGAATGTTTGGTGATTCTAAATCACCTTGAGACTTACAACCAATTTAACCTAAACAAAGTTTTAGCCTAACCACCCCCCCCCCAAATCAGACTGGCTGGGGAATTCTGGGAGTTGAAGTCCACACATCTTAAAGTTTGCCAAAGTTGAAAAACAGTGGCCTAAACCAGTGGTTCTTAACCTGCAAGATATCACCCCCTAGGGGGCGATTTCCTTTTTCAGGGGGGCAATGGAACAAAAAGGGGGCGATATGGGGGCGATGGAGTGAGATGTTTTGGGGACACTTTTGAGACTTTTTCATACAGTGAATCGCTGTATATCTGTCGTACAAAAACATCAGATCGCTCGCTATTAGTGGATTGAATTGTGTTTTCAAATGTTCCTCCAGCTAGCTTCAGTACAAAACGCCGTACATATGTGAATACACATTGCTTATCTTCATGCGCATTGTGCAGCAGCCTCTGCTCTTTTTATATTTCTTTTTGCTTCTTAAATTTCACTTGTAATTCAATCATTAAATGTTACTGTTTTTCTTTTCGGGCATTTCACTTTCTTGCAATTGAATTTTGTTTTCAGTGGTCATTACATTTAAGTGTCTTGAATAAATAAGATAATAATGAAATACATGTATCACGAAGTTTGGGAATAAAGTGACGGGTGGCACCAAAATTTTTCACACAGTTGAGATATGGGAAAAAAGACTGGAAATAAATTATTTGCATCGATATGTCCTGATGACAATTTTAAAGAAAACAAAACAAGTGTTTGCATAAATTGAAGAATTATTTCCTATGTTGTGATTGAGAGGTTATGTTGGGGGAGGGGGCGATGACAACTTCCTCATTGGCTCAAGGGGGCGATTCGTTCAAAAAGGTTAAGAACCACTGGCCTAAACCAAGGACAAATTTTATTGGGGATGAAAAAAAAGGAGCAGAATAAAAGTGAAAAAGGTGTCATTTGCACTCAGAGATCCCTGGACAGCACCAGGGGGGGGGATGGGGGGGGAAGAGTTTGGTTTTATACACTAGTTATCTCTTGTAATTTCTCAGCTACAACAAAATCTTAGACCGCTCCTGGAAAAATAAATGACTGAAGCTAATCTGAAACTCCCAGCTGCACACAGATACACAGATACACTACTACAGCTTTTTCCCAAAATTTTTTTTTCTGGCCAGAATCGCCATTCAAATTGAGGCACTTGTCATAACGTCTTGCAAGGTTTGAAATTCCATTATCGTGAACCAACACCACATTGGAAGTCAGCATGCCCCGACGCTTGTTATGGATGGCTCATCTGAGTTTTCATAATGTTTCACAGTAGACTTCTGAATTGATGGTTGTTGAACCACTCTCCGTGAACTTCACTAGCAGTACTTCTCATTTGGCGGGCTTTTCTATGGCACTACTTCCGGTGTGGTATTGGTTCACGATAATGCTTGCTCGCACACTGCTAGATGCACCTAAGAACTTTTGAAGCAGTTCCGTTGGGATGTTTTTGATCACACACACACACCCCCCCATAGTCCAGATTTGGTACTGAGCGACTTAAAATATTTCAAACCTTGCAAGATGTTATGACAAGTGCCTCAATTTGAGTGGTAATTATGTCAACAAGTAATATAATGTAGTTTTTTAATGTGCATAATAAAAGTTCTGTATCTGCAAGTGTCTGTCATTGATAACTAAATGGAGATTTTCGAATTGCTCTCATATTGTGGTGATCCAAACTGAATGCAGTATTCCAAGTGTGGTCTTACCAAGGAATTATAAAGTGGTACTAACACTTCATGTGATCTTGATTATATACCTGCTATTGCTGCCTAGGATTGCATTGGCTTTTTTGGTGACTGCAGCACACTGCTGGCTCATATTTAAATGATTTAAATGTCCAGTGCTGACTCTAGGGGAAAATATACCCCCTTCAGAGCGGGTTCGTAACTTGGGTGTCCTCCTTGATCCACAGCTGAAATTGGAACATCATTTGACGGCTGTGGCTGGGAGGACCTTTGCACAAGTTCGTCTGTTGCATCAGTTGCGACCCTACCTGGACCGGGAGGCTCTCCTTACAGTCACTCATGCCCTTGTCACCTCACGTCTGGACTACTGCAACGCACTCTACATGGGGCTACCCTTGAAAAGTATTCGGAGACTACAGTTGGTCCAGAATGCAGCCGCGCGAGTGATAGTGGGTGCTCCTCGGTACACCCACGTTACACCTATCCTCCGTGAGCTGTACTGGTTGCCTATTGGTCTCCGGGTCCAATTCAAGGTGTTGGTTATTACCTTTAAAGCTCTATATGGCTCAGGGCCAGGCTATTTGCGAGACCGCCTACTACCTCATAGTTCCCTTCCTCCGGTTAGATCCCACAGGTTGGGCCTCCTTCAGGTCCCGTCGGCCAAGCAGTGCCATTTGGCGGGGCCGCGGGGGAGGGCTTTCTCTGTGATGGCGCCCACATCTTGGAACCAGCTCCCCCCAGAGATTAGGACCGCTCCCACCCTGTTGGTTTTCCGCAAGCTGCTTAAGACCTGGGTTTTCCGGCAGGCCTGGGGTTTATAAAATCTGAGCCCTGGATGACTGTTATTGTATTGTTTGTTTTGTCATGTTATATGGTGTTTTTATTGTTAGCTGCCCGGAGTCCTGCGGGAGTGGGGCGGTTTATAAATTTTAAAAATAATAAATAAATAAATAAAATAAATAAATAAATTGTCCACTAGGACTCCAAGAATCCTCTCACAGTTACTCCTATTGAGCCAGGTTTCACCTAATCTAAATTTAAATATAAAACCTTACTTTTCTCACCAATGAATTTCATTTTGTTAGATAGGGCCCAGTGTACAAGTCTGTCGAGATACATCTGGATCTTGAGTCTATCTTCTGGGGTATTGGCTATTCCTGCCAGTTCGATGTCATCTGCAAATTTGATGAGTTCCCCTTCTATTCCCTCTATTCTCCTTCTATAAGAAGACATGTAATCTGCCCCAGCATTTGCATTCATCTGTAATCACTTTACCTGCTCAGCCACTTTACTCAGCCACGCTCGTAATGCTATGCAATCTAAATATGGTGAACCCGTTGTTGCAGCCTTTTGAAAAAAGTTTCAGTTCATTTGAGATTTATTGGGACAGCTCAGAAAATCAGTTTTTAATCTTTCTAATGTACAGCCCACTATTCTTTTTAACAAATTTTCCTACTTCATAATGTTTATGATGTCTTTTAATCACTTATAAAAAGTACCATTTTAACCATTTTGGAAATGTCCCAGGCTTGAGATGTGATCCTTTTAAGCCTGGAACATTTCTAAGTGTTGGAATAATGTCCAAATATTTCCAACAAAGTTGGAACAGTGTTTGATCTACAAATAGAGCATTTTGAATGTGAAAGATTTGGCTTATGATAGAAAAAAAACCCATATTTTTAATGTGCCAAAATCTTAACAAAGTCTAATTTTACTTTGCAATGTTGCAGATCAAAGACATGTTATTTTTAAGACTATTGATACATATAGAGAGAACAGCAAAAATCAAATATTGAAGACAACTAAAAGGCATGATAGATTTTGTTTATTATGTTTTAAGTGCCTGGTTTATAAAGTTCATTTTTGTTTGAATGGTAGTTCATCTGTTGTCACTTCCACTACCTGCAAATGTAGGACAGTGCAAAGCAGAGTTCATTTAAGGACTGTTGGAGAGAAGATAATTTTTTTGTCTTAAAGGCCTAAGAAGAAAAAGGTAGAGAACAGTGGTAACAGAAACCATGACAAAATAATTCTTATTTAATTTACAAGAGAACACATGCAAGATCTGGAAAAATACAAGTACACCTCAGTGACCACACCAGTTTTAAATCTGTCAGTCAAGTTTAATTCATCTTAAAGAAGTAAACTACATTGGTATATTTAAGACAAAACAATTTGTTTTCTATGCACACTATCCACGGGACAGTCCCTTTTCCAAAATAACTACTTTTTAAGAGTCCCAGAAAAGCACTTTTTCAGAAAGTTTTCCCAATTAAAAAAAAAAAAACTTTCTATGCTTCCCCCCCCTTTATTTTTCTTAAATTCATCTGAGAAGAAAAACATAAAATCCCCAAACATTTACATTGCAAGCTATGTTCAAATGCATAAATTGATATACTTAACCGATGTATCGCAACTGTGTTTTACTTAGTTCACTTTTGTTCATCAATAAAAGAATATAAAAATCTTGCTCAACAGAGTGTTAAGTGTATTAAAATAGATTTGTATAGTACTGCACAGTTTCTCCCGGAGTAGTGAAAATGGATAAAAGGGCTTGTGTGCTGCCTCCTGTCGACAGCTTCCAATCCATCAAAAAAAAAAAAAAAAAAAAAAAAAGCTTTTTCGGCACCGTGTGAGAGGCAAAGGTGAGAAGCCTCACCTGTGGCACGCAGAGACAGAGCCTCGCTTCTGACAGAACTGAATTCAGGGCACCATTGAGGAGGGGGCAAGAGCCATCTTTCTCGCTGTCTTTCTTCCGAAGATGACCATATTACTTCTCAGGAGGACTTATATTTTTGGCCATGTCTGTGAGTCCATAGGCTGCCTTAAAAAAAATAAATAAATAAACAGCCCCACTCCCTCTGCTAAAAAAAGTAACCTTAACCAATGCTATTAAAATACTCTGCTACTTTCAATTTAATCTTTATTATATCCCTCAGAAAACTTTAAATTTCCCCTTCAACCCCTTGAATTCTGAAATAGAGATCCTTTGGAAGCAAAGGAGAAACAGAGCTATAAAATGGAAAAGCCACACTGACAAGAAACTCATCTGCCCATCGAGACCTTGAGAGGTTAAGCCTCAAGCTGCCAGCATAGGCTATCTGACCTATGCTGGGTCCAGTCTGAGCTCGGTTGCTTCAGGAAGACTAGCTAGTGAAAAGTCAAATGAAATATAGGCAATTTTCTAGCATCTTCTCAAGCTAAAGCTAATGTTTCACATGTGTTCATACTGAACAAAATTATAAAAAGAATTTTTTAAAAAAGGTTTTCACAATCAGATACCCCCATCCCAAACTCCTGATATATCCAATAAAAGAAATGACCATTTGAGGCAGTTTATTTCCTGTCTTGTAAATTTTAGCAGATAGTTCTGCAAGTAAGGGGGGGGGGGGCAAAAAAACCCAACATTTTTTCACAATTCCTAGTTTACAATAAAAATGCAGTACAAAAGAGTTAAGTTTTTTGGCATATCATTTGTACTGTTTTGATAAAATTAAAAAGCAGCAATAATGAATATTATTTGCTTTATCCCTTAAAAAAACACAAAAACTCAGAGGGGTTCAAAATCAGTTATGTCTGCTGCAGGATGAGGTTAAAAAAAAAAAAAAAATCAAACTGGCAGCCATGAACAGCAATCAATACATTCCCCACAAAACGGATGAGTTCTGATTGCATTGTCCCAGCTGCCAACTTGACTTTTTTGACCTTACCGTATGGACAGCCCTGAAAAGAACCCCCTTCCAAAAGATCCAATTGATTAAAATATTTCTCACTACTATCCTCGTCAAACCTTGAACAACAGCAAAATATCCCCCAATGAGAAAAATACATCAATAGCAAAATAAGTTAAGAGGACCCGCTAAAATGAAGGGTTTTTACAGGCATAATTCTTTCAATACTTCAGAACGCATATACAGAAGCCTCAGCATGAAAATACTTCAATATTTCACTAGAAATGGTAAATTTCATACATTTTTATTTAAATATCTGCAATTATAATACTGGAAAAAAAAAAAGATTTGATTTTGAAGGCTCTGAAAGTGTCCACAAATGTAACTCTTCTCTATAGCCCTGAATGAAAACGACACTTGATCCTTTTTATATATATATATAAAAAAATCAGGAACCCAGGCTAGGTTCCAAAGTAGTCTTTCTTTCTTTCTTTTTTTAAAGAAAAAGTCACCATTTTCCATTCTTTTTGGTGCCTGTCGACTACCGGTATCTAGCTGCACCAGGGCACGAATAATTTGCCTTTCAACCTATTTCTCTTCCCATAGGACAAGCTTCTTTGCACCTCTGCTAAGGGCGTGTGGGCCCAAAAGGAGGCAGGCCCCTTCCGCCTCTCCAGGCCCCCAGTCTTCCATTGGCCAGCGATGCGGCATCCTTTTCTGCATTAATTACATTAAGGCCAAAGCAACCAAACGAAGGGAAGGGAGGATTGTAAGCACTGAGATTCCCAGCAATGAAAAAAAAAAAAAAGAGGAAATAATGACAATTTGCTGCCAAGGGGGAACTCAAGGGTGGGATTATTATTACTATTTTTTTTCCCCCACACCTTTTAGGACATGGAAGAAGACCAATGTCATTTTCTTGTTTTCCCAGGTTTTTAGTTTTCCGGATGCATCTTTTCTCTCCTTATGCCTGCATGCACTTAAAAGTGTTCTTGTTGGTTGGATTGGTTCTCTTCTGAAGAAGTGTGTGTGGGAGGGGGGGGAACGCACCAATGGGGGTGGGGGAAAGCCCCCGTCAATTGTTGCCCTGTGTTGAGTGCAAGGGTTGGGGAGCAGCAGTAGCCGAGGCAGAAGATGGTTTGGTCCAGGGGACAGTCAGCAGGGAGGAGGAGGTGGTGGTTGTTGTCATGGTAACCTGAAGCATCTGCTCATTCTGAATCAGTCTAATGAGAGTTTTGAGGTGTTCCAGCGATGATTGAACCCCTTTTTGCTGGGCCAACAGGCTGTTTTTGAGTTCTAGGCATTTCTGTCAAATTAGAAATGGAAAGACAGAGTAAGAAATCATCCCAAAGAAATAATCGAAACATCCCTCAGCAAATGGACTTCATGGAGGACCTGCAACCAAGTCAGTTGCCCCTGTGACATCCTTATGGCCAGAATGTCAGTCTTAAAAACAGATTTTAACCCTCTCCTATTTCTTCTCGGTCTACATAACTTAATACAGAGATTCTGGACTGATTTCCCTCATGAAAGAAAGACAGGACAGAAATGGCACAAATAAATAAATGAGCACAGCCCACCCTAGTCATTATTTGAAGGGGAGAACTGCCAGGATTCCAAAAATGGAAAGTCAAAAATCATGTGGGTTATTTTTATTATTATTTTTTTATTAAAGACATCCCTATTGCTCTTGGAGGCTCCCGTGGAATATACACAGAAAACAATCAAAATGTCCATGAAGATGGGTCTATAAAACAAAACTAACAAACTAACCTGTAACCACCAAACCTGCACAAAAATAAAGCAATAAAGTGGAAAAAGAAAAGTTTGTCCTATACTCAGAGGACACCTCTTGGGAAATTTCAAACATTTCAGCCATGTGAGGAGGTCAGCAAGGAGGGGGGGGGGGCAACCTGTCTCTACCAGAAATAGTTCCATATTTTTTTTTTTGCCTCCAAAAGAGGTACTAAGTCTTATTTTCGATGGGGGGGGTTGTCTTTTCCATCACTTCTGGCACCGACAGCCCTGCCCAGCAGGCCCACTTCTTCTGCGGCTGAAGGAGCAGCTTCATTCTGTAGCTGAGAATGGAGCTCCAGCTTGCATTTTGCAGCCAGAGGCCTTTCCGGAAGGCCACTGCAACCGAGAACCGAACTATGGATTCATAGTTCAGTCCTTGGCTACAAAGGCCTTCCGGAAAGGCCTGACTGTGAAATGCAGGCCTGGGGATGCCGGAGAAGAAGTGGGCCAGCAAGGAGAGGCCTGGCTGCAAGGTAAGTGGGTGCAGGGCATGTGGGGCAGCTCCACACACCCCCCCCCGCCCTAGATTTGTAGGCGTGAGCCTTGCCCCCAAACTAGTGCTTATTTTTGGGATAGGGCTTATATTAGCCCCCGAAATCAAACTAGGACTTATTTTCGGGGTAGGTCTTACTTTTGGGGAAACACAGCAGGAACCTTTACTTCAGGCATAAATACTTGCACAATTGCAAATATGGGTATAAAAGCTGCCAAATGTCTTTGAATAATTTCAATTTCATTTTAATATAAATATTAACATGAAATGTTGTACCCCAAGATTTTTCTAACATAAAGCGTAGGAGTCATAAGCTCCTCTGCATTTCTCACCTGTCAATCACCTTTTAATTTAATTCCTCATTTTTTTAAGATCTCGTTTCTCAATTAATTCATTCTATTTTCAAAAAAGTACTCAGGTAATCAGATGCATAGTATTTTTAATTGCTTTCATTAGTTTTTACCCTATGCCAAAGTCCATTTCTGCAATCACCAAAGTTCCCATCTGAACAAATATGTTTTTGTTGTTAGTTGCGAAGTCGTGTCCGAGCCATCGCGACCCCATGGACAATGTTCCTCCAGGCCTTCCTGTCCTCTACCATCTTCTGGAGTCCATTTAAGCTCACGCCTACTGCTTCAAGTGACTCCATCCAGCCACCTCATTCTCTGTCGTCTCCTTCTTCTATTGCCCTCAATCTTTCTGAACAAATATGCTGCTGTCCAAATTTCTAATTTTACTTTCTCATTTAGACAACATCATGCATGTTACAAAGATATGCAATTCCCACTAATTTCTATTATAATGTCTTCTGGAATGGGCATAGTTTTCAGCTTCAAAGTATATATTTATTTAAGCAGCATTGGGGGGAAAACAAAATGGAGATGGTGGCTGTTACCATGTGATTGAAATGCCATCCTTTTTATATTTGTAGCATAGGGTGTGATTTGAATCACATAAATGTGGCCATTGCTTTTTGACTTTTTGGACACAACTATCACAAGTTCTGGTCTGCTAGTTTGAGCCCACACATGGCTTCCTCCTCATTGTGATAAGGAAGAAGGCATGAAAAAAGAATATTCCCATTCAGAATGAGTCTCAGTGAAGATCACCCATTCCTGGTTGGCCAAGAGAAAGTTGATATGAGGCCACCAATGACACAGGAATGTGTGGGGGCAGGGGGAGAGGGAGAGGAGGGGGGGGGGAGAGGAGAGAATGTGTGTATATGTCCAGGGGTAAATAATAGATAAACAGATTTGGAAGGAACCTTGGAGGTCTTCTAGTCCGACCCCCTGCTGAGGCAGAAAGCTCTATACCATTTCAGACAAATGGTTGTCTAATCTCTTCTCGAAAACCTCCAGTGTTGGAGCATTCACAGTTTCTGGAGGCAGGTTGTTCCACTGGTTAATTGTTCTAACTGTCAGGAAGTTTCTCCTTAGTTCTAGGTTGCTTCTCTCTTTGGTTAGTTTCCATCCGTTGCTTCTTGTCTTGCCTTCAGGCGCTTTGGAGAATAGCTTGACTCCTTTTTCTTTGTGGCAGCCCCTGAGATATTGGAACACCGCTATCATGTCCCCCCTCGTCCTTCTCTTCATTAGACATACCCAATTCCAGCAACCGTTCCTTATATCCTTTAGCTTCCAGTCCCCTAATCATCTTTGTTGCTCTTCTCTGCACTCTTTCTAGAGTCTCAACATCTTTTTTACACTGTGGCAACCAAAATACAGAAAGGTAGCCACAATGGGACTCAACAGAGAACACCATAAACTGCTCTTCATGATTTAAAGGAACAGATACCTTTCCTTACAGTACTATGGTGTTCTCTCTTTGGTTTCATCTTGAATGCCATAAAATATTGATAATGCCTCTCCCATGGGATAAAAATACAACTAGGCAGCAGCATAAATATCTACTTCAGTTTGCAAGTAGAGAAGAGCCATTGTATCATTACACCCTGTACACTGAAAGGAGAGGCTAGCCAGAAATCCATATCATGCACACACCTTCAAATTCAGTCTCCAAATGCTGCAATGTATTTAAAAGCTGGTTTGTTGTGCTCTAACAAGGTTCTTGGTAATTAAATCTCTTTAATTGCAATCCAGAGATTGCCACTGGGCCTTTTCCAGCTCAACTGGCAAAATCTTGGCCTGGAAATCTGACCTGCCTTGCAGCTCATACACCTCTCACTTTTCCTGTATTTTAAATGTTCTACATGGGTACCATCTAACCAGGAGAGCCATGCAGCTGCCATCTGAAAGGGTATGTATGGTTCATCGAAGAATTACATTTGGAATTGGTACAATGACTTTTAACATTTAGGAGATTCAGCTCCAACAGTCTCTGGGCACACTAATGAGCAATGCAAACAGTTGAAGAAAAGCTTCTAAGTTCCCATCAAAGGAATACGGGTTTAAGGCCATTCTCTCGCTGGTTTAACTAAAGCCCTGCTAAATTCTGTAGGGAAAACATGCAGAGTGGATTCCATTGCAGTGAAAGTCCTTGGAGGGCAAAACATTAAGTAGTAATGGAACCTATCCAACTTTAATACTGAAAAATTAAACATAATCTTTGACTTATGACCACATTCTTAAACAAGATGATTCTTAAACAAATCACACCCAATTTTATGGCCTTTTTTGCCATAGTTGTTAAGCAGTTAAGGGAATCACATAGACATTAAGATAATCTGGCTTCTCTCATTGACTTTCCCTGTCAGAAGCTAGCTGGGAAGGTCACAAATGGTAATCCCACGACCCTGGGATCCTGTAACTATCCCAAAACACACCTGTGCCCAAGTGCCCAAATTTTGATCAAGGGACTGTGGTGATGTTGGGATAATTATTAAGTGTGAGAACCAGTCATAAGACACTTTTTTCAGTGCCATTTTAACTCTGAACTGTCACTAAACAAACAATTGTAAGTTGAGGAATACCTGTAATTTGTATTGGCTTTGCTTAGTAGATAGACCAACAAAAAATCAGGGCTTTAATGTTAGAAAACAGAAGTGTGTTATATGTTTGAAAGAAATATTTTACAGCCAAGTAATCCCCAATGGCCTGTGGGTGGAGTAACCAGCATGACTGGCAAAAGTCTTATTTTTTTCTAACCTGCTAGCAATGCTGATATATTGCAACATTTGCTCTAATGCAGTGGTTCTCAACCTTTTTAATGCTGCGACCCCCAACAGGTCATAAGTCCAGGACTACTCAACCGGTCGTAAGTCGAGGACTACTCAACTGGTGCAGCGCCATTTGCAGAATGGGACTTTTGGCGGGCTCAGCAGGGCAGAGACAGCCTGGACAATTCCTATTGGCTTTTGAAAGCCAATAGAATTAGACTCTATTCAAGAGAGTCTATTCTATTGGCTTTCAAAAGCCAATAGAATAAAAGGGAGTAGCACAGCTAAGGAAAAGGGGAAAAAAATGGCGGACTGCATTGTTTGGCAGTGAAATAGTCGTTCAACCCCAAATGGGGTCCCGACCCACAGGTTGAGAACCACTGCTCTAATGCTACTGGATTAGCATCTTCCTAGATTCAGACAAGTTATCATGCTCTGAAGGATGATGAGAGGCTGTAAAGAAGTCAATGCTTGAACAATGGGAGAATATGTGGATGAAAGGCTTAAAATTCGCACTAAACTATAACTTAAAAGAAAACATTTATAAGATGATGCATCGCTGGTATTTAACACTAGATAAGTTATCTAGAATGCATAAAGGTATCTCAAATGAATGTTGGAAATGTAAAGAAAGGACTTTTTTTTTCCATTTATGGTGGACGTGTGATAAAGCAAAGAAATATTGGAGTAGGATTCATAGTTTAATGCAGAAAAGTCTCAAAGTGAATATAAAGATTAAACCAGAAACTTTCCTTCTGGATCAGGGGTGTCATTGAGGGCTGCATCAGCATTGCGGTTGCCCTTGGGGGGCTGGGTGGGTGTGGCCAGGGTGGGTGTGGCCTACGGGGTGGGCATGGATGGAGTGGGTGTGGCCTACTGGGTGGTCATGGCCAGCTCTACATCGTTCGTGTCAAGGGTGCCTGTGGGGGCCTGGGCAGGAGTGGGACAGATCTGAGGGTCTCTGGCAGAAGGGGGTGGGACTGGGCCAAGTGCCAAGGCATGGTCCATTTCTTCATTCCTCACAAAGGGTGACACTTCCCCAGCATGCACCCAGGGGGCGGGACCGACGCAGCAGGGGCTGGTTCCTCGCTGATTCTAGATGGCCTTGTGGAGCTAAGACTGAATGCGTTTCAGCATAGAGGGCCACCACAAAATTGTACATTGGCTCCCGGCCGGCCTGGGCCAGGGCCAAGGCAGAGGGGGCCGTTCCCTCACTGTTTCCAGGATGGCTTCGCGGACCACATGAAACCACTTTGCGGGCCGCATCCGGCCCCCGGGCCTTGTGTTTGACATGTTTGTTCTAGATCAGTGATTCTCAACCTTTCTAATGCCGTGACCCCATAATACAGTTCCCCATGTTGTGGTGATCCCCAAGTGGGTGTGGCCACCAATAAGAGGGAGTAGGACAGCTAGGGAAAAGGGAAAAAAATGGCGGACAGCATGGTTTGGCGACCCCCGTGAAATGGTCATTCGACCCCAAATGGGGTCCCGACCCACAGGTTGAGAACCACTGTTCTAGATCTAATGGAAAAAGACCTGGAAAAAAATTTGGAACTCTGGTTTTATATATGTTGAAGGCAGCAAGACTGCTCTATGCGCAAAAATGGAAGGATGTTTTGATTCCCACCATGGACGAATGACTACAACAGTTGATGGAATTAGCAGAGATGGCTAAATGGACTGTTTTGATAAAAGAAAAGAATATAAGTACTTTTGTTTCTCCTTGGATACTGCTTCTGGACTTTGTGCTTGAGGTGGAAAAAAATGATACTTTGATTTTGAGTCTTACTGATTAGACTGATTTGTTGATATAGAAATGGCTAGTTTGTACTACTAAAGAAATGGAAAAAGTTGACGTTCGATGTTAATGCCTTATTTTAGTGCAACAGAGGGAGTCGAACTCAATTCCTTTTTTCCCTCCCCTATCCCTTTTTTCCACACTTCTTTTTTTCACTTTGTTCCCTATTATTTGCTTTTGTATTTTCTTATTTTATGTTACAACTGAATAAAAACTAAAATTATAAGAAATCAATGGTGGAAATGAAATGCCTAATGACATAATGGAGCTTAAAGAACAATTAACCATAGCGTCTTGCAAAGTCTTGTTTTCCTGAAATTGCTATCGAAGGAGCAATGTCTTTGGCTATCATCTTCTAGCTTGCCTGACATTTAGAGAAATCTTCACATTTCTCTCTTTGTCTCCCGTGGGCCTTGAGATAAGAAACAAGCTAGGAATTATACCTTCATTGCATTATTAAGAAAGCATTCTTTTTCCTCCAGCTGACTGTGTTCTCCTCTTAATTCACTGCTCCTCTTTAATAGCCTCCTCTTCTCTTCTTCTTTGACTGAAAAAGACACAAACAAAAGGAGAAGGAATGAAGATAATGACACTTTCTGCCAAACACAGCAGTTAATCAAATGCCTCTGGTCCTTGGGGCAGCACTTGTGGGTGATGCAGAAGAGGTAATGGCCTTTCCCACTTCAACATGATCTTTCTTGACTCAAGTCAAGCCCATTTCACATGGCTTGCCAGCTTTTCCTACCTGACATAGCTTTTGTGTAATAGTTTTTGTGTTTTAGCCAAAGACTATCTCCAATGGGCTAGCCCAGGGGTAGGTAACCTTGGCTCTTTTATGACTCGTGGACTTCAAATCCCAGAATTTCTGAGCCAGCCATGCTGAAAGAAAGGGAAAAGTTTCCAAGCTGAGCCATGCTGGCTCAGGAATTCTGGGAATTGAAGTCCACGAGTCATAAAAGAGCCAAGGTTGCCTATCCCTGGGCTAGCCAGCCAAGATAGGGATAGCCCCATCCTCAAAAATTGTCCTGGAGAAGGATGGGTATTGTTCTGGAGGAGGGATGAGAATGAGAAATGGTTCAATCACAGGTAAGGAAGCTCAGCTAATTACTATATGGTGTCAAATCTGCTCAACTTTTCAATATGGCTGGAAGCCCAAATATGATGGGAACAAGCAAATGTCAATCCAGTGGCCCCTTTGCATTGTGGACATCATCCAAACAATATACTCTAGATATATAAGAGTCTATATAATCAAGAGTCTTAGACCCTTCAATTAACCCACCATTTTTCTCATACAATTCAGTGGCTGCATTGAGATCAACAAGAAAATACAAGGTAGTCCTCATTTACCAGTTGCAATTGGGACTGGTGACTCTGCCGGTAAGCAGATGGTCATTAAGTGAAACATCATAGTACCAAGTCTAAAATCAGAACTTTAATTCTGCTGGGATACTTAATTACAAATCACCCAGGGGCATTAAAGAGCAGCATCAGGTGACTGTGACTTGCAATTTTATTGCGGGTTTCCCAAGACTTTTTTTTTAAATCAGAAGCCAACTGTAACACTTGTAAATAGTGATCATGTGACTGTGGGATGCTGCAACCATCACAAATGCGTGCCAGTTGCCAAGAGCCTAAATCACAATCCTGTGACCGCAGGGATGCTGCAACAGTCCCACGCTCAAAGGCCGATCATAAATCATCATCATAATTTTGAATGGTCAATAAATGGAGCAGTTGTGAAGCAAGGACTAGATTTATTGTACAAAGTTCTATTCTCGTGAACATAGTTGGGAAAGAGATTTCTCAATTTCAAGCCACTGATTGATTGATCTATACATTTACAGGCTGTCACCTTTTAGGATTCTAAAGGACAAAATCGAAAAAAGTCTAGAAGTGCAAAAAAAACACATGAGAATTAAGATAAAAATAAGCAAAAATGTTTTCAAATAAATAAGTTAGGAAGACATCTGAATTCATCCACTGTCTGTCTGTCTCTCTCTCAAAATAGTTTTGTCTCCAGTGTAAATTGTGTTAAGAACAGCTGTTGATAAAAAGTTCTAGTCTGACAATTCCTGTTACATTTAGATGGGCACATGCCTTTGGAGAAGCTTGCAATCCACCCCTGGGGTGACTTCAATTTTGAAGCTGCTGACATTTAAGAAACTCTATCTAATAATCAATCACTTGAGCACATACCTGTTTTACGAGTAACGTATGATTGCACCACAGCCAGAGTTCCAGACCAGGGGACATTGTCATCTTTCTTTAACACCTACAGTTTTCAGACAATAACAGCTTTCAGCAATTCAAGGGCACAGCTAGGACACAACATTTGTGAGCACCTCATCATCTCCTCCCCCCAGTTTTCTTAATCAAAAGTTGATCACATCGGAAATACCCAAACAGTTACACAGTACTGGTTCAGTGGTTTGCAAAATAAGAATTCATGGGAGATCATATAGAAAAATGTAAAAGCTCCCTTTTTCTCTTTTATTATGGAGAATAGGAAAATATCCTCCATTTTATGCATCTAGCAAATATCACCTCTAAACCACTCAGACTGGTTGCCAATCACCATATTTGCAATGCCCAAACTGCATAAAGACATTTAGCATGTCTGTTGACAAAGAAATACTTTGTTGTTACCACAACCACTAAAGATATCTTTTGCCTTGTCTTAAGAGAAAATTTGTTTCATGCAGCACTCTCACCCTGATTCTGCTAAAATGAAAAAAAAAAAAAAAATCTGGGAATGATAACCACTCCTCAGATATCCGTGTGAGAAGCAGAGAGCATTAAAAAAAAATAGTTGGAATCTCTTGTGCTAATTATATTTCCTACAGGTACTCCCCGAGTTATGTCATGTGACCGACCCAATTTTAGGACCTTTTGTAACCGTTGTTAAGCGAACGGCACAGTTGTTACGAGAACCAATGGTTCACTATGGGTGTGATTTTGCCAAAATACGGAAGTAATGCTGGTTGTTGGCAAAACTGTCATAAAACATAGTCATGTGACTGCAGGATGTTGCAAATAGCAATAAATGCACCTCAGTTACTGAATGCCCAAAGTGCGGTCATGTGACCATGGGGAGGACAACTATTGGAACTTCAAATCTGGATCATAAGTACCCCCGAAGCAGGGCCACTGGAACTTTGAATAGTCACTAAGCGATCAGTCATAAATCGAGTACCTATATTCTCCATGGGGAAAACTTAAAATTTCTATAATTCGCGACAGGTATAAGAGAATATTAATTATTTATTTATTTAGTAAATGTATGCAGTCCCTCATTTCACTCATTTCAGATGTACATTGAATATAATGCAATATATGTAATATTCCTACACTTGGAGATATCCGGTGTCTTAAAATTGGTGAGGGATTCACAATTATATCTTTTAAGTACCTGCTAAACGTATTTTAAGACCTAAGATTTCTCTGCTGGAATGCTGGGTTTTTTAAATTATTTTTTTCAATTTTTAAACTCGAATATATCATTTTTTTTAAGTTTTGTTCTATTTTCTGTACTTTAAAATAATCTACCAATATATTAAATAAGCAAATAAATGAGGGAGATTATTTTGTTTCACTGCTATGATTGTGGCAAGTATTTTGCAGGTCTGTCTTGATTTATTTATTATATTTAGGAACTGCCCATCTCTTGACAAGAGAGTGACCTTATTATTTAATAATCATATCTGAAATGGCCATGGGAGGAGCTGTCCAGAAAATCAAGACGGTGGATGTAATGATGTAATTGAAGTGCCCTTTTTATATGCATTTGAAAAGGTAAGTGCCAGGCTAGGTAAATTGTTATATTAAAGATGGTCTTTTTAACAGAAGAGCAATCTAGAATTTCTTGGAGGAAGAAATATTATCAGCTTTTCTCTCAAACACTACTTGTTTTTTAAATACTGTATGACAATCATTTTAAAATAAATAAATCCTAAAAACAGAATCCAATTTCTGAAAAGAAAAAGCAGGCGTACTGCAAATATTTATGCCCATCCGTAGAAAGGATAATAGCGATTATTTATTTTGCATAATAGTTGATAGAATGAACAAGATATGGAAAATCTTTTGCAAATTAAAGTGTGCAAAACATTTTAAATCTTCATTAGTTCTAAGTCAAGGGTTTCCAACCTTGGCAACATTAAGACATGTGGACTTCAAATCCCAGAATTCCTCAGCCAGCTTTGCTGGCTGAGGAATTCTGGGAGTTGAAGTCCACAAGTCTTAAAGTTACCAAGGATGGAGGCCCCTGTTCTAAGTGGAAACACCCCATTTTGAGGCAAACTTCGTTGTTTCGAGCAAGAAGTAGCTGTTTTTTGGCATTTTGAAATGGGATTTTCTGATCATATCGGCAGTCTTATGGCTAAACAGCTCTGTTTTCAATTCCAAATATTCTGTGGATATATGAAACTTCATCTTCTTCCCCAACTGATTAGGAATCTTCCGATAGGAACATGATTAGTGACGTCATAATTTACCCTCAAATGAGAAAGAAAGCTTTGGTGGAAAAGATGAACATCTCATACAACTCTATCTGACCAAAATTAAATAGAGTTCAGCTCTCAGAGATTTTTTGTTTAGTACCTGCAGGGCCAAGTAGCTCACCTTTTCTTGGCACTTGGGACAGACCCATACTCCTTTAGGAACAGTCTTCAAGGGAGGATCCAAGCAGTTGAGGTGATAGGCCCTGGAGCATGTTCCACAAGGTTGTAAGTTGACACCATGCTTGCATGCTGAACAGTATTCCTCATGGCTGACCTCATTCTGAAAGATAGCAAGAATAAAGTTGAAGTAGTTTATTAAACAAGCATCAGTAGATCATTATATCCCTCAACATTTCACTAGTACATTTGCTTATTCACAAGCTTTCCTCCAAAGATCACAACAAAGATCACCACTATGCCTTGCAACTAAATATGAATCTCTTGAGACAAGTGTTCATCATTCTGAGGAACAGGGAGTGAAAGCAACTACACAAAAGGTTCCCAGTAACATAGCTGCTTTAATGGTTCAAAGAAGTGTGCTTTGTTCATGTCAACATACTCTGCAAATAAATGCGTGTTCTCCTCAGATGCTTTAATCCAGGGCTTTTCAACCAGTGGTACAGGTACCACCTGTGGTACATTGGCACCTGGCAGGTGGTACGCGACCAGCCTAGAAAAGTGGTAGCGGGGGAGGGGAATGAGCTGAACCGGTGGCAGCACCGCACAAGCCTGAGCGAGAGATGGCTGGAGCTGCAGGGCTGTCAGGGCTCAGCAGAAGCGCCAGGATCAGCGCTTCTTCGGGACTGTCAGGGCTCAGTGGAAGCATCAGGATCCGACCAGGCTCAGTGCTGATCCTAGCGCTTCTGCTGAGCCCAGAAGAAGCGCCGATCAGTTGGAATGTTGCAGCATCTCCAGGGTCTTGCGATTTACATTCAGATGCTTGGCAACTGATTCATATTTATGATGGTCACAGTGTCCCAGGGTCATGTGAAGTGACCAAAACCTGCTGCAACCACCCAGCAGACGGGGGGAATAAAAACCAAACACCCCCCACCCCACCCCCGCTGCCAATCCTCAACAGAAATGCTCACAATGAAAACCTCGGACAGGAGGAAGAGCGCCGCCGGGCAAGCAGGCAGGTGTCTTGTTCGGCTGTGGCTTGGGGGGACACTTTTTTTCAGTGCCATTGTAACTTCGAACAGCCACTAAGTGAACTGTTGTAAGTCGAGGACTACCTGTACTTCATCACTTTTTTCATTTTTTTTTTTTTTGGTCAAGTTTTTGACACCTTGCTAGGCGACTGGTGGTACTTGGATATTGCCATATCCTAAAAGTGGTACAATGGGTGAAAAGGTTGAAAAGCCCTGCTTTAATCAAGGAAGCTTCCTTTAATCAAGGAAGAAATCTGGTGGTCCTAATCGACAACCCAATGAAAATGCCAATTTAGGACACAACAGCTGTGAAAGAGGGAAATTACACACTTGGAATTCTGATAAAATTAATCAAAAATAAAATTGGCTTTGTTGCATTGTCCTAATACATATAGGGCACAATATTAATTATCTATCTCAAAAAGAGAACTCTAAAGGCTTTTCTTTTGTTTTAAAAAAGAAAAGAAAAAAGATAACCATCTATCTTTGCTTCTCAGATTGATAAAGGAAAAGAAAAACCACCCTCAGAAAGGAAAGGTTACAGCATTTTAGTTTGACTGAAGATTTTATTTATTTATTTATTTATTTATTGGATTTTTCAAGGCTGCCTGACTCTGAAAAGACACTGGGCAATTGCAGTATTTTAAATGTACACTTTAAAAACACAGTCAAAGACCTAAGTGCCCAAATTAAGCAGGACAAGATGAAAAGTTTGCAAGCAACATAAACTTGGTCAGAATCTTGTATATGCATAAAGGTAATAGACTGTGTTGATCTTTCTTTTTTCTAATAGTCATCCAGGGAAAAGAACTGAAGCTTCAAAGCCAACCAGACGAAATTAAACTCCTATTTCATGTATACACTACAACAAAATATCAGAGGAAAAGAGTAATTGTAAGGCCGAGAATAGCAAATGTCTTCTTATTAATCTTTGCAAGCCACTAAGGGAGCTTTTGGAGATTGGTATATAAATGCTGAAAAAATAACCCCAGTATCTCAAAATAGTGTGTCAAATTAAATTGCTTTGCTAATCTACTGGCAATGTTAATTACTATTAGGAGAATTAAAAGTCTATTAACTTTTGAACTCATATATTTTGCAGCTATTACTCATTTGGCTTTTGGCTTTTACAGAAAGATAAAAATAATGTTTTATTGTAGAAAATACTTCATGAATTTACTGTTTTGTTTTGGATTTATGCAAGTTGTGATTCATACTAAAACCATCAGTTACATGGAACATCTAAGTAAGATTGAATAAACCACTTCTGTCTTCCTGAAAGGGTAAATACAACCTCTTGCAATCCAGCTTCAGACGTTGCCCTTAACCACCTACACTGGAGTAGTGACTTGATTCTGGCAAATCCAAGATCTGTAACAGTGTTTCTCAATTTTGACAACTTTTAAGATGTGTGAACTTCAACTCCCAGAATTCCCCAGCCAATATGGCTGGTTGAGGAATTCTGTGATTTGAAGTTTGAATATCTTAAAGTTACCAAGGTTGAGAAATTCTGCACTATAAGGTAACAACAAAGCCAAAAGAGACAGAGTATTTGTCTCTTATTTTATCCTACACTTAAGGAATAATGAAACAATTATGCCAATATTTTCACTCATTCCATGAGTGACTGAAGCACAATCCTATGTACATATCCATCATAAATATTCATTCCTCACAACAGGAATAATAGTACCAGCTACTATTTTTAATCAACATTTAAACATCTACAAAGATGTCTATTCCTTTTCTCGTCTTTAGAAAACATTTCAGCAAACACATATAAATGTGGTTTAGTTTTTCACTGTTTATATATAACTTGCAATACTTCCTTTTGTTTGCTCAGTCTCTTGATCAAACGAACGTCAACCATCCTCTGCTTAATTTATTCTCAGATATGCTTTACAGGTAGTTCTTGCTTAGCAACTGCCTGGTTTATCAACAATTTGCAATTACAATTTTGATGAAAAAGTAACCCTCAAATTTATTACCTTCATAGATCTACAAAGCAAAGGAAAGCTGAATCAAATCATAAGCATAGTGGGTGTTTCACTTACAAACTGCTTTGCTTAACAACCAAGTTGCCTGCTCCAATTGTAGTCACTAAACAAAGACTACCTGTACTTGCATTCTGTGATGTAGTATCAGATTTAGCAACCAACTTTCAACTCTATATTCATCTCAAACATTCTATAATTCATTCAGTTTCTTTAAATCACCAATGCACATTAAACTTTCTTTCTCGCATTCATAAACTTCTAAGTGACCTGCTGAGGAGCAAACAAAATGTGTTCTGCACGCCCCCTCCCTGGCATTAATCTGCACTACACTTAACCAACATTTGTCACTGTCACTTTGCATACTGTTTAACAAACATTGGTCATTGTTACTTTGCATACTGTTTCAATCACAATTCTACCAAGCCTGGGCACATTTAATATTCCAAACCACTTGCAAGCTTTGCGTTCACTCTTGTTGAGGGAACTGTGATAGCATTCTTTCAGTCATCAAGCACAGAAACCATCCTCACATACTTATTGAGCAAGTTACCCAGCCATAAAGAAATCACTTTTTCAGGCCAGACTGAGAAGATAAAAGAACTCTTTGGAAGAAGCCAGTGCAAGCCATTCCTTCACAATCACTAAACAACCAAGCTCCTAATGGATATGCCTGTTGAAGCCATCAGGAGCTGAACTGAACTTGGAAAGTTAAGCTAAACTAAAAGATAAAAAGGGCCCTTCAGAGGACAACAACAACAACAATAATGATAAAGTTAGAAGGGACCTTGGAGGTCATCTAATCCAACCCCCTGCTCAGGCAGGAAACCCTATACCATGTTGGACAAATGGCTGTCCAGTCTCTTCTTAAAAACTTCCAGTGTTGGAGCATTCACCGCTTCTGGAGGCAGGTTGTTCCATGGTTAATTGTTCTAACTGTCAGGAAGTTTCTCCTTAGTTCTAGGTTGCTTCTCTCCTTGATTAGTTTCCATCCGTGCTTCTTGTCCTGTCTTTCAGGCGCTTTGGAAAATAGCTTGACTCCCTCTTCTTTGTGGCAACCTCTGAGATATTGGAACACTGCTATCATGTCCCTCCTCATCCTTCTCTTCGTTAAACTAGACATACCCAATTCCAGCAACCTTTCCTTATATGTTTTAGCCTCCAGTCCCCTAATCATCTTTGTTGCTCTTCTCTGCACTCTTTCTAGAGTCTCAACATCTTTTTTACATCGTGGTGACCAAAACTGGATGCAGTATTCCAAGTGTGGCCTTACCAAGGCATTGTAAAGTGGTATTAACACTTCTTGTGATCTTGATTCTATCCCTCTGTTAATGCAGCCCAGCACTGTGTTGGCTTTTTTGGCAGCTGCAGCACATTGGTGGCTCATATTTAAGTGATTGTCCACTAGGACTCCGAGATCCCTCTCACAGTTACTTCTATTGAGCAAGGTACCCCCTATACTATACCTGTACAAGTGGTTTTTCTTGCCTAAATGTAGATTATGTCACTCATTTTCTTTCTTAAAAACTCCAGGATAAAATTTCTTCTTTTAATTGAGGATGTACAGACACTAAAATGAATCTCACTGTCATAGCGCCCACTATTGACAAGGAAAAATTCTGCAGTTTTTGGGGAGGATGGATGGAATTTGGAGGAGCGGGAGGAGCGGGATCCAATTTAATGTAGCCCCTTGGTCCTGGCAATTTTATGAAGCTTTTCCCAGTTTATGATGCTGAGAAAAGCCCAGGTGGCTCTTGAGTCAATGGATGGCATGGATCATGGCAGTAAGGAAAGTGTGTTGCAGGAGTCACATATAAATTACTCTTTGCAGGAAAACATGCTATGATTGAAACAGTCTAGTAGTAACGGACAAAAACATACCTTCCAACACGGATCCTCATTGGCTGGCATGGTGAAGAAGGGCAAACACAGGTTAGTAGAAGTGAGGTTAGATTTGCAGCTTAGTGGGTGGCAGCTAAATGATGATCCAAATGTATCGGTTACATTTGCACAGTTACCATCAACTGCATCTTCTTTGATTTTCATTTTTCCATATATAATGGTATTTTTCCCCTTAGCAACTTTAAGATATGTGGATTTCAACTTCCAGAATTCCCCATTCAGCATGAAAAACACTGAAGTACAATCTCCATATATTCACCATTTTTGTATGATTCCTGTTTTGGAATCATGGCAATTATACCCAGTGACCATCTATAAAAATAACAGGTACAGATTGATCAGCTAGGACAGGGGTAGGCAACCTCGGCTCTTTTATGATTCATGGACTTCAACTGTTGAAGTCCATGAGTCATAAAAGAGCCGAGGTTGCCTACCCCTGAGCTAGGACTATGAAAGATACCAATAGCACTTAGACTTATATACCGCTTCGTAGTGCTTTACAGTCCTTTCTAAGTGGTTTACAGGGTCAGCATATTGGATGGAAGACTGAGTCAACCTTGAGCCAGTCAGAATCGAACTGCTGGCAGTCGGCAGAGTTAGTCTGCAATACTGCACTCTACCCAGTGCGCTACCAAGATCAGAGATCAATGTCTCTTCCCAAAAAGCTTAGTAGAAGAAATGAGAAATGTGGCAATATATAAAAACTCCTGAAATACAACAAGAAAAAGCATCCCATCCTGGACGCATTTGTCCACGTTAGGCCCAAGATAGTCAAAGTTACACAGTCAAAGTTACACCTTCAATAAACTGAAGGTAACAGCAGAACCAATTTGATGGTACATAGTCAATAATAATAAAAAAACTACTAAGGAAGTGGCAGAAATATTACAATATATTTCATGTTCTAAAATGTAGAAAAAATATTATTTTAAAGACGTTTGATTCCTTATTCATACACCAAATTATTATTTCCTACTAACGAATTAAAAAAAAATTCATTCCACGGCAACACTTTCTTAAAAGCATTTTCTAAATCTGTATCTTTAGAACTCAGGTCTTATCTGAATTAATGAATACGTGCATTTTATCTGTGATGCAGGCTGTAGCAAATGCCTCATTTAGCAAGAGTTCAAAGTTATGATAGTGATGAAAAAAATAACTTTGTGACCAATCCTTGCATTTAGGCCTTTCACAGGTACGTAAGCAAAATTGAAGGAAAATTGTAAGCGCAGCTATGGGTTCACGTAATGACTGCTTTGCTTAATGACTGAGTTGATAGTCCCAATTGTGATCACTAAACAAGGACTCCCCCCCTATGCTAGGGTTCTGTTTTCTTTCTAAATTTTAGGAATTGTCTTTTTTTGCTCTTGCTAAAAAAAATCATAATTTTCTACTAAAAGCAAAACTATTTTCAACAATTACAGTTTCTAGTACAATTGCAATACAGCTGATATTACTTAATAGTATGATGTCTATAAAACAAACATCATAACAAGAAATCACAATACTTATCCAAACAAAGCAAGAACTACCAGGTTTTTTTAAAAAAAAAACATTTTTAAGATTACTAACTTTTGCTATAATATAAATTTTCACATTTAGCGATCAAGTGTCTGATATACAGCAACCCAGCTATATTCCCAACTAAAATTTCAATAACAAGCACTTCAAATATATTTTTTCTTGTTCCAAATTTGTAGTTTCTGCAAGATTTCAATCTTTCCAAAATGTAATGGCACATGGGTTACAAGCAGAAGAGACAAGAATTTAGAAGAACTATTTTATTCATGCGTTTGAAGTGCTCAACTTCCATTCAATAGCTTGAAACAGCTTACCTCTTGAGGAGAGGAAAAAAGGGTTGTTCAAATAATTTGATGCAAGGCGTTTCCGCTGAAAAAGAAGAAAAAGTCCACATATTTATATGAATGGAAGCTCTTGCATCAATTTCTGAAAAAGCCAAGAGTTTCCTTCTAAAGAATTTAACCTAAAACTTACTGTAAATACACAATACGTTAACATGAATACGTTTGTGAAAAAGCATGAAAGTTTGTGATGTATTGTATTGTTTTTAACTTTAGTCGATTAGTTTGAATCAACGTGTGAGCAATATTCCTTTGTTGTGGTTATGCAGTGACAATAACTGGGGATGGCGCATGGTCCCTCAGCAGACTTATTCTCCCTGAGATAAGGAGATGCTGTAGGAATTTTAGTTCAGTTGACAGTTATCATCCACAGGATGGAAATTGGTGAAGAGACAAGATGATGCATACACAAAAGGGGTGGGACTAGTATCATGACCCCATGTTTGCCATCTTGCCCATTCCGGCACTTCCCCACAGATACTTTGATAGAAAATATCTCCAGATTTTGGACACATTTGAGGTACCTTGGTTCAAGACTGTTGCTCTATAGTGCATCATTTCCCCCAGTTGAAGTTCATGACAATGAGAGTTTTAATGTAGATTCCTGTATTGTTTTTTATCCCAATTAAAAACATTGCTTCCCTTTCAATAAAATGTGTATTTTTAAAAAAAAAATTGTCCTTTTTGTTCTATTAGTTGACAAATTTAGCCTGACTTTAAATTTATTCATGGCCTAATTGCCTGTGTTCTAATTGCAGGAACTAAAATGAAATCTGATGAATCTAAAACCAAGAATTTCATACATTTACTTTAATTAGTATCCTGTTTTAGGAACAACTCCATTGTATAAATCTTTTAAATAATGTAGTCCTTTCATTTCCTGATAGTGGGGTACTGTGTAATTTTACCTTCATCATAAAAGGCATGATGAAATAAAAGGGCTAAAGGATGATGGGGGTGTAGAAGCCCACCTTTCCTAAATGTTGAAATTTTGAAGAAAGAGATTTTGCATACGTTTCAGGTCTTTATGAATGTTATTGGAAAAAATGAAGTGCCCTAATTTTTGCTACTGGCATACGTCTAGATTCTATGCTTAATCAAAGTATTAATTCTTTTGACTTTATCAAGCCAAAATACTGTAGATCATAGCAAGAGTTTATGTTTTGAATCTCAAAGTCTTCTTCAATAGTATTTTAATACAGAGTCTTTTAATTTATTCTTGCTTTTTTCTATTATTTGTTTTTTATTTATTTTTCAATTTTTTGATGCCCATCTTGTCGTTCAGAGACTCTGTATATACATTTACTAATCATTTCTTGACATTCTTTTTCAGATGTATTTATTCAGTGTTTGTTTGGAAGAGATATAGGAACTGAAGAAGTAGAGACATTTTTATTGCTTTCATTTACTTAAGTGAGTAATTAATGAATGCTTTATGTTCAGTTGAAATAATTTGCCATTTTGCGCAGGTCTCTGTGAATGGGTGTTGGATCACTGATATTAATAGTCTGGTCCAGTAACTTCTTCCAATTACAGAGCAAGAACAGGAAAAAAAGCCATTTCAAATTAAGCAATTAGCTATTAAGCATTGCCTATGAGATCAGTTGTAAGTTAAATGGCCGCAAAATGCCTGAAATGTATTTCTTTATCAGTATTTGCCCATAAAGAAATCAATCAAAGATACTAAGTAACTGGTAAACAGCTAACTAGTTTAATTAAAGCCTCTTCTGGTAGCAAACAACATCTCCTCATGAAGACCAAAATCCTTTTATAAATATCTCTTGGAAGGGGGGGACATTTTCTGGTTTGCCTTAAATTAGTCAAAAAATAACAGATTGGGACTTCTTCTTATTCTTCTGCTTGTTAAACACACTTAAAATAGTTGCAACCTAAATTCTGTTTTCTCAGATAGATACCAGGTCATCCTTAATTTAGAAACTAATGATATGATTTAGAAGCCAGTGATAGAATGATACACAAAGCAAAGCTTCTTAAACAAAGAACGTTTAATAAAGAAATCTAATCCTGAAAATTGTCCGCAATTTTAGACATAAAAAGACATTCAGCAATAAAGAACAATTCAAAACAACTTCTTCTCACTTCTTAACACTTTTCGTTTTGTGTCAAATTTGCTACTGCTGAGATAAGTTTCCTGAACTGGAGGTGTTTTAAATTAAAGTATGGAATAAGCAAATAAGTTTGTTTCTACATTTAAATATCATCAATTCTTTCTCCACCGTTGTACCAGAACTGCGAGCAGAGTATATACAAATCATGCATTTCCAAATTTCTATTTTTTTTTGAAAAACATTTTATTAATAATTTTTATTATCTTTTTGTCATTTTCTCAACTGATGTTAATATTATGTCTTAAAGGATTATATAAAGGATTAATATATCCTTATTTTTCTTTTCTGTTTTTTTTCTTTTCTAAGCATTCTATATTTTCTTTTTAATTTTTTTTGTATTGGTTTTTTTTAATTGTAGCAGTCAACCTTGTGTCTGATGGGCCACAATGCTAGATTGCTTAGTATTTTTAAAAAATACTTACTACTTTCTTATTCATTTCATTAATAATTTTATCATCTTTTTGTCATTTTCTCAATCGATGTTAATATTACATCTTAAAGGATTAACCCGATACATGATTTTCTTTATATTTGTTCCCATTCTTGAAAGAATAATGTATTCTTTATACTTTTTTTAAAAGTTATGCAATTTTATATTTTGTAAAAATTATAAAATTGGGTGCAACTCACCCAACAACTGCCTTGCATAGCAACTGAAATTCTGCTCCCAACTGTGGTCATAAGTCAAGGATATCTCAAAAATAACACTCAGGTGGTCCCAGGTACAATCTTGACTTTCTCACTTTCCTTTGACTTATACAATAGTATCTTTAAACTTGCATGGACCAGAAGTAAAACCAAAAGTGACAATGTTTAAATATTGGGCTACCTCAGTTGTAATTATCTGTAAAGTTGCATGGACCAGAAGTAAAACCAAAAGTGACAATGTTTAAATATTGGGCTACCCCAGTTGTAGTTATCTTTAAACTTGCATGGGCCAGAAGTAAAACCAAAAGTGACAATGTTTAAATATTGGGCTACCTCAGTTGTAATTATCTGTAAAGTTGCATGGGCCAGAAGTAAAACCAAAAGTGACAATGTTTAAATATTGGGCTACCCCAGTTGTAGTTATCTTTAAACTTGCATGGGCCAGAAGTAAAACGAAAAGTGACAATGTTTAAATATTGGGCTACCTCAGTTGTAATTATCTGTAAAGTTGCATGGGCCAGAAGTAAAACCAAAAGTGACAATGTTTAAATATTGGGCTACCCCAGTTGTAATTATCTGTAAACTTGCATGGGCCAGAAGTAAAACCAAAAGTGACAATGTTTAAATATTGGGCTACCCCAGTTGTAATTATCTGTAAACTTGCATGGGCCAGAAGTAAAACCAAAAGTGACAATGTTTAAATATTGGGCTACCCCAGTTGTAATTATCTGTAAACTTGCATGAGCCAGAAGTAAAACCAAAAGTGACAATGTTTAAATGTTGGGCTACCTCAGTTTCCAAGAGTCCACTGTAAGCTGGATTGGCGGTACTTCTTCTTTTTCTTTCCTGACGTTTGCTCTGGATTTCTATAATGAATTTCAAAAAGGTTATTTTTCTATATATAAACTAAAATATTTAGATGAAACTTATTTGATCAGACGATTTTCGCTACTTGGCTGACCTTCTGATTAGACATTAGTCTTCTATTACTCATATCTGGTTGACTGAATCAGCCTGATTATCTGGGCCTTTGGGTTTCTGAAGCTCTTTTTTAGGACTGACCCAGCAATGTGAAATTTATTTTCCTAGAAACACAAAAGCTTCAAAGGCCACAATATTTGGGTCATGCTAATTTGATATTGGAAGCCTTGAAAATATTTTGCTCACAACCTAGGGCAGGGTCCCCAACCTGTGGGCTGCATCCCAGTAGTGGGCTGTGGGCTGCTGGCCATCAGGCCATGGGACAGGCTGGTCAGTGCGTGCATATGTGCGTACCCCACTTGCTCTAGTGCCACAGCTGCGAGGTTCAAAAACAGGACACCATGCCATACAGTGCAAAAATGGGCCGCTCCTGCACCTTGGGGTGCAAAAACAGGATACCGCCGCACCTCGGAGTACAAAATGGGCCAATGCCACACCTCAAAGCACAAAAACAGGGCGCTGTGAATAAGAACAGGGTAGGGCTAGTATCACTCAAGGACTAGTCCTGCACCGTTTGCGTCCTGCGCATGCTCGTGGCCCCGTGCATCCGCGAAAAATACTTCCCCCTCCCTTTCCTTCCAGTCCACCAATCAAGAAAGGTTGGTGACCTCTGACCTAGGGCCAATTTCTCCAATAGTATGCCATGGTTGTATTCTGATAGATATCAAGGGAGCTGTCCATTGGAGAGAGAAGGAGGGAAAGACTGTGAATAGAAAAACTCTATCCATTTAGCTCATTTCTAACTGCATAGCAGTTATTACTTTTAACATGTTTGCATAGTCTACTTCTAAAGATGCAAAAGAAATCTGATTTCATTATAAAATGTTAGTTATTTGTGATAATGACTTGCACAATCAGTTTACTCATCTTAATAATGACTCTATAGGGTTCATGTTTAAGAGCTGCTAATGAGCTGTGCTGCATTTTTCAAGTTCTTTCCCTTGAGATCTAATTCTAATAATACAATTAAAACACTTTAGGTTAAGGTTTCCAATCTCCTTTTACAAAATAATCTTTTTATTATACTGAAATAGATTGCTTTTTAAAACAGAAGAATTTTTGCTAGTAAGATAAGCATTCTTACCTTCCAAGTATTCAGTCGTAACCAGGCCTAACGCTACCATAAAGGCAATTTTCTAGAGAAGAAATAAAGATAATTAAAAAGTTATTTCTGTATCTTTTGATTATTCCCATAAACAACTTCATAATCCATGATGATAGCATAGCAGTAGTTGATGGCCTTGTTTTAGTCCATCAAAGAGTTGCCACAAATATTCTATATTATCTGCATCCTTTGGGAATTTATATGAAACAAAATACAATTATTCAGATAAATGTAGATGTTTGGGTTTTTTAAAATTACTAGCTAACAACGGTTTGATACAGTATTTTATGCACCACTCTGACCTGCTGTATTGGCTTATGAGTGACAGTTCCTGCTATTAATGCACACAGACACACCTTTAATTTTTTGTTTTGATATTATGAAAAATAAATATTAAAAAAATATGGCAATTGCACCCCAATTTGTTCTCAAAAGTATATCTGGTTCCCCACAGTCATTCTTAGAAAACAAAAATGGCAAAGCTATATCCTCTTTGACTTTTTGTTTATTTCTAATTTACCCAAAGAAGCGTTATTATTTTTAGTATCTTGTACAATCTTCAATTTATTGTAACTATTAGATGATGATGGTGGTTATGATGATGACGACGACTATTATTATGATTTGGTCTAAGATCAAACCAATTACTGTGAAATATATACAGCCATAAAAAAAAACAGTACATACATAAACATGACATAAAACCAAGAAAATCAAAACTGCGAAGAAGGTACCAATTTCTATAAGAAACCTACATATACAAATTTCACCACTGCCTTTTATGCGTCTAGGAATTGGTTGCTTAAAAGAGAAAAAGTGATCTCCTCCTAATGAGGGAGAGTAGAATTTCTAATAACTGAAATTAAGAGTTGAAATTGTCACTGTGTATAAAGTAGATACTAATGGAACATGAGCTACAGATTCAATTTCTTTGAATATGTAATTTTTCATATGTAATTGAAATGTTGTAATATCTTCCCTTGTTGTGACCTTGATGAATAGCACACTAACTCAAGCCAGAGGAAAAAGTCTCCTAGGTGAGCATGCAAGGCCTTGGAAAAACAGTCAAGAAACAAGCAAGGACAGGAGATTCTACTCTCCATGCTGCTACTGTAATTGTGTCTTTGCAGACTATAAGGCAACATGAGCAACTAGATACCACAAAGGTTTTTTGTCTAGAAAAAAATTCCAAGAGAGGGCAATAATATCCTGATTTGGTAGGAATTCTTATGCTTCGCAGATACTTTTCTACTGCAAGTTTTCAAGCCGTTGGATCTTCATTTCTTTAGCGTGGATTAATCATCCACCAACTATCCAACTATTGAACTATGGTGCTGGAGAAGACTCCTGCGAGTCCCTTGGACTGCAAGGCGTTCAAACCGGTCAGTCCTAGAAGAAATCAACCCCGACTGCTCTTTAGAAGGCCAGACCCTGAAGTTGAAACTCAAGTACTTTGGCCACCTAATGAGAAGAAAGACTCACTGGAGAAGAGCCTAATGCTGGGAAAGATTGAGGGCAATAGAAGAAGGAGACGACAGAGAATGAGGTGGCTGGATGGAGTCACTGAAGCAGTAGGGGTGAATTTAAATGGACTCCAGAAGATGGTAGAGGACAGGAAGACCTGGAGGAACGTTGTCCATGGGGTCGCGATGGGTTGGACACGACTTCGCAATTAACAACAACAATCATCCACTGACACAGTCTGGATCCTGGGATTCTTTGACCCCAAGTGACTTCCATAGTCAACAGGAGTGCTGATTTACCACCAGCTTATCAAGTACTTAGAAGGTGAGGGCTGAGCAGAAAAAGCAAACCACAGCCAATGACTTAAAAGCTGGCCATCACCACACCTCAATCAGCATCTAAAAAGCCACATACAACAGGCACCATATAAATACCACACACAGAATAGCACACACTCTGCTAGACAGAAGTTCCCTGAAGATGGGTTCCAGAACGAGTCTGAAAGCTCAGAAGACAAAGCCTTTGGTCCCGATGACCGACCCAGATTGGATCCTGCAGGATTATCCTGGGATGCATGTATTCTCCTTCATTCGTGACTTCCATAGTATTTCATGGCAAGTTTCAGCTGTATAGTCCAGGAACCTCTCTTCTTCTCTGATGCCTCACAGTGTAGAAATTTGTTTACCAAACCTTTTTGCTTTCCCTTTCAATAAGGAACCAAGCTTGTACTTGGAGCAGGGGTAGTTCGGGCAGGAAAAATACTTTGCACAGACACTGCAAGTCTCAGATATTCTTCCCTTGTTGTCCATATTGTTTGGCATTTCCCAGCAACTCAAATTTGCTCAATCCCTTGCATGCCCCCTTGAGCTGCTCCAACTTGGTCAAGAAGGGCAATGCTCCAATCAGACACAACGGAAAGCCATCAGCGCTTAGAAAATTGTCATCAGCATTACTTAGGAAGTTGTCATAGTTCCCAATCGCTAGATTCTGCATTAGTCAAGTGCAACCTTGAATGCTCTCTCTGGTACTAAATGTCACTCTCAAAGATGCAACAAGACTAAGTGTTCAAAAGAGGGAATTAGAAATCTTTATTTCTAAGGGGAGATAATTAAAGAGATGTCACACTGAAGTTTTCTATTGCCCCAGAGAGTTTAATGATATAAAAGTAAAATCCAATGGAACAGAGATTCCTAATGATCAATACATTTCACTAGCAGAACTAAATAAAGGGAGATGGTTTAATCAGAATTTCCCTTCACCCAAGATCTGGAAAGTTTTAGTTTTAGTTTATGCACAAAGTGGGGAGTTGGAATCCATGGTCCAAAATGTCCCTTCTAATTCTACTTTTAGAATTTCTCTAATTCCCCCAAAGTAGGAATCAATGAGGAAAAGCAGAGGTAGAAAAGATTAAAACTCCATGACAACCATGTTAGTAAGACAAAAATAGGAATCAGAAATATCCAATGCACTCCACTATTATGAATATTAAGTGCAGCTCTAAGGGACAATGCAAATTAAATAAGTAAACGTTTATTTGTTTCTTTTTTCAACCATTATATGGTAGATTATTTGCTCTTCTGTTATCCAATTGGGAGTTATGCAGAACCTACGGTATTTTATCTACTTTTTAATTTTTCCTTTAAAAAACCAGCATAGTTATGATATTTTTTTTGGCTGTTGTTGTTTCATGGTGTGGTAAAAATATCAATAAATGCCTTAAGAAATCAGCAGCATATCTGTCTTTGAATAATTTGGTAAGGTTTATTTATATATAAAAAATCATGTTGTAATTATATGTTCTAGTTCTTGTTAACATGCGCTTATACTAATTACACAGTTAGGTCTAATTACACTAATTGCATAAATGCATGTTAATCAACTAAAGCTTATTCAAGGAACAAAATAAATTAACCCAAAGCTTATTTATCAATGCCAAGACAATCATATATATTTGTTCCTTTGGTACATCCATAAAAATGGAGAAACAAGAAGCAGACCTCAACTTTATATCCCAGGTATCAACATGCGATAAATCAAAATGAAGACTCCTGCTGAATCAACACATCCATAAATATAAGGCAGGTAAAAGAGGGATTTAGAATACTGTTTTTTAACATTAGGATTAGGCTAGGGCAGGAGTAGGCAACCTTGGCTCTTTTATGACTCGTGGACTTCAACTCCCAGAATTCCTCAGCCAGCATGGCTCAGCATAGAAACCTCCCCCTTTCCCCTCAGCATGGTTGGCTCAGGAATTCTGGGAGTTGAAGTCCACAAGTCATAAAAGAGCCAAGGTTGCCTACCCCTGGGCTAGGGCACCCCACATTACTGTGAGATCAGAGACTCCTTTCATTTAAGATAAGTACAGGGTGATGAAATATGACAAAGAATACAATGTTGGAGGTCAAATAGTTTAATGTGAGTGAAGAAATGGAAGAAAGGGAGATTGGAAATATAAGGGAAAGGGCTTCGTTGCAAATCCAGACAACAATTTAATGTGAACCCTGTGTCATTAATTTAGCCTGACTACATTTGTTTAAAGTCTTATATAGTATGACTCAATGCTGGGCAGTCAACACAGATAGTCGGCAACTTATGGCTGCTTATGAACAAAGTTATGACAGGACCACACAAAAGCTACTTATGACCCATTTTTGAATTATCACACCCCTACCGCCTGCAGTCACAGGATCATATTTTGGGCGCTTGGCAACTATCTCACCTTTACAGTCATTTGTAGTATCCCACACAGTCAAATAACCATGACTTTTTTGTCCATTTCCGGCTTTTACATTTGGTTTCTCGCAAAAAAAAACCCCAAGCCCATTTGGCTTAATGACTGTGGCATTTGCTTTTGTTTGAAGTTATGACAGAGCCCCTAAAATGTATTTATGATCCAAATTCTAAGTTCTGACGGCCAACCCTCTGGAGTAACATGATCAAATTTTAGGTGCTTCGGAACTAGCCTGCGTTTGTAGCTGTTTTCAGCATTCCATGTTCACATGTCCACAATTTACAGTTTTTGTACTAGAAACTGGCGTTTACTTCCAGTTTCTGCAAAAAAATGCCCATTGCAGACAATGGATTTACTTAACAATCATGGCATTCACTTAACAACACTGCAAAAAATGTCATCAAATCAGGCACAATCATACGATGATCCACATAATGAATGGCACAATTTACGACAATAATTCTGGGTTCAATTATGTTTGTAAGTCAAGGACTATCTACGTGGGGATGTGAACAGAGTGCAGGCAAGAGACCTTAGTATCTCTAGGAGGGTATTAAATGAAGTCAGTTAACATGGCTCTTGGCCAAGGGGGTAGGATTTTCCTGGCTCTTGTAAATAAGCTCTTCCCATGTCAGTGTTTCTACCTGGTTGGCCTATTAACACTTTATTTGAGATAGCATGTCTGCTTAGATTCTTTCTTTCTTTCCATGTTACCCATAGCAATTATGAAAACATGGTTTGTCTCTGTGTTGTGTTGTTTTGAGCCTTGTACTGGCTTTGTGATGGTGTAACTTTCCTGGGGTTCACTCTGATATAAGAAAAAAAAAAAAGCAGGA